ATTTTTTGTCAACCATTTTAGAGACCACTTAGCAATGGTACAATAACTTAAAATGGTGAATTAAACAAGATAACATCAAAATTTATTGAAAACTGATTACTTAGTTCATTTGAACTTTCAACAATTCCGTTTCATGCAGTGAAGAGTAATTTTCTTGTAGACAGGTTTTATCTCTTCAATTTAAATTTGGAACGAATGTTTTTACAAATGAGGACACTTAACTATCAAGCCAGTGACATTTTGAAATGAATAAAACCTTTTGCGTATTGTAATTATTTCAGGCAGGGGAAAAACCAAAGATGCCCGTTTTTATTGCAAATGAGTTTATTGATGTTAAACGCTAATTAATTTCAATCCTACCATATAAAAAAGCTTAAGCGAGTATCATCGTGACACTTGCTGCCGACTGCTTTCGAAGACTGGGCTTTGTGATCCGCAACGTCAAAGACTTTCAAGATTTTGGTGCTATACGAATGGTCTATAATGCTTTAGTGAGAAGCAAACTTGAGACGTCATCGCTTATATGGCACCCGCATGAAGCTACGTATACATCTTTGATAGAAAAGGTTCAAAAAGCTTTCCTTAGATTTTTCTACAAAAAAATGTACGGCTATTATCCGTTTTTATATCCGACAAAGTATTTACTGGGGACTCTTCAGTATAATTCCCTTGAGGTGAGGCGGAACAACAACCTGCTTGTATTTGTTTCTCAGGTATTACGCGGCGAGTCAGACTGTCCTGAGCTAGTGGGACAGCTTGTAAGGCTCTTTGTCCCAGACATTCCTAAAATAGTTTTAAGAGCGCGACGTCGTGAACTATTCACAGTCCCACCGGTGCGTACCGTATCGCGCAGGAACTCACCACTGCTCCGTGCCCTCGCAATGCTCAATCAACTCTTGGCATCAGCACCGGAGTGTGATCTGTTTGCATGGCGATGGGCGGCTGTGTGTTGTGAATGCCTGAGATTTTGTGAAGCGATGGAGGATAGTGAGTCAAGTATAGCGCTATAGTTTAATTTATTATTTCAGTGTTTGGTTTATTTTTTTAATTTTTTAATTGTTATTTTTTAATTAGTTTGGTTTCACGGCGCATTGGTTATGGAACTGTAATGCCGTGTAAACATGTTTACAATAAATAAATCATACCACTCCATAGGTATTGTAATATAGTCTGTAAAACTATGACTACTCTCCTATACCTACATAGGTATTGAACTAGTTATGTCTGACTACTCCTCCCACTTGACTAATATTGCACTTCAAACTTATTTGTCAAATAAATCGCCTCGGCAAATATAACCAAATTTGCGCATATTTAGGTATGCTAGAGGCTAAGCAATAGCTTCACTCGCTCTGTTTTACTGCATCCAAGGCTCAGTTCGATACCCACTGGCAAGTGGAAAACTGCAAATTCTCATTTTCGCAATAAAAACAAATAATATTAAAGTTTCGATGAAAGGAGTAAAAAATGGTGAGACTTTCTTGAAATAAATTTCCTTTTGACTTTATGTCTTCTTTCTTTCCTATCTCTTCTCTTGAAATATTATCGGAAATGTTTTGCTACTTACTTTTCCGGCTTGAAGATTTTGCGTACGGCGTTTTTGTTGCGTATTGGCAATGGCATATTTTGAGCAGCAAGCCATTGTGGATTAGCTGTAAAATCGAATTTTTCATTCATGAAGTTAAGACTTGCAATACAACACAAAGCAATGAGTGGGGTACACTTACATCTTTCAAGCTGAGGACCGAAGGTTCAGATTTCGTTACTATTTTCTCATAAACATTACCATTGATATCGGAGCCAAGATCGTCATCGTTATATCAAAAGAGCATTATCGGCAAAGTTATTTGAAACGCTCAGATATATTTTTAATCAAATAAACATTACGTTCGTCGTACGTACCATGGACCATTGAATATTTGCTACGCATAAAAACCGTTGAACGTTGAATTTTATGCCCTCAACACGGCCTTCAAGCAAGTGCCACTTGGTCCATGAACACTTTTATAAGTACGTCACATCACATAATCTGTGCAATTGTGCAAACACATGAAATGTTTTCTAAAATTTAATGTCATCTCCCGATGTGCAACTGAACACGGGACTGGATGCTACACAAAATTAATTATTTTTGACAAGCATTGGGCTGGGCTCGCTCGGGTTCCGTTGCAACTTTAAACCGACTCCGGGTTCAGATGCTACAAACCCGATATAAGATGACATGATAATAAATTCTTCATACTCCTATAATTCGTGTTTCTGTATCTAATTAGACGTTTGATGACTGTCTAATTTTGCTAATTAAATATAGACTTAGTTTACTGTTTAGTTATAAATAAAGCACTTGAGAATTGAACAAAATTTAAATTATAATCACTTTCGTGAAGCTCGGCACGGCCATGTACAGTCGCGTGCAATGAAATCTAAGTGTTGACACATTTTCGAATGTATGTAAATATTAAATGTTACAAAAGTATCTTGTATTGTGTTCAAAAATATATGTAATCATGACACCGTTTATAAAGAGGCATACTTTTATTTCAGAGAAAAGTGAACAAACTACAATTAGTGAAAAGTATACACTACTCTTAGTGTTTTTATATTATGTGGTACAAACATGTCATTTTCGTAAATATTTATACAATGCATTTTCATTATAATGTATACAAATTAGGATTGTGATTTTATCATATAGTTATGTAACCATTTTTAAAACTATAGAATTTGTTAGATTTTAGTCAAAATTGTATCGTTTTCAAATGATATGAATATACGCCATTGCAATATATCTAATAACAATATAATGTGAACATTTTTTTGTTTATTTTGCAAGTTGGGGCGGCAACAACGTCAGTTATATTTGGTTAAACTTTTTCCATCCTTTAGGGGTTAAACTAACCTTAATTTTTTTTTCTACTTCCGTCAATTATAATTTCATAAATCTTATCATAAAGAGGCTCTTTTTACTTTGAATCAAAATTCTATTGTTTATGGTACTCGCCACTGAGCCTAACGTGTACATAAAACTATAATGACTAGGTATTAAAGTACTGTACAAATAACTATAATGAGTTTCAAAATAAGAACGTTGTATTTTTGCTAATTAAATTAATTAAATTAAAATATCGACTAGGAGGCTCAAGCGCTATTCGATTGGTTAAACTGGCCTAAAAGTCTTGTAATCGGGCCATAAATCTTTATAAAAAATGATTGGTTAAAATTTAAGCGGTACTTGGTTAGTCCTATTCCGATTGTGATTTTGTTTTGTAGCATTTGTTTGGCTTTCGTCTTAATATATGAAGAGGCTGTATCGTATATCCGTAGCCTGCCTTAGTAAATAGGTTAAAATTTATTAAAAATAAATTGCGTTTGTTGTCACGGATTGTTAACCAAATATACATTAAGTATTGGTTCTGTTTTATAGATTTTATTTATTCGTAGAAAAAGTATTGTATGCATTCAATACTTACTTAGGTCTTCAAATCTCGACCCATTACTAGTCGAGTATATACGTACCATAACACATACACTCACTCGACACACAGTACTCGACAGTATGAACCCTCATTACGCAACGTTTGCATAAAATACTATAACTTATTTTCTAAATAGAACATTATACAAAATAATTACTTTTATTTTATAACAATCAAATCATTATACGAACTCAATTCAGGTCTCGAGGTCAATATTTAGCATAAAAATTATTTTTGTACTATTTGAAAACTTACACACTAAAGAAAACTTTTTTTTATTATTTTTAACAAGATCTAGGTACTACCGATTCCAATTAATTACCGCTTTTAAGTTTTGATCGCTAATTTACAATAACCTTGTATTTATGTACATTTTAATTAAAGTGCTGTGTATAAATATTTACGAAAATGATATTAGTATACACAGATGAAAAATTAGGAGTGTATATGAGCATTTCTCCTAGAAGGTCTAAATTCTCTGACTTCAGTCGTCGAATTTTTTTCGTAATTTCAGGAAAAACATTGAGCGAGAAGGAAAAAGAACTCAAATTTACCTAAGATTCCGTTAATGTGGCAACTATTTTCTTAATAGTTAATGACATATTTGATCCACAGTATATAGCTGTATACCACCGAAATCCGAATTTTGTAACAAAAGGCATAATTTTTGTATAACATATTATGAAAAAGGCAGTAAAAACATTCAATAATCTACATAAACATTTACTAATATGACTAACTATCAAATCAGCATAATATTTTCAAGCACGTTCTTTCATTTTCTTAATTTCCAATTTTTGTTTTCTGTTTTGATTTTCCTTATTAATTTTCATTAGGAAGCAAGTAGTAACATAAAATTGCGAACATTAATAATATTAACTATATATTTATATGAAAAAAACATAAAATTCTTGCTTTTCAAAGAAAAAATGGTAGAAATATAATAGAAAATATGTTTTTCTGAATTCGGTGGCATAAAATCCACAGAATCCAAGGCCACGGGATTTAGAATATATATATATTTTTTGATATTACTCGTAAACGACAATACTTGCAAAACTAATAAATTGTAGATTCGCTCTGGGCCTTTTGGAGGGAAAAGTGTCGTTTTTATTTTGACTTTCAATTATTTTGTGAAAGGAGAATGGGCAAAATACAAGGGCCTTGGACCTGGAAGCGGCCACTTCAAAAACATAGTTTTTATAATTCTTTATGTTACGACAAACAATACTTAGTATGGAGTCAGAGTCGTATTTTGTGTGTAAAAAAAGTTATGACCAATACAATTGTCCAAGTAATAAATGAACACGTGTTACATTTTTGACAAATATTCCTTTGTCTACTGGATATTTCTATAAAATAAAACAATGCTTTGTGGAGTCATGCCGCCGGGACCTAAACTAGCCCCCCCCCCCCCTCCCTCCTACCCTCTTATGTGCACGTGCATCCAGGTGCATGCGTGTTTAATTAACTTAGTTTAGTTGTTTGTTGACTTGCTTCACTAACAACTGTTCTGTGCTGTCGATTCTTTGCTGATCCTCATAAGACCTTGATTACTGTTTACCGGACTACTGATTTTGCTTTGCGATTTGTATCGGTGTTGATTCTTGGATAACAACTAGGCTTGATCTTGGACATTCTTGTTTAGTAAAGTGGTGTGTGCGTGACTGAAATGGAAACTTGCATTACATGTCACGTTTCAGTTCGAAACAGAAGACGTTATTCTCTCTCACAAGAAGTTCTTGATGCTAATCCATTTTTAATGGATTATATTGGTGACCGCGTGGATCCTAATCCTATATTTGAAAATAGAAGAAACTACATCTGTCGCCCTTGCTGGCAAAGAGCTGAACGTGCTCAATCAAGAAACCAACCACAAGAATCGGCTCGTGATGAAATCTCGACAGATCAGGTCCCTGTTTCTATACCTAATTATTACCGTCTGCCAAACACTGCTTCACGTTGTTTGTTTCCGGGATGTGAATCAGAAACGCACTTGAGGATTCCACATCGCATTAAAACTAAAGTTTTTTGTGATCACAATATGTACATACCTGACGAGGCTAGAATATGCCCAGAACATATACGATCAAACCATTGGGAGATATTAATTGGTTCACCTATTTTATTAAATTCATTTACCATAGAACAAGTCACGGATGTATTTGAAATGGTTAAGAGATCTTTACAAAAGTCTGCACATTTTAATTTCGAAAATATCGAAAATATTGATGCTAATGAATTATTTCTGGACTGGAGTTACACCGGCGCAGTTTCAACAAATTATAGAAGAGACACCTTTATTGACGCAAAGATGTAAACGACCTAAAGTTGCTCTGGGCATCTACCTTAGTAAGCTAAGAACGGGAGAGTCAAATACAAAACTGTCTGATCTTTTTAATATATCTCGACGCACCTTTGAGCGCTTATTAAAACAATCAAGAGAATGTTTAAGCAACGATTTTGTAACGCGTCACCTCGGAATTGACCATATTACGAGAGGAGAAGTAGAGAGGAGAAACCTTTTAATACCTAATGCTATTTTTGGGAATCCAGAATCTGAAGAAGATAGAAGATTAATCTTTATATTTGATGGCACGTACATTTATATACAAAAGAGTTCTAATTTTTCATTCCAACGTCTTACATACAGCTTACATAAGTTTCAAAACTTGCTAAAACCATTTATTATTACGTGTAGTGACGGATACATAATTGACGTAGTTGAACCTTTTGCGGCAACAACATCTGACTCAACTATTATGACACAATTAATGTCAGAAGACTCGGTATTTCATTGGTTTTTTAAAGCAGGGGACAGGACAGGGGTTTTAGGGATTCATTACCAGTTATTGAATCTTGTGGTTACATAGCTCATATGCCAGCGTCAAAGCAAAACAATGAAACGCAGCTCTCAACTAGTCAAGCAAACAAGTCGCGGCTTGTTACAATTTGTCGATGGGTAATTGAAGCCATTAACGGGCGTTTTAAAAGAGATTTTAAATTGTTACGGCAGAAGTATTTTAATAGGGCCGTACCACACATGTTCCAAGATTTTAAAAATGCCGCAGCCATTCTTAATGCTTTTCGGGAACCTTTTACCGATGGACCTTACGCAAATGATATATTAAATGAAATTCATTTGAAAATTAATGTAGACAACTTACTGGCCGACTACGTCATTAATAACAATTTAAATAGGCACCGTGTGAGCTTTGTTTCTATATCAGCTGATTATTTAACTATAAATGATTTTCCACAATTAGAAGAAAGAGATTTAATACTGTTTGCTTTAGGTAGTTATCAAATAAAGCTTGCTCGGTCGTATTGTAGCGAGCACTTACGAGATGGAGTGTACTTTATAGAAGTTATGGAAGATGAATCTATAGATATTCCGCAAATGCATGTAACTGGAGATTGCTATCTTTTGAGAGGACGTATTCAATCAAGACACACCAGAGCACGAGTATATTATGTATATATAGTAGTAAATAGGGAAGGCGTTGGAAGAGCGCGCATAATACAACACTATTGTACGTGCCTTACTGGTAGACGGACCTTGGGTTGCTGTGCTCACGTCATGTCGATTGTATGGTATTTAGGGTGGGCACGGCACCAAGGAGCTCTTAATCTTCCAGCATCATATTTAGATGAAGTGATAATAGACGAAGTAAATGAGTTTTGAAACAATATATTTTATTTTATTTCATATCTTTTATATTCCCTAAAAAATATTATAACAAGAAATACTGGACCAGATTCCAAAATTGTGTCATAATTCCACAGCTCACAGAACCCTTTTAAACTTAAGACACCATTTGGGTAATCATTTTTAACATACACACCACACAAACAAAATTCCAGACAGAAGTTCAAATATTAAGTATCTACATTAAAAAATAAACATTATTCAAGACATTTCGAAAACTTGATGACTTACGTATTGGTGCCCATAATATTTTTTGATCGTATTAATGATATCTATTGATTGAAAGTAGTTTTTGAAGTGGCCGCTCCCAGGTCCATTTTGCCCATTCTCCTTTAGTTTAAAGTGGAATAGGATAGTGCTATTGTGCCTTAATCGAAGATTAAAAAGCGAAATTATACGAATCTCGAACTAAAATACCCGTATCGGCCCGTTCTAAGGAATCCCGAGTCAATCCAAGCACGCCGCCTCAAATTGCCTATCCTCTTTGTGGTGGCCATATTTACAGAAATATAATTAAACGTTTATGTTTTCGGCTGAAGGGCTTTGTTTCCATGGCCAGGAATAATTTAAAAAAAGAAAATAATAATAAATTGTAATTATACGACTAAAAAGTCGTCACAGCACAGAGTATAAAAAATATTGTATACAACCTTAAAATTTAGTTTTGAAATATCGTATACACCGAATTAAAAAATCAACCTGGACCAAATTCAGCGAATTACGTATTTACGCAAAATCGGCAAAAATTCATCCACCTATTCTCTCCAGCCACATGGGCGTGATCAACGAATAATACGAATGAATTGCGAACCTTCTAAAATGCTTCGCTTCTGATGTGTGACGTGATTAGTAACTACCACCGAATTCCCGCGTAAACCTGGGGACACGCAGCAATCTTGGTATTGTGATAAAACTATTGTCTAGTTTATTGTGAAATTCACTGTCAAGTTGAAGTTCACTGAAAAGTATCTGTCATTTAATTTATTATACGCGAACTAAAGTCACTTCACTTTTTATTTTTATGGCTCCATCAATATGAGAACTGATGATTTTGCCAATACTATTGATATATGGTTTCAATTTGGAGAAAAATGACACTGTCACGCCACTGTTGTCAGGTTTTAGACCTTTCGGATTTTTTTTCCATTAGGTCCGAAAGGTTTATTGGGAAGATTTTGTGCTCTATATATAGTCTCTTTTTTGTAGATTTTTGTTTTGATAAATAAGTGGAGTTTAGTGCATAGACACAGAAAATTGCGCCATTAGAGAAATGCCCATATTTATCACCGATTGTAATTTGCTTACTTTTCTCTGAAATAAATATATCCCTTTTTTGAGACGGTCATGATTACATATTTTTGAACACAACACAGGGTGACCACGAACCGGAAGGTGTTTAGTGCGACGGCCGGGCGGCCCCCTACTAGATAGACGGATGACCTGATGAGGGCGGCGGGTAACCGATGCTAGTCTGGCAATCTTTGGGGGAGGCCTATGTTGCAGTGGACGTCTTTTCTGCTGATATGATGAAAACAAGGTTCTTATTTTTGAAATATTTAATATTTACATTATATTCGAAAATGTGTCAACGTTTACATTTCATTGCACGCGACTGTACATACAGATAAATGGACTTGTAGCGGTTGGTTCATCAATTGTTAAAAGTGTCTACAGTCCACGTGAGCTGCCTACCGACGACACCAATGATAGGATCTATATTGCCTCTTATCTGTTATCGGTGTTTCGCCCTTTATCAACATACTTGGAATTGTGAGCGCTTGTTGAACCACGTTACCCTATATGGTTATGAAATTGAACCAGCCCGTGATTAGTGAAAAATTAATTTTCGATAGCTGTTGATAAGAGGAGCATTAAATAATACACCTCGCGTGTCGTTTCTCACTTTGTGGAGTGTGGTTGACTGAAGCAGCGCCGAGTCGCACCGACTTTTTTCTCTACGTAATAACAGTAAGTCTTTCAATTATAGCTGATGTATGTTTCCCGTAGGATTGTCTAAATGAGTCCAGTGTTTGAAGAATAAATTATGTGACAGTGAAGATTTCTGACAAAAGAAAAATACGTAATGTGGATTACACAATCATGTGAAACGGAACAATTTGGTTGTTTCATTTATCGTTTCGTTTGATGGTCAGAAGTGTGCGTGGGTAAAAGTAAACTTCCTTCGTGTATATCAAATCTTAAGAGACGTTATTGTTTCAGACTATTTCACAATGTGCGACGAGGAAGTTGCAGCGTTGGTAGTGGACAATGGGTCCGGTATGTGTAAGGCCGGGTTTGCAGGTGACGATGCGCCTCGCGCCGTGTTCCCCTCGATTGTGGGCCGACCACGCCATCAGGGCGTAATGGTCGGCATGGGCCAGAAGGACTCGTACGTGGGCGACGAGGCACAGAGCAAGAGAGGCATCCTCACCCTCAAGTACCCCATCGAGCATGGTATCGTCACCAACTGGGATGACATGGAGAAGATTTGGCACCACACCTTCTACAACGAGCTCCGTGTCGCCCCCGAGGAGCACCCCGTTCTGCTCACTGAGGCTCCACTCAACCCCAAGGCCAACAGGTAGAAATCACTGTTTATTCTGTTTTGAATCAGTTATCCTTGCAAAAGCGTAAGTACAGAGTTGCAGCCTCTAACTGTCTGTTTTCGTTAAAAGGGAGAAGATGACCCAAATCATGTTCGAGACGTTCAACACTCCCGCCATGTACGTGTCCATCCAGGCCGTGCTATCGCTGTACGCGTCTGGTCGTACGACCGGTATTGTGATGGACTCCGGCGACGGTGTCTCGCATACGGTACCCATCTACGAAGGCTACTCGTTACCCCACGCCATTTTGCGTATGGACTTGGCCGGCCGGGACCTCACCGATTACCTCATGAAGATCCTCACCGAACGTGGCTACTCGTTCACTACCACGGCCGAGCGTGAGATTGTGCGCGATATCAAGGAGAAGCTCTGCTACGTGGCTCTCGATTTCGATCAGGAGATGGCCACAGCCGCCTCCAGCAGCTCGCTTGAGAAGTCGTATGAGCTTCCTGACGGACAGGTCATCACTATCGGCAATGAGCGTTTCCGTTGCCCTGAGGCTCTCTTCCAGCCCTCATTTTTGGGCATGGAAGCCAACGGAATCCACGAAACCACTTATAACGCAATCATGAAGTGCGATGTTGACATCCGTAAGGACTTGTATTCCAATACTGTTATGTCTGGTGGTACCACCATGTACCCAGGCATTGCTGACCGCATGCAGAAGGAAATCACTGCCTTAGCCCCGCCCGCCATGAAAGTTAAAATTATCGCGCCACCTGAAAGAAAGTACTCTGTATGGATTGGTGGATCGATCCTAGCTTCTCTTTCCACCTTCCAACAGATGTGGATCTCAAAACAGGAATACGATGAGTCTGGTCCCTCCATCGTTCACAGAAAATGCTTCTAAATGCCACACATGAGACTATACCTATGTGTAGTTCATGATGCCCTACACCAAATCCATAACGAGGTGGCTCAAATGACGCTTGTTATTTATTAATTAAGTACAATATTTAAATAGGTTGTAAGTTCTCGTAATATGCGTATCACACAAAAATCATTGTTGATTTTTTACAAAGACCAACCAACATCGTAAATAAAAAAACATTTTTTACTATTGTAATATTAATTTTATTGTCTACCATTCTATATAATCTAATCATGTTCCAAAATTCCAACTAAATTACGTGTGTAGTCATTTATTTCTGTATTTCGGGAATTCAAAATTAGCGCCAAACTAAATATTTCGCAACTGGAAGAATTAATCGACAGCTGCATTTTCGATGTGTTCCATCACAAACTTATTTCCGTTGGATGTAACTTCGTCGTGTGAAGTTGTGGAAATAAACATTCATAACATCTTATCTTTGTCGTTGTTACAGAACTACATATATATAGGTAAATAAATGTTAGACAACATCACGTACGTTGCTCTGATCCCAAAGAAAGTAAGTAAAACACTTGTGTTATGGAAATCGGAAACTGCTACGGTATGACAAACACCCAAACCCGAGACAATATAGATATTTATTTTCTATGTTGACCTGGCCGGGGATCTGACCCAGGACCTCAGAGATGGCGACAGTATGAAAACCGTTGTGCAATCCACTCGACCAAACAAGGTCGTCAAAATATAAATAATTTGTAGAGAGCTGCTATAAATTTACGTTGTCCATAATGGACCAAATTTTATGGAATATCATAAAATCGTTAAAGTGTTATATGTACCTTAACGATAACTACTTTTTTAGTATCAGTAGAGCTTTTTGTGAAGAGTTCGTTCAGGGAAATATTGCCGTCTTACCTATTTCTGCCGCCAAGCAGTAACGTGTTCTGTTTTCCAGTTTTGAAGGATAGGGGTGTTGAGGAAATTACACATAGGACTTGACAACTTATCTCTAAAGGTGACTAGCGCAGCGTCGCTCAGATCTTTGCGATTTAAAGCATTGAGTGACAATGCAATTGCTGTGGACAGGCATGTCACTTATTAGAAAGTTTGACGCTGATTTTATTCAAAAAATCTATGAATCTAAATCCCTGAAACCTTGTTTACTAGTTAAATGCCCCAGGGAAAACTAACAATTTTATCGCTCCACGATTTACTTTCTTCAATGTCACTTATCAACCTGGCGACCTTCCTCAACCCCGTTAATCGGCGCTAACCACAGACATGTGGCGCCCGGGTGCAATCAATACCCTGGTGCCCTCTTGTATATCTTGTAATATTCCATTTTCATCGCGAGACTGATCAAAATGGAATATTTACAGTTATATTTTCCCCAATGATCGAAAATTCAAGTGCAAATGAGGTAGTTATAAAATGAAATGATTTTGGGAAACAGTAGCCCGTTTACTTCGCCGCGGGTGACGCAGGCACTTTATGGCGAATGTAATGTACTCGTCCGAGTGCTCTCGCCAAGTCTCGCCCGCGTCTCGCCGATAATTCTCGCGCGTGAGACCTACACACGAGTGCGTCCATGTACACTCTATATATTCAGTTGCGGTTGCCGAGAAGACGGACGCATTAGAAATTGCTTTCGCTGTTACTCTATGCGCTATCAGTTACTATATATATGTACATATGTATCACACTAAAAAAATAGAAAGTGGCGTAAACGGAGACTTCGCCAACGTATTCGCACGACTTACTTAACGGTAAAACTGCCTTGGGAGCCAGAGCCGGCGAGGGACACCGAGATATCCGATGCTAGGCGAGTGCTTTCTTGTGGGCACACTCTCACACTCGGCTTCTCTTGGGGTGTCTCGGCGAGTATACAGTACAGCCGCCATTAGAGGCGTCGCAAGTGACGCTTGGCGTACTCTTAAACAATGCGCCCGTGTGCGTACACCCTGAATCATAGGTAAAGCCGATACTGCACTACTGTAGGTACACCTTTCGCACCCCGCTGATCAGTGGTGACGAGGTCCGAAACTGGGACCGAAACAAGTGTACATGATCGGCTCAAGCTGATTCCACGTCATAGTGTGGTAACTCCATAACCCATTATATCTATATCATATTTATATTAAAAGCCTTGTGGTAATAAGGCTTTTAATATGAATTTAACAATGTATCGAAAGTAGCTGACCTAGAAGAATATTACAGAAGAAACAGACACATCACATCATGTGGCGTCATTAATGAGAATAGTTAGAAATGAATCAACGGGACGCGATTGTTAGCTGAAACCATCGAACGAACTATTAAAATCTTCGGACTAGATAGTTATCTATCTTTTTATGAATTGGGCCAGAAAACGTCAAAGGAAATTATGATATAGTCAAAGTTGCTTTAGTTGTAAGTCATATGTATAAATTATGGCAATTCCAAATCGATCTATATACCATGAATTCCCTTTGTTTACCTCTTTATATATTCAATAACAAATACCTCTAGGTAGGACGGTCGAACGTATTTTTATTCAGCAAAGTAATATTTAAGTTTTATAAGTACTTTTGGGTGTCGTTTTACTTTTTTTTGTGGGTTGATTTTGCTTGATTCCGTCGGTTTGCCCTTGAGACCCTACAACCATCCCCGGGGTGATGCTAAAGAGCAACAACTAATGGTAGGCTTCGGCCGTGACTGGTAACCACCCTCCGGACGCAGTCGAGTCGCCAAATGGTTTATCCGTATTCCAGCTCGTGTTCGGGAGTTGCCATTAGGAGGTCGGGTCTGAACAGTTACATTGCGTCTAACGACGAGTAGTAGCTGCTTGTACTGCCACACTGAGCACTCGGTTCTGGAGGCTAGCGGGATCCGAAGCACGGTGCACCGCTGGCCGACTGTGGGAAGTCGGTTGCCCAATTAGCGGAAAAGCCACTCGTCAAAGGCTGCCCCGCCACCCAAATCCTAGAAAAAAATCCAAGAATGCTCCACCTTGCCGGTTGGCGTCCGGAGGGGAGGAACGAAGCGGTCCACCACCTGAAAACCGAGAAACCACAGCTACTGTTCCTCAACGAGACGCAGATCAGATTTCCAGTTGATGCGGCGTGAGGTACGCCACTCTGGGTAAACTCGGGAGCACAGGTTTTTACCTCGTGCCGGAGTCTGTGTACGTTCGCGATGACATCTGTGTCTAGCATCCCAAGAACCTTGAGGCACCGAGTTTTTCTGTTCTGTGGCTTCTGGTTGACACGGGAGTTACACAAATAGTGTACTGCTATGTCTTCCGCTCGCACAGTGGAGATCAAGAGACGACCAAGCTGTTCCAACATCTTCTAGCATTATAGCGAGACTTCTGATGAGGCTCAAAATAGGTACCCAACGGTGCAACTAGTCATTCTGGGGGACTTCAATGCACACTATCAAGAACGGTTGTTCCCGTACAGATGATCGATCATGCTGGCAGAGAGATGCGTAAACTTGCGTTAACACTAAACCTTTCCCAGCTTGTCAGTGGCGCCACAAGGATCCCAGATGTTGAATCTCATATGGCTAATTGCTTGGACCTACTGCTAACAACTGATCCCGACCGATACTATGTGGTTATGGATACACCATTGGGTACTTCCGACCACTGTATGGTGAAAGCTGAATCCGCGTACTCCCAACCTGATCAGGGCTCCAATGGCACGAGATGAGTGTGGCGATACAGGTTAGCAGATTAGAACGAAATGCGTCATTTTTTTGCTTTATATCCCTGGCAGGCTTGCTTTTCTTCGGAAGACTCGTCGAGCGGTGCTGACGCTGTAGTGTACATTACATTACATATCATACTCTGATGTATCCAATGGACCTCAAGATCGTCCTTGGTTTAGCGCTGACTGTAGCCGTGCTGAAGCACAAAAACCGTCGGCGTACCAAGCTTGGGTAGATGCTCGACTGCTCAAAGCTCCGAGCACTCGGAATCTGAAGAAAGCTTTTAATAAGGCCGCCAAGAAGTGCAAAAGAGTATTACGCAGGGCAAAGTTCGACCATGTACACCGCATAGCGGCCAAAGTTGCCTCTTTTCCAGCATACAGCAAGTCTTTTTGGTCCCTTGCCAAAGCGGTCGAATCAAACTTTACCCTCCTTACTTTACCACCTCTGCTGATGCCGGATGGCTCGCTGGCTCATACTGCGGATGAGAAGGCGAATCTTTTTGCCTCACTCTTTGTAGAAAACACGCGTCTGAATGCCGCAGGGAACCTACCACCTTCTTTATCTCACACTGGCTGGAGTATAGCACCAGTTCGCGTACGCCAAAAAGAGGTACTCGGAACTCTGCGAAGTTTAGACGTGAATAAAGCTAGCGGACCAGAAGGGATTCCAGCAATAATCCTGCGTAACTGTGCGCCTGAGTTGTCTCCTGTTCTCATACGCTTGTATCGCCTCTCACTTGAGACTAGTGTAGTTCCCAGGTCGAGGAAGCTTGCAAACGTGCAACCTATGCCCAAAAAAGGAAGCAGAGCTGACCCTGTCAACTACCGACCTATCTCAGTCACTTCCATACTCTGCAAGACTATGGAACGTGTACTTAATAACCGTCTCCTGTCGTACCAAGAAGACAACGACCTCCTTAGTACTGGGGATCTTCTTGTGTACGCCTCTCATCTATGGAGCGAGGCTATAGAAAGACATGGCGAAGTTCTTGCAGTGTCTTTAGACATTTCTAAAATCTTTGACAGGGTCTGACACGCAAGCCTTGTAAGCAAGCTTCCCACTGACCTTTGCAACTGGATTTCGGATTTCTTGAGTGAACGTTCGATTCGAGTGGTCTTAGGAGGTTACTCTTCCGAATATCGGGCGACAGATTCCTCAGGATGCCGTACCGTCCGCAATTCTCTTTCTGCTGCATATCAATGATATGTTAATCCCAGGGGCCTTTGAATATGCTGATGACAGTACATTTGTGGACAGGTACATGACCAATGCAAGGGTCAGTGGAGAAGAAATCCAGTCTTGTCGAGAGAAGCGTTTCGCTTCATTTACATGGCGAGCGACTAGAGAGAGAAATTCCCTACCTGCGGACTTGTTCCCCGAACGCTATAACTTGGACCTTTTCAAGGCGAGAATGAATAGGCATTATTCGCTTAGGTGTACACGCTACATCATCGACCTCATCATCACTTTCCATCAGGTGAGATAGAAGTGAAATGCGCATTAATTTTTTTATAAAAAAACTTGTTATTTATCATGGATAGAAAACCCAGTTTACTCTTTAGAATTTTACAAACAGGTTTAATTAAGTTATTGGTTTTAGGTCTTCATTATATGACAGAACGAGGAAAATGTGGAGTCCGTTTTATGTATCGTCGGAATAACATGTCGATGACCGACCGAGAAATAAATTGTGATTCATTAATTCCGCTCAGTGTACTTTTTCCTGTAAACATGATAACGACAAGTAAATGTGTAGGTATGTACATTTTTGAACATAATTAATATTTGTAATATACATACATTGAACACTCAAATTATAAGAGTCTGTAATAATATTGGGTATAGGTATGGTATAGGTGTTAGATTAGTAAAGTATAAGCGCTTATACTAAGCGATAGAAATTTCGCTATACTTTGATGGAAAAAAAGTCAAAGATAAGCTAAAACATACCTTTACAGATGTAGAGATTGACTTGGTTATATCCTTTAACCAAACCAAAATGAGCGAGGTACCATATCCATATGTATCAACGTAGACACGACACTTAAATACATATAGGAGTTAAGAAAAAGTTAGTATAATGAAAAGGAACATAGAAAAGATCCCTCTATCCTAACAAAGAAAATCGGTTAATGAATTTGTATGTTCCTTATCGTCATACCATTGCAAAGAAAAATACTTTCTGAATGCTTTAAGAAAATCAACCATCTGTAAATAAATAATATAGCTGAAACCACAAAATATGGAACCCGACAAGACACCTGACAATTCAGGGCCTAATATTCCAATTAGCAAAAAAAACTAACTTCCGGCCTTAGCTAAAATGTTCTGTAAAATTCTTTAAGGACTTAATAGTCGAATAAATATGGAGCAGGTACTAGGGTAAAAGAAGAAATAAACAAGTTTCGCCGTATAAAAAGTATCGATATCATTATAGAGATGCAGCTTGAAAATGCATAGTCACGTTACTACTAATAATTCACTATTTCGTTGATTAAAAACTGCAAATTCACTCACAAGTTGCTTTGTCTCCATTAACAATATCTTTGGTTACAGTTATCTTTTCCCCAGGGATAGAAAATTCGGGTGCAAATAGTACAATTATAAATAATGTTGGGAAGTAATAGCTTGCGCCGCTGTTCACAAGTGACGCATTCCCTTTGGAGGCGTCGCCTGCAGCGCTTGGCACCTCCTAAGATCCTGCGCCCGTGCGTACATCACACCGACCGACCGTGTACCATAGGTACCGGCTTTACAAGCACTGCCAATGTATTATTTAGGTGTTACATATTATTTAGTGTAACGGTGATAGTTCGTTCAACAAAAGGTTTTTTTAAGTTTTAAAAACCTTTAATTGATAATGTATCATTATCGTCATCACCATTATCAGATTTTTGTTATCACCAGCCCGCTGCTGGACATAGACTAATATGGATAGACTGGATTAATATAAAATAAGGCGATACGATTACGAACTAATCGTATACGAAATCGAATATGATTAGTTCGAGACGTACTCTGTAATATAAATACGAATAGAAATGGAAGCTGTATACTCATATATACGGTCCGTACTAAGATGAAAACAACGTGGTACCTAGTTAAAACCAAATTGAAGAAACAAGTAATAAAGTTACTTACGTGGTTACAAATACTTGCATAAATATACTCATCATGTCATCCAAGAATCAATCAATCAATCTATCAATGACGACTCTACACTGATAGTGTACATTAACGATTTTATAGCTGACGTTAGGATGACTCATTATCAAACAGTCCAGAATAAGATCAGATGAGTCAGAAAAGAAGGACCGTAGATATTATAATATTTGATAAATGGTAGGTATTTGGAAGGAGTTACAAAACACCAGTGGCTTTTAGAGCGGATTGATCTTGTGAAACAAAAAATCTTATGACTAATTAGTAAGTTATCATAACTGTAGTAATTTGTAGTATATTATAACGCGTGTATATGATAAGTACTAGTATATTGCTTACATAAGCAGATACATGAGGCCTTTTCGTTTTATTTTACAATTTGTAATACGTCGTTACGAAAGGCGGATTTGCGGATGATATCATCATAATTTTCGCAGAAAACGTGGAGAATTTGAAAGCTGTGATTGGAAGCTCTTCAAGCTCTTACTATGAGTCAGTCGTTGTGGGACTGATGATGAAATTTTGGTGAAATGACAGGCACATGAAACTTGTCACCTTATGTCTCAGGGTGACGGGCGCAGTGGCAGTACCACTAAGATCTTTGTGATTTAAAGCCCTGAGTGGCACTATAACTGTTATGGACAGGCATGTCGCTTATCGCCGGGAGCACGATTTCTTCGTCCAGTCACTTGGTATCATAAAAAAAACACTAAAACACTGTTCATGTGTCGGTCATGAATGTTCTCTCTCTCTCTCTCTCTCTTTTTAAAGAAAGGAAGAGTATGTCTGCTTGGGTCAGACTTTGAACATTATTAAATTCTAGCAAAATAGCGAGATTCTATGATTACACAAAGATATGAAGAAGACCGTATCTAATCGACTTAGCTATGAAAGAGGAAATTTTCGAAAGAAGAATTTCGAAAACACGGCATGTAATAATGAAGTTTCTAATTGATTTACATTTTTCAACATATTCCCTATCTTATACTTAGTTACGTAGGTATGGAAGCAATTGTAGTCCGCTCTCTTTTGACTAACATTGCACCCCAAATATACACTAGGTATGTTGTTTAAATTGAACACATCCTTCCTCGCCATAGAGATCCTAACACAACTCCGACAAATAAGGCAAAATTAGCGGACATTCAGGATTGCAGGGGATGGCTGAGTCATAGCCCCACTCGCTCCCCTTACTGCACTGCAGCCGAGGGTGCCCGGGTCGATACCCGCAGACAAGTATAAATCTGAAAATTATCTATCATTTTGCAACAAGAATATGAAGGCGTCGGAAGTAGAAAGTCTTTCACAAAATAATTTTTAAACTTTCGCTCTTGAAATAATTTCAAAAATTTTTACATTATCAGTTGAAAACATTGAAAATATTGCATGAAGTTCACATTATGTTACTGTTTTCTCACATCTCACAAAGAATACCTTGTCACTGACATTGAAGTCAAGTACTAAAAGATCAGCTACGCTAAGGTCGTTGAAACGTAAAGACACGTTTTTGACCAAATAAGCATTTTGTTTGCCGTTTTAGAGCAGCACTGAAATGAGGTCGTATGAAACGAAGGCCTTGGTTATTCTACGTCATTGTTACCTCGCTTAACAAACATTGATCAATATTTTTAATGGAACATGCAATTTCGTATCCTCTATACAGTTTTCAAGCCGAATCTTAGGTGCCTCGTGAAAACCACGAGTGTAGGCCACGAGTTCTGTCAAGTAGAAATACAAAATATGTATTTTCTAAAACAATGAAGTTGCCACATGATAATTATTTCTTTATAGTCGTATAATTCTTAATGTGTACTGCACCAAATAACATCTTATTAAACATATTAATTTAAATTTAACTTATTAAAATATCTTATTAAACATCTTATCAAACATCTTTGATGACTACCGAATTCTGCTAAATTCAGGTTAATGTCAGGTGTTGGAGCGGTAATTCGCGCAAATATGCTGATTCATAGAGAAAGCACTTGAGACACGAACAGAAATGAAACTATAATAATTATCTTCTTGAGACACGGTCATGGTCATATTCGATGAATGAACTTGCGGCTTTTGGATCGTTAATTGTTAAAAGTGACAGCGCGACACGTGAGCCGGCTTGGCGACTGTTTGTGGTCTCTATCATATTCACATGTGTTATAATCAGCATTCCCTCTCATCTTATATCAAAGTATCTCGTTTTATCACCATTGAAATTATCACCGTGGAATTATCAACGCTTGTTGAACCACGTTACCCTATATGGTTATGAAATTGAACCAGCTCGCGATTGGTGGAAAATATTATATTCTTGATAGTGCGCGAGCTGTTGATAAGAAGTGTTTTAAATAGTATTCCTCGTGGGCCGTTTCTCATTTTGTGGTGTGCGGTTGACCGAGGCAGCACTGCGTCGCGCCGACGGTTTTTCCTTACATATTTAATACAGTAAGTTTTGTTTAATTATTATTCGCATTTGTTTACTTCTCATTCTCGTATCTCTCTCGTTTCTGAATGAGCTCAGAGTGTTTAAAGATACAATTATGTGACAGTGTTAAAATTTTTGACAAAAGAAAATTACGTAATGTGGATTACATAATTATATGGAATGAAATAACTTGATTGTTTCATTTTTGTGAGTAAAGTTTTTCCTGTACACATAGAAACTTAAGAGAAACGATTGTTTCAGACTAATTCACAATGTGCGACGAGGAAGTTGCTGCGCTGGTAGTGGACAATGGGTCCGGTATGTGCAAGGCCGGGTTCGCGGGTGACGACGCGCCGCGTGCCGTGTTCCCGTCGATCGTAGGCCGACCACGCCACCAGGGTGTAATGGTCGGTATGGGCCAGAAGGACTCGTACGTGGGCGATGAGGCACAGAGCAAGAGAGGCATCCTCACCCTCAAGTACCCTATTGAGCACGGTATTGTCACCAACTGGGATGACATGGAGAAGATCTGGCACCACACCTTCTACAACGAGCTCCGTGTCGCCCCCGAGGAGCACCCCGTTCTTCTCACTGAGGCTCCCCTCAACCCCAAAGCCAACAGGTAGGTGTCACTGTCTAATCTGGTTTGATTTAGTTACTCTTAACAAGAGCGTACAGAGTAGCAGCCACTAACCGTCTGTTTCTGTTACAGGGAGAAAATGACCCAGATAATGTTCGAGACGTTCAACACTCCCGCCATGTACGTGGCCATCCAGGCCGTGCTGTCACTGTACGCGTCTGGTCGTACTACCGGCATCGTGATGGATTCCGGCGACGGTGTCTCGCACACAGTGCCCATCTACGAGGGCTACGCGTTACCGCACGCCATCTTACGTATGGACTTGGCCGGTCGGGACCTCACCGATTACCTCATGAAGATCCTCACTGAGCGCGGCTACTCATTCACTACAACGGCCGAGCGTGAGATAGTGCGTGACATCAAGGAGAAGCTCTGCTACGTGGCTCTCGACTTCGAGCAGGAAATGGCCACAGCCGCCTCCAGCAGCTCGCTGGAGAAGTCTTATGAGCTTCCCGATGGACAAGTTATTACTATCGGCAATGAGCGTTTCCGTTGCCCTGAGGCGCTTTTCCAACCCTCGTTCTTGGGTATGGAAGCCAACGGAATCCACGAGACCACTTACAACTCAATCATGAAGTGCGACGTTGACATTCGTAAGGACTTGTATTCCAACACTGTTCTATCTGGTGGTACCACCATGTATCCAGGCATTGCTGACCGTATGCAGAAGGAGATCACTGCCCTCGCCCCGTCCACCATGAAAATTAAGATAATCGCGCCACCTGAAAGAAAGTACTCCGTATGGATTGGTGGATCGATTCTTGCCTCCCTCTCGACCTTCCAGCAGATGTGGATCTCAAAACAGGAATATGACGAGTCTGGCCCCTCAATAGTTCATAGGAAGTGTTTCTAAATGCCACATATGAGACTATAACTAAATGTAGTTTGTAATTGTCCTACATCAAACCCTGACGGGATGACTCAAATGACGCTTGTTATATATTATTTAAGTACAGTATTTAAATAGGCTATAAGTTATCGTAATATGCATATTACGAAAATAGCAAGAATCATTTTCGATTCAATTTTTTACAAAGAATATGTATTTTTTTGTTACACAACTCAGTAATAAAAAAAATTATATATCGTTGTAAATTCTTATTTTTATTACCTGTCACTTGACGTCTCTGTCCATATTTTAAAATCACAAGTCTATCACTTGCTTAGTCATTCATTTCTGTATTTTGGGAACTTTCATAACGGCAGTTCATTATATTCATACTTAACGAATTTCTCTTTAATGATGACAAAGTAACTGACATACTTTTATTTTAATTTATATTGGGTAATAACACATTCACCCGTATCTACTATGCAACCATAACCAATAGAAACAGAGTTAATGTGATGTGTTAATTTTACTAATGGAAAAGCTATTGTTCCTGGGTGTGGTTCTATTTGTCCACCAGTTAAGTGCCACAGGGAAAACCACTCCCATGGCTTACTTTCCTGTTGTTACAATATTTATTACTCTGGAAGGTCTATTTTTATAGTTAAAGGAAAAGTCCTTTTTCATTATGTATTAATTTGTTATTATTTTGCATGACAACGCATTTAAGTTTGATTTGAAAGCGGTTGGTAGGTACTTGTGGTTTAAATCAAGGAAGTTGTACCTACAATGATGCGGAAAACAGATTTCCTTTCAAACAGTTCAAATATTAGGTACATTAGTGTTAAAATATTATAACTACAAAATGTTTTTTACTTATTACTTTGTAGATCTAGGTAAGTTCAGGTTTAAACGTTCAAGGCAATGTAAAATGACAACATAACCATGATCACCTCTAATCCCAACAGTTACATTGCGTTTAAAAGCATCTATTATATTTTATTTGCTTAAATAGTTTAAAAATATACCGAAAGTCACTGACCTAGAGCAATGTTTCGGAAATAGTCATGTTATAACTAACAGACACACCCACTGCCCGATGCGCGTGACGTCATCGATGCTATTTCTGGATGTGGTAAGACAACTCGTGAGAGTATTTGGAAAGAATAAATATGATAGGACGCAAATATCAGCTGAGATTATCAATTGAAAGGCGCTTTAGACATCTACGTAAGTCTACATTTTAGGTATGCGTTGAGTCCTTCTAAGAAAATTGTACCTAAATCAACAGTAATAAAATAATAGCAGAGTAGTTACATATTTTGTAACGATACATTTATTTTTTCCTGAAATTAGTCCTCTGGCGACCAACGTACTTTCACTTTCAATCTCATACTTTATTCGGTCTGAGTAAGCAACTTCAGCGTATGTATATATTATTAAAAAGGTGACGGTTGACTGACACAGGTGACCATGGGACCTGTAAAGGGCCCGAAACGTCGTCGGTTTGTTTCAAAAAACAAATATACGCGATTTAAATCCGGAAAAATAGTTTCATTTCCTATGCGTAACAATCGCGAAAACCTAAGAACTCTTAAAATATTCTTTTTATTTTTTGATCGCAAATTCCGCCGCAATATAGACGGAGATTACGGATGTGAATTTGTTGACATATTAAAATTGAGGATTTCTATAGCTTGATATGTTTATTTCCTTAATAAAAACTAAAGTTTTGGAAAGGAAAGCATTTGGAACCATAAATGTTCTGAATACAGTGATAAATTATAAGTAACATCTCAGATCATACAAAAAAGGTTGTTTGTATGACCTGAGAGTAATATCTTCCATTTCGACATCACCTAATACACTGAGCTCCTGAATTATATCGAACTCGCGCATGCAGTCCGTCTATTTGTTAGCAGCCTTACTTATTTTTATAACATCTGCTTGAACGAAAGCCGAAAATCCAGGCCAGACTCTTACATCACTTATAACGTCACAAGTCACGTCTTTCGCTCTCACACCTATTGCCTAATGCAGTTTACTATGCCCACAGACCAAATAAATGCCTGCTGCGTTACAGTTCAGTGATGTGTGTAAATGACAATGTTGAGCTCAGTTGTCGGTTACACTAACACACATTAGGCTTATTAGGTGCCAATATCACTTATCAATCGATTGTGATCTAAATTAATTGTCCTTTGCAGGTACCTATAGCATCTTTATATTATATTGAGAGTAGAGACGGCCGGAAAGGCAGAAACTCAAAATGGATCCGCTTCAAAAGAGCTGTGTTCGAGATGCAATACGTTGTTGCCGCTGTTTAAGGTAATAATAATAACTATAATAATAATAATAAAAAAGAAATACAATAATAATAATAATAACACACACACTCAACATAGCCCCGCACTAGGGAAACCCTGTGTCGCGGGTGCCATGGACACACATATAGACAACCACAAATTACACCCAAACTCACGAGAGAAACAAATGTAGGTCATACAAATATTTCTCCCAGCCCGGGAATCGAACCTGAGACCTCTGCGTGGCAGTCCGGCTAAGTATATTGCAATTTACAAAATCCGTCGATACCTCATGATGAGTTCCATGACTTGAGAGTGTTAGTAGGTCTACATAGTTCAAATGAGTTTTTAAACTTTTTTGTTGGTACTTACTTAAAAGTAGACCGTTATCACTAACCCTGTAGGCGTTTATTCAGCTTATTATAGTTTTCATTGCTTGCCAAATAGGGCAACGTATTTCTGCCCCATGTTAAATGTGCACTACGATTTCAACAGAATTTACTAATAGTTAGCCTTGTATGTAAGTACAGTAATCCTCCGCCCTGCATAGTCTGTGTCCAGACGCTCCGGGGAGCGCGGGGTATGGAAAGAGGGGCAGTATCGACCGAGTTCGCCCTTGACCCTCACATTCGTGCACGGAGGGCCCAGGCGTATTGGGATACAAACCGGGGTGTTGTGCAAGTGTGTGTGGGAGTCAGCTGTCACTGCAGGGTATGGGCGCAATGAATTTGAGCTTTTAAAATTATTATTCTAAGTGACTAGCCATAAGCATGTTTGTTTTGCATGCTAACTTGTCTACGTTTTAGGGACAATTTATAACAAATAATAAAAATAAAATAATAAAATATATATAAATAATATATATAAAAATAAAAATAGTATAACTAATTCATACTTAGGAAAGCAATGCTCTTCCAGAATTGGAAATAGCTCTAGGGTTGGATGGACAAATACTTAGATGACAAACAATCTGTTTTAATATTAAAATTTTTTTGCCTTCATTTGCACTCCTGATCATGGAAGAAAGTAAGAAAGAAACAAGAATGACATTTACATATTTTGGCTCTACAGTTAACATAGTAACACAATGTTATTTTGTTTCTCTAAAAATAACTGAGCCACCTTCAACCGGAAACAGGTTCACAAAAAAAACTTACTTTCGTCAATATGCGTGATTCATTCTGCGTCCCGTTTTAATTTTTTTTTAACATACTTCCCCGGTCTTTACAAAATTATTTTTACCGTTAACACTGTGAATGTATATTTGTTGCTTCTAATCTTAGAGGATGGGAAAAAATAAAATTCTAATAGGTTAAATGACAGGGTGTGCCGCTCTTATTTATATTAAAGTAGGGCAACAAAATTACACACTGGTCGCGTGAAGCATGACTCTTGTACAACAATTCGTATATGAAACCTAATAGTGTCGTACCTAACCCAAAAATGATTGGATTTGAGAAAACACGAATTGAAAATAAAAATAAATACTGAATCAATCTTATCGCGAATGATGGGATTATTTTTATTTATACATGTTAAACAGATAACCACTTACAAACGAGAATATAAATTGATTCAGTAATCTTTTGAACTTCCAAATCGAGTTTCCTATCGCAGCTCAATTTTAGAGTTACGACGTTACGACAGTATAGGTACCTATTTGGTATCATGTATGAATTATGTACGTTAGCATGGCCTATCGCGTTTTATTTCGCTTTGTTAAATCTGCCCACGTATTATGAAGTGTTCAATTTACCTCGATTAATTTTATGCCTAATTAACAATTAATTTCGAAGCGAAAATGCTCATTTTTGTGGAAAAATTACGCTCTCTTAACATCATTCTTAAAATAGTCGTTGTTTCTCGTGATCGATAAATTGCGAGTCGGTTTTCCATCTTAAGTTTCCTCTCCAAAGGTAGACAAGTTTTGAACGATAAAATTGTCGTTTTAAAGACTAATATGCAAATTGTTGCTAAACAATGTGATTGATATAATTAAAGTACTCTGTATTTTTCAGGTCGCTGATTTATTAAAATACTAATAATAATATAGGAGCATACATTTTCCTATCTTAATATCATACATAACACATCAAAACATGTGTTTAATCATAGCAAGGTGCCGCACATGTAAATGAGTCATCGAACAAGCAATAGGTAACTATTCTACATGGGTTTTGGTATCAACACAATGCCCCTTACTTATTTGTCATTCTGTACGGATTTCACGTTTCCTTCTGACTCATAGTCTGAGACTCAAGTGGCGCCCGTTTTTGTTGTCTTTGAAAAAATGTAATGCGTTAAAAATGTAATGTAATACTCCGAAAGCAGAAACTGAGATTTAATATTTGCAAAATGATTAGAAACAAGCTTTTAAGAAAGTTTTTTTTATATAATATCAACTGACAGGACGGACAAGTCGTGCGCATCACGCTTGTCCATAACAATTGCATTGCCACTCAGGAACATTAAATCGCAAAAATTTGAGGGGCACTGCCACTGCGCCCTTCACTCTTGACAAGTCTCACGTGCCTGTAATTTCACCAGCACCGTTACCCTTCAAAATCGGAACACAGTAATGCTGACATTACTGCTTGGCGGCAGATGTAGGTAAGTTTTAGTTTTATTAGCATTAGGGCTCCTTGTGAAAGAGTCCGGCCAGGGAAGTAATGCCACCTTACTTATTTCTGCCGCCAAGTAATAATGTGATCATTACTGCGTTCCTGTTTTGAATGGTTAAGAGTGCTGGTGAAATTATTGGCTTTTTTTCATCTTATATGCCTCGGGGTGACTCAGACGTTTATTTAATGCTCTGTGTGGTTTAAGACGCTGCAACTGTCATAGACTGGAGCGTATCGCTTGCCATCAGTCGCACGACTCGTTCGTCGCGTCACTTGGTTTCATAAAAAAAAATATGTTAGGAAAAAATTTCAATTTACTCGAGTTAAAATTTGATATTACAAAAATTTTAACCTTTCTACACGTATTTAAATAAAATTATAATTCTACGTAATTACCTTGTAGTTCTTGTATCGTGTTTGGAACTTGACAAATTTACAAAATGATTTCTTGATTGAATGCTCCAATTTGTCGATTTATTTATTAAAGCTCTAATGTGTTCTGTAACTTTATGAACGCATTACTGCGTACCGATTTTATAAGGTAAGGATGCTGGTGAAATTACAGGCAAATGGGACTTGTCAACTTATATCTCAGGGTAATGGGCGTAGTGGCAGCACCCCTCACATCTTTGCGATTTAAAGTACTGAGTGGCACTGCAACTGTCCATATCAACAGGCGTGTCGTTTATCACCAAAGTCGCGACTTACCCGTGCCGTCGCTTCGTGTCATAAAAAATGAACTGTAAAAATAACAACAAAATATGTAATATTTCTAAATAGGTTTACTACATTTACTACGTTTACGTGTTCATTAAGTCACCTTTATCAATATTTTCTACAAAGTGGTTAAACAGGATTTTAACAAAATGACTCAAGCAGTGTTTACACGGTGCGTCACTCGGTCTGCGTTTGCGCTTTGGTCTGCGTTTGTTTAAGTTAACATTATTAAAATTTGTCATTGACAAAGAATCCGGAGAAAAATAACTTTATTCACAATCGATTTTGAAGATCGCATTGTTTTGAACGATCAGTGTATATGATTGAGGAGTTAATTACCACTCCGAATGATATTTAAAAGCCAAGCACTGTCAGACTTTGAGAGAAATTGTAGTATTGATTGGGTTAGTTAATACAGCCAACAGTGTAGTAGCCGTAGAGCTCCTTGTGAAAGAGTTCGTCCAGGGTAGTACTGCCACCTTACCTTACCTATTTCTGCCGCCAAGCAGTAATGTCAGCATTACTGTATTCCGGTTTTGAGGGGTAAGGGTGCTGGTGAAATTACAGGCACATGAAACTTGTCAACTTATGTCTCAGGATGACGGGCGCAGTGGTAGTGCCCTTCAAATCTTTGCGATTTAAAGCTCCGAGTGGCACTTCAACTGTTATAGACTGGCGTGTTGTTTACCGTCCGGCACACGACTTGTTCGACCCATCTTATATGAGAAATAAACCAACTGTCTTTGGATAGTATATAGTAGGTAATAGCTATTTATAATGAACTATTTTATAACGAAGCAAAAAAAGGGTAGTTTGAATATGTTATGATGATGTAAAATGATGAATAGATCTAAGACTCTACATAATACATTAACGGAAATATTAGAATTTGCTTGCGTAACATCCTGGTTTGAATATTAAATAGCTGTGTTATGATATGATGTTATGGTATCGCAAGAACTTGAACCAAACGCATTTTCAGTTTTTGTAACTATCCTAACATATTTCGCATTAAGCTTAAATTAAAATTGTATGTATACACTAAGTACCCTAGAGTGAGGTAAACAGATATTTAATATTATTGCTACAAGACATTGTTTTCCTATGTCCAGGAAAGATACGTAGGTATTCGAGGTAAGCTGATATGAATACTGACATCACTTCAACGTCTATAGAAATTAGACTTGTAATAGAAATTTTACCTTAATATGTTTCCTAGTATGTGTATGTTATAGTATTGACTCACAAACATAAAATATATGTCTGTGTGTTGACTCATTTAATTCGTAGTAGTTTCTAACCATATAGAATGATTCTTATCACAAGCGTGTCAAGTGAGTATGTGAGAATGAGTCATTTTACTACAACCACTAAGCTATAACAAAGATCTATTACGTACAAACCCTTTTTTTTAATGCAACTATATCTACGTAATAATTAAAATAAAAAGTACTGGTACTAGTTTATATGTATGTTTGTGTTCATTAGCAGTTCTTTGAGACTAGTATCGAGTATTCTCTATTTAGGTACGTTTTACATGCTCCGCTTATTAGTTTCTTTAATTTTGGGTACGTACTGACCTTTTTTCCTGTTTCAGTTTCTATCATCTATGATGAAAACATAATACTTTTATCTATATCTACTCTGTAAAAGTTTGCTTGACTGAAATAACAAATCAACAAAATTAGGACGACGCTGACGTAAATTTGTACCGTTCAATAAATTATATATTTTTAAATGCGTTTAAAACGCACTAACATTTAGGCACAGATTACTTAATAATATTTAGGTTACTATTTATTACCAATGGACCATTGACATCCACAACTAATTGATAAATGACTTTTTAAGTTAAATACACTAAGATACTTATTATTAAGTAATATTTATTTTAGCAACATCACACGATAATTTACGTCTGACTAAGTCAATGGTCTGACGGAAAAAAGTTGGTAATGGAACACGTCAAAAATACAGAGTCGTTTCTCATCTTGTTGAGAAATGGTTTGACGTTCATTTTTAAATGACATGTGAGTGATTTCAGTTTTTGTAAATTGCTGAAGTTGTTTTAAGCCACGATGTTGCGTTATTTTCGATTAAATAGCATATTTTTGGTGAATTTTTGTGCAATGTGTACCACTATACTATTTTATGGAAATTCTACTGAAAATTAACAAATAAGTAGTAATACAGTATTCCTTACAACTTAAGCTTAATTAAGCTTAAGTTTTAAAGAATACCTATATTAGGTAGTGGTGAAGATCACTTGTAGTTTTCCTTCTAAAGATTTCAACGTGTTATATGGTGCATTATTACAATGTGTGAAAAGGATGTTAGGTAAACTTACTATAATATGTTGGAGTTCCTTTATAAAAATTATGCTACTGAAAAATTTACTGACTCTTTATTGTCATCAGACAGTACACCTACTACATCTGACTGCAAGACGTAGTTTTTCTCTAGAGGGGATTTCGTAGTCCATCACTGTAGCCAAAGCGTCTTGGTATATGCTCATGCGTTTTACCAAACTACCAACGAAGGAAGAGATCAACGTCTCAGATGAAACTTTCCAACTTGAATAATTTAAACTTATTGATTTATTTAGCATACCCACGGAAAAATTGCTGGCAATATTTAATTAGATTAGGTAATAGGTTGGTGTTTATGAAATAAATATTAAAGTGTTTTAGTCAGCAAAAGCGAAAGTCATACGAATTAATTTTAAATCTTATTAGACTACTACAACGAGCAAGTTTTCTCATGTTTAGATTGATTATTTAATTTTATAAATATTAAACACTTGAGTTTCTCTGGGTACAAGACTGTTGAGTTGAAGTTCCGCGTAGATTTCATGTCTGTACTAACTTAACGCCACTCGCAGAAAAAAATAGGTACTTATTTAAATATATCATAATAGTAGGTACCTACGTTTAACGTTCACATTCAAGTAAAAAAATTATAAGCAAGATCGTACCTAACGATCATCGTTTCGTAACGTTAAAATACAATGTTTTAGGCTTGCTCTACTTTGTTTGCACGTACTTGGTTCGTGTTGCAAAAGCTTGTTTAATACCAGCTATATGCACTCTAAAGTAAAGTAAACATACAATCGCGTCTCGGCAAGGCTTGTCACAGCTTAATGGGTTCTCCTCACGTGATTACAATCTGTCCAAGAATTCGCATTTCGCAGATAAGACACGCGACCAAAGACGGTTATGAATAGTCGACCAAATAATATAGGCGTTGCTCTCCTTCGAGTAAAGTATGCGTTCAAACCTCCACACAACTTGGTTAGGCTTCTTTAGCGTCAATGCCGATGCTGCCGTCTGTAGACGGTATTGCATGAATCGTTTTGCTAGTAGAGGCGAACACATTCACTTAACCATAAGCTAGTGTGCGTGCGCCATGTACGAATAGGGACCGTTGCTGCCGTGCACCAATCAGAATCCAAAATTTTTCCCATGCCCATATTTGGTAATGCCATCGGCTGATTCAAGTGGGGATTCGGGCGAGTCCATTGTTGTGTCAGAAAAATAAAGCGTTCTAAATTCAATTTATGAACAATTGCATGACATCTATCAGTGGAATTTGGCAGCGGATGATTTTTGTAAGAAATTTATGTAATAATTGCGGTTAAATTAGTAGGAAAATTTGAAATTTCCAACAATAACAGGGGTCCGTTGGGCAAGTCGATTGCGTGGCGCCGGCGTAGCGAGAGCTGGTGAAGCAAATCGACCTCCGCGCGCGAGCGAACGACAGACACCGGCCGGCGTTTCTTACGGATCGGCGATTACTGCTGTTTGTTTTGTGGGTGCTGCTGAATATCACTGGTAAGTTTAATTTCTATACAATTTTCGTTTACTTTAGTAGATTTATGTAAAACATTAAATAAAATGATATTTTTTTGTACAATTCGATATCAACACAGGGAGGTTAGGGTGCGGGTTGAGACTTGAGTACATAATCAGGTCCCTATTTTTATCTTTCGTAGACCGTAGCAAGTTCGTAACGCTTTCGTAGCACGGGAATATTAAATAAATTGATAACGATAGGTAACTTATTGGAAATATGCCAACTTTAGCTGACTCACTTTCGTTATCGTTATAGAGTAAACAAGAGCAGAGATTTGTGTTACAATAGAAAGTCTTAACAACTGTAATGAGTGCCAACCTGGTCGCGTTAGTAATGCAGAATACGGTGTGTAGCCAGTCATTTCAGAGTTATCATCACGTCATTGCACTCACTATCAGCGACGAGCGGTACTTGGCGGTGTAGTTGCGGGGTGCGGGGCGACGCGCAGGCTCCATGCAGCGCGCAATACCATATATGGTAACGAAAACTCACGTTTTGTGTGATTGGTCGAGCCGGCAGCAGTCGCGGGAAGGGACGGCCCGATAACCACTCTCATTTATATACCCCGCATGCCTCGCTTACCGACATTCCACGAAGTGAGCTTGAGTTGAAGTGTTGTGCAGCAGAACCGAGGCTGTGCAATAGCGATATTAATTTATTTATTTAATAGGACTATTTAATTAAATGTAAGTTGATGTGATGTTATCTTATCGTGATGATTAGTGATAGAGTGATGTGAATGTGGTATCATCAAATTAATGTGTGGGGTCAGTGACATGATCCAGGGTAGGCCGGCTTCACATGGCGCCTCGGGGTCCCGGGAATTGTCGGTTATGGTAGGGCGTGGCACGACTTCGAATAATTGAAATCTTTGTGAAATAATCTACTAAACCTCAAATTATAAAATTTGGAAAGTGAGTGGACGTGTGCTTGACGTTTACCGGTTGGTAAAAGCAGCCCGTCTAGTGAAAAGTGGTCGCGCCACGTCTCCGGATTCTTGATCGAGCCTTATTAGGTCTTGCCTTGCGACTTCGCCCACTTATGCCTTATAATGGCGTAGGTTTACAACCCACAATGCTTTCTTAATATGGATGCGATTCTTGTCTCGTATCGTCTGCTGACGTATGCATGCAGCGTACCTACATAATTGCGAGTTAAAATAGCCAGTTAAATAAACAAAATATCTAAGTTTAAGTAAATTTATTCAGAGGCATTAAGAATGAATCTTTACTGTTTCAGACTAATTCACAATGTGCGACGAGGAAGTTGCTGCGTTGGTAGTGGACAATGGGTCCGGTATGTGCAAGGCCGGGTTCGCGGGTGACGACGCGCCACGCGCCGTGTTCCCCTCGATTGTAGGCCGACCACGCCACCAGGGTGTAATGGTCGGCATGGGCCAGAAGGACTCCTATGTGGGCGACGAGGCACAGAGCAAGAGAGGCATCCTCACCCTCAAGTACCCTATTGAGCACGGTATTGTCACCAACTGGGATGACATGGAGAAGATTTGGCACCATACCTTCTACAACGAGCTCCGTGTCGCCCCCGAGGAGCACCCCGTTCTTCTCACTGAGGCTCCCCTCAACCCCAAAGCCAACAGGTAGGAGTCACTGTCTAATCTGGTTTGATTCAGTTAACTCTTAACAAGAGCATACAGAGTTGCAGCCATTAACTGCCTCCGTGGCCGAACGGTTACCATGCCGAACTGCCACGCAGAGGTCCCAGGTTCGATTCCCGGGCCGGGAGAAATACTTGTATGGCCTACATTTATTTCTCTCGTGAGTTTGGGTGTAATTTGTGGTTGTCTATGTGTGTGTCCATGGCACCCGCGACACAGGGTTTCCCTAGTGCGGGACTATGTTGATTGTGAGCGTTATTATTAACTATCTGTTTTCGTTACAGAGAGAAAATGACCCAGATCATGTTCGAGACGTTCAACACTCCCGCCATGTACGTGGCCATCCAGGCCGTGCTGTCACTGTACGCGTCTGGTCGTACTACCGGTATCGTGCTGGATTCTGGCGACGGTGTCTCGCACACAGTGCCCATCTACGAGGGCTACGCGTTACCGCACGCCATTCTGCGTCTGGACTTGGCCGGCCGCGACCTCACTGACTACCTCATGAAGATCCTTACCGAGCGCGGCTACTCGTTCACTACCACGGCCGAGCGTGAGATCGTGCGCGACATCAAAGAGAAACTTTGCTACGTGGCCCTCGATTTCGAGCAGGAGATGGCCACAGCCGCCTCCAGCAGCTCGCTTGAGAAGTCGTACGAGCTTCCCGACGGACAGGTTATCACTATCGGCAATGAGCGTTTCCGCTGCCCTGAGGCTCTCTTCCAGCCTTCATTCCTGGGTATGGAAGCCTGCGGTATTCACGAGACCACTTATAATTCGATCATGAAGTGCGACGTCGATATCCGTAAGGACTTGTACGCCAACACAGTACTGTCCGGTGGTACTACTATGTACCCTGGCATCGCTGACCGAATGCAGAAAGAAATCACAGCCCTAGCTCCCTCAACAATGAAGATCAAGATCATTGCGCCACCAGAGAGGAAGTATTCCGTATGGATCGGTGGGTCGATCCTCGCCTCCCTCTCGACATTCCAGCAGATGTGGATCTCGAAACAGGAGTACGACGAGTCTGGCCCTTCGATCGTGCACAGGAAGTGCTTCTAAACGCGCAGCGCAGCGTAGCGTTGGGGGCAGCAGCCCGCGGCCTGGTCGGTCCGCGGCCGGCTGCTCAGCTCAGGCTTGTAATCTCCGTTAATTTAATTGTACGTAAGATATTATTGTAATTAAATCGTAATAGTGACGGCGGGACGGAGCGCAACGCCGCGGGGCGCGCCGCCCGCCGGCCTCGGTACTGCACTCGCCAAAGGATCTTTTTGTAATCTCATGAATGATGATTGTATGTGCTGAAACGGATAAGACTACTTTCTTACTAGGTCATTTATAAATTATAGAAAATATGAAAATTACATAAAAAAAATCCGAAAAATTAATTGTTGTTTTATTGCCCATTATACATATTATGTTCAATTCGGATAAGTCATTTAGCTTAATCTTTGATTTTCTTCACAGAACTACTGAGAAATTTTCTCCGACTAGTTCTGTGTATGAATTTTCAGTCGAGTTGTACCTATAAATGTTAAAATAGAATTTGCCACATTTCCACGCCTTTTTGGCACTACACCTGCAATTCACTGGAAGCATAGGGTTGTCACCACATTAGTATTTTAGTTTTACCTACAGGTTGTATAAACGTAATTTAAAAACGTATAAAGCATTTGTCCTAGTGCTTTCGTGCTACATTGAAAAAACCATTGTCAAATGCAATACCTACATATTGATGTTTTTATACCAGCATTGGCATTTCGATTATGGGACTATGGCTACTCGATTTACAACAAACATTTAATTTTAAAGTTTTATGCCCTCGATTCCGGACATTAATGGATTTTAACCCCATTTAAACCCGACATTAACAAAGCGCCGAATTAAAACCTGGGTGCTTACCCATCTTTGCGTGCCACATTTTTTGTACATACCTTCTACCCAAGATGAATACTCACTTCAGTAGGGCAAGCACGATAGGGCCGTTTATGCCCATGAGGTGCGACTTGCGCGAGCGATATAAAGCACGAGATCCCATAAATAATAGCAATATCTCGCGCTTCTATATCGCTCTCGCGCAAGTCGCGTCCTATCGTGCTAGCCCTACAGACGTGGTTACTGATCCACATTTGATTTTCTTAAAAGTTGCACATCTCCATTTTATTGTTTGAAATCCGCTCATTTTTTAAACAGTTTTATTTAGTTATTATCGTAGTTTATTTATTTTACTTAGAATAATTTTATCTTTTGACAACTAGACATTCTTCATTTCATTATCGATATTGTTGTACCTATTTGAAAACTCTATATCATGGATCACATGTCTATATGAAGTCTTTACTTTTAGGCTACTTAAAAACTACAGTCTTCCACATAGGTATCAGTTCGACAGAACTACTGGGAAACGTAAACACTATTTGTTCTGTTGGCAGAACAAATGGGAAGAAAATACCAGTACTTCTATCAACAGAACTAGTAGCAATAATCGGACAGAACTACTGGGAATCGTAAATCCCAGTAGGAAGAAAAGTAGCAGTAGTCCTGTCAACAGAACTAGTGGGAATAGAGGGAGTCGTTACTGACTCTGTTTATGCTTCTACTTGGTTAGTTGTGCATTGCAAGTTTTGTTTCCCAGCTGTAATAATATAGTAATAAAAATAAATATATGAATTCCCTGTTACAAATGGAAGTTTTTTAACATGATTTTCAAACATGTAAGATAGCCTTCATCGAGAGACTACGTAACTAGAAATGTACCTATTTCATATCCCCAGGCTCCCACCCGTTACAAGATTCGAGAGGGCAGGTTGTGTGTATTAAAGTGAATGAATTAAAATAATTATTTTTTAATTCCTGGAATTGCACGAATGTGATACCCACTATTTAGAGAGCTTTATTAGATTTCCACGTGTTTCATAGTAGGTATATGGTAACAGCAACCCGCGAGTAATAAATAGGTCCCAGACCCCAGATTCTACGAAGACCTACCAGCAAATCTAAATTATTAAGAACGACGAAAATTTTGTACCCGATTCAAACTTCTTTTAATGGATAATGAATTTTACAGTGTAGAAGAGGAATTTATTTTTCGGAGAAATTGCAATTTCATTTCACGTTGTGGTATTTCGACAATATTTTGTTTATTTATATTTTTTATGTTTATGCCTCGTTTAAACTATTTTGTTGTTTATATTACTGTTTATTACCCCTTGACATTGTATTATAAATTGTAATATTGATAATATAAAATTAAAAAATTCTATTTTAAGAGCCATTAGACTACGGCAGGTTTATAATCATTACGCGTGCAGCGTGCATAATCCGATATATATTTTTTTATTACTATGGGTAGGTACGCCATTTATTAACCTATGAAATAGAAGAACTTCTGTGGAAACCTGTGATTAGCTTCAAATTGTATTTATATAGTTGCCATTTTTTTTTAAGGCAAGGTTGGCAATGAGTTTTTCTGTTTCTCGTGTGTTAATGCCTCGTTTCTGCAGCGCATGGGGGATGTTTGCAGAGTATGAGACGGATGGTTTTGCTGCCATCCTCCGGAAAAAGACAGCATCCCTGATGCGCAGAGTGCGGGACAGTCCCAACAGCACGCTACAAACTGTGGCTGGTAGGATCACCTCTCCCATCTGGCAACGCTTCATGAGAAAGGTGATTAGAAAATTAATGTAAAAAAAATGAATCTACTAACACTCTATGCACTTTTTTTGTTATTATTACTAACAAATTATGGAACTCGTTGTCTCTAACTGCAAGCAGTCGGCTGCAGGCTTGTGGTGTCGACACGCGGGCCGCCTCAGATTAAAAAAAATGTAATCCGAGCGGGCCGCATACAGTTTGTTGTTCTATGAATATAGCAATTGGCATTCATAGTTTGTTTTAATCTTAATCTTGGGAACGTTGTACAAAAATCATCTATTTCATAATCTAACAATAATTAATGAATTCATTTATGTAGATAATTACCTATTTGTTTTCAATAACGCCGCAATCAATAGTACGAATTATATCTTATGTTATTGCTAGTTATACATATAATTACAAAGAACTTTGTTTTAAATTGATTTAAAATTTGTGGGTATGGGAATTAACGGGGGAAGGATATCATCAAAGACCACATTTTCTTTCTTCCGTGGATATCATATAGGTAGCGATAAAGTACTAGGGGCAGCTGAGAAAATATGGCTAATAGTTCATTGGTCTAACCCGCATTCTCAACTCAAAATAAAAAATGTAAACAAACTCCTATCAAAAAAAATCTCATACCACTTTTACAATAGATCATAAAACTACTGTAAAAGTGGTACGAGACATTTTTTACACTTACATTCTATTATACTCCTGTGGGTCAAACAACTTTAAAGAACTTTTAACACAATCATTTTGTCGTTGCCCAACACCATTAAAGCTCGCTCCTAATAACGTTACCTGACTGCCTACCCAAATAACTACATTAACCGCTTAGATCTTTGCGATTTAAAGCTCGGAGTGGCACTGCAACTGTTATGGACAGGCGTGTAGCTTACCATCAGGCGCACGTAGCGATGAAAGAGACTCAGTCTTTTAAGGCGTTTTATAAGGACTCGACTCCATTTTACAGGACTCGACTCTAAAATTAAGACTGGAGGTTTAAAAGACTTAAAGGACTCGAGCTGTTTCCTATGGACTTATACCTATTTTAGTCTTAGTAAACCCGAAGTTTATAAATAAAAATGACGTAGTATGTAGTAAATAATCACGTTTATTTATTTATAATAAAAATTAGGATTCAGATTGATTTAAGCAATAGGTACGAGATTTTAAGACCTAATTATACAATGTGTTAGGACACGCACTGTACAAATTTTAAGGAGGTGTTCAGTATTGGATATTATGTGGAAAACACTAGTACATGTGGGGTCAAAACTCAACTCCCTAGGAATGGCAGCCATTTTGAATTTTTATACTTAGTTTTCTAGATGAATGTTCTAAAATTATCATTTTACGAGAAGTAAAAGCAGTACGAACGTATAAAATATTTTTTCGAAAGCTAAGATTAGCGGCTATTGAATAAAATATCTAATATAATAAATTATAGATAATATAATAAATTGTATTATCTGTAATACATAGAACAAATATATACATAAAAATCTCGCCTGTCACCCATGCAGGGGTAGGCAGAGACTGTGGACCTCCACTTAATACGTTCATAAATAAATAGCATGTTTCATTCATCATTATGGTCAAACGACAATATCAGACACTAAAATTTGATAAAACACTGACTGTTGGGTTCTGTATCCATTCATTTATATTATAAAAGAAACAAATAATTCCCAAAAAACAAATTCTTGAATTGGTTATAATTAACTGATTTCTGTGAACAAAGCTACGTTAACGTTATCCATCAATCGTAAAATAAACATCTTGTGGGTAGAAATAAAATCACGCCATACGTCTCGCGACTCCCGAGACTATAAGGCGCCAGTCGTTTTAGTCCTACAAGTCTTTTAAGCTTCCTAGGGTTAAAAGACTTCGACTCGAATTAGTCTTTGAGTTTTAGTCGTATGACTGTGAAGGTTAAAAAACTAGACTAGTCGTGAGGTGTTAAAAATTAGTCGAGGTTTTTTAAAAGGCATTAAAAGACTGAGGGTCGTATTCCAGAACTCTACTCAATACTCAAGTCAGGACTTGAGTATTGCAAGGAGCACTGAAAATCATACTCAAGTCCTTGCCATTAGGGTCGTATTTCCAGTGCTTGAAATCATACTCAAGTCTGCTTAAATCCTTACTTGAGCATTGAGTAGAGTTCTGGAATACGACCCCGAGTCTTTTCATCAGCAGTGGGCGCACGACTTGTTTGTTCCGTCCAAAAAAACAGACAACATAAATACTGTCCCGTCACTTGATATTATATGTATGTATATAAAAAAACACTAACTCCTTTACACAATTATTATTATATTATTACATTGCGATTGCGGTCTAGGTGCACAGCGACAATTATTGTGTGCAGGCAAGTTAGTTACAACTGCATGCATTTAGTAGCTTTAGTAGTGAGTGGCGGTACTCTGATAAGCCCCCAAACTAATGATTACTGTGATGTGAAATAATTACGCTACAATTGGAGCTGTGGATAGAAATTGCGAGTGTTACATGTTGTTTTTTGAACCCCTAAGCGATTTTATCTTGAGTTTGTTATTGGGTTTAAGAATGCGATTAACACTAAACCAGAGAACAAAAAGTAATAAACATTACCTACGTTAGTATCTCAGTTATGTAGGTATATCTTTTAGAAAAAACAATTACATTAGTAGGCATAAAATTTATTAACATCTAACTGGACTAGCTCCTTCATTAGTCTAAATTCATATCAAATTATAGCTAATAGAATTAGGAATAAAAGAAAAGGTATTAATGCAATTAAAATTATTTCAACCCAACAATAAGTTGCCTATTTAATATAATTTTATTTATTAATATACTCCCGGACACATATTTCGAGCCACTTTGTATTGTCAAATTTGTGTAAATAATGTTTGATTGACCAATAACTAATTCAAGTTTGAAACTGGTGTACTGAACGTCATTTTCGAAAGGTTTTGGTGAAAATTTTAATTTGCGAAATCGGGAAAAACTCTTTCTTCAATGATAATAAAACAAATTTTATTCTAGCACTTGAAAAATAAAAATGCAAGATGGCTCAATTTATGTATCCGGGAGTGTATAATTTAAAATGGAGGTGGATGATAAAGATCTTATTCCTGAATTCTACAGCTTTACAAGGAAAAAAAAACACTAATATTAAAATCAAAACCTTAATTTTTATGTATTCAAAACCTAAAAATAAACTAAAAACCTTATCATCAATAATCATTATAAATAACGGTAAAATTATTCAGAACAACTAAGCGTATTTAAACGGTATTGTGCAGTGTCAGACATTTACAATTTATAAATTACAACATACAAACTTAGTAGTCTAAATAAACACATGATTTTAATTGTATAGATAACATTATTTGTACTTTGGACCTTTGTTAAATTATATTAGTGTTCAAACCTTAAAATAGAAGGCCCCGGGGACTCATTAATTAAATATATTTCTAGGAATGATCACTATCCAATTGTTTATGTTATTGAACACATATTAATTAAGTGGACGATTTCGAGATAATTTTCTGCACACTTCACAAGTCACAACAACCAACCACAAGACAGTCAAAAGCAAGTTCATGTGTCACATTTAAAATCCATACAAATCTGTTCAATCCCTTTGGGAATTTTTAGTGTCTCTTGTTAAAATCGTGTGCTACGATTCACTTTCCTTTATACTATCTTCAGTCGCTCGTCGAATGTCGGATAATGGATTACCATGCACCCTGAATCTATACACGCATGTGTAAGTCGGGTTCCCATGGTTGCTCTCTACTCTTAGTTCGATCATGTCGTAGGCAACAGGGTATTCAATGCCACCAATGTTAGTGGTCTTTGGGTACTTGACAGGAAAGTATTGTATTGCTGTTCCATTTGAGTCGTAAACGTAGTCACCGAAAAGATGTGGCTCCGGATCTAATTCGCCGTGAAGGCCCTGTAATAGTTTGATTGTATTTAACTATATTTCTACCACGATTTGTTTGACTAAAGTTGGGCATGCAAAATCGTCTTCCACATTTTGACATAAAAACAGAGTCAAGAAAACATTCGACTCTATGCTGTTTACAATAAGAACAGTCCAAAGTGTCAAGCTGTGTACGCTCTAACTGTACATATCATGCTAATTTTTATACTGATAATGCTAAGCTAAGCGACATGGTTTCAAATTTAAGTCCGAATTTTAGATGACAATCAATTGGTTCTTATAAATAGAAAAAAATAATAGTTTTATATCAAATTTATTGACCAACTGTAATTAGTACGTAGCAGGCCAATATGAGTTTACTTCAAGACTGCACTTCTGTCAGAAGATCGCCAAAATCAGAAAAACAAAAAAATACGTAACTAAAATCCGTTACCCAACTGAAGTCTATAAATTTAAATAGTTAGGGCGCATTTACTCGACACGAATTTCATCGTGTGGCCGCCGCGCAGCGACCGCGTGCATCTAACTGTTATGACAAAATACGCTCTTTTCATTTAGCATTTACGTTTTAACTTAAATGAGCGCCTCAGGCGCGTGGGCTATTATTGAAGGGGTGCGCGAAAAAAGGCACCCCGCATAATGCACCATTCCTTTCCTGTACGTCTGCGCACCCTGGGCAACAATGGCGAGTACCTTACGCTGATTGGCAAATCCTTTCACCACGATGGTAAGCATTATAGTGTATAAGAAGATTATTATGAAAAAGGAAGTGGTAATGTATTATACTGTCACGTATGGTAACAAATAGACGGGTAGTTGTTTCAAATATAAGGACAAACATGAAGTATCTTTACACTCACATAAACCGAGAAGTTCTTGGGCGCCGACTCGATTTTGCCATCAACAGCCAACAATCGTGACATATGTTCCAGAGAGAAACCAGTCACTTCTATGATCGCGTATGTACGTATTACTGAAACAATAAATAAATGACGTGTACATCATAACGTCGCACAGATGTAGGTCACTCATTTAGACGAATCTAAACATTATTATAAAACAATAGGTCGAAAAATTAACCCATATACGATAAGGTTGACTTTCTACAAAATGTTTTCCTACACCGTATAAGAATAATCAATTGAGTGTCGGAAATCATTAATTAATGGTAATTCTATTATTAAATGGAATCTATTTGTCATAAAACAAAGTATGTAATTACCCAAATAACCCGGAAAACCTTGGAAGGCCCAGCACTCGGCAGGCATGGCGCCAGGAGTGAGGGCATACCGTGGAGAAGTGTACACCCACCACACCGGCAGGCCCAGAATAGAATACTGCTTCGTCTTGATTTGATAGAGTTCCGTGCATTTCGTTGAGATCACTTGGCCACCTGGAATAAAAACCACAAAAAACAAAAATAGAGGGGTTTTAGACCAAATTACTAAATATAAACTAGGAATATAACAAAATATAGCAAAAAGATTTTCATCTCCCTTCAATACATTCTGAATAATAATAAAGACTTGTCTGGATCAGTGTTGGGCAAAATTTAATTGTTCTGGCAATTAAAGATTGACAATTGATTAATTGTCAATTGCGAAACAGCAATTAACGATTGATCAATTGTTAGTTGCGAGAACCGCAATTAACAATTAATCAACTGTTAATTGCGGTTCTCGCAACTAACAATTGATCAATCGTTAATCGCAAATATCTACAATTAACAATTAATCAATTTTCAATTTTTTCAATGTTTTTGATTAACAATTAACAATTAAAACTGACAATTATGATAAATTTATAGGGCATATGGGGGCGAGTTAGGGCGTTGGTTGTGGGGGCCTGTTGGGGGCAGGTTAGGGGGCCGGTTGGGGGCCCGGTTGGGAGCCCGGTTGGGGGTCCCGGTTGGGGGCCCCGGTTGGGAACCCCGGTTAGGGGGCCGGTTGGGGGGCCGGGTTGAGGCCCCGGTTGGGGCCTCGGTTGGAGACCCGGTTGGGGGGCCCGGTTGGGGGGCGCTGTGGGAGGGCCCGCTTGGGGCCGGGGGCCCCGGTTGTAGGCCCGGGTTGGGGGTCCCGGTTGCGGGCCCCGGTTGGGGGCCCCGGTTGAAGGCCCCGATTGGGGGCCCGGTTAGGGGCCAGTTAAGAAGCCTGAGCCACCCAACCGGGGCCCCCAAACCGGGGCTCACAAACCGGACCCCCAAACCGGGCCCCCCAAACTGGGGCCCCTAAAACGGGGGGCCCCAATTGGGGGCCCGGTTTAACCGGGGCTCCCAACCGTGCCCCCAAATCTGGGGCCCGCAACCGGGGGCCCCAACCGGGTCCCCAACCGGGGGCCCCAAACGGGTCCCTAACCGGGGCTTCCAACCGGGCCCCCAACCGGCCGGAATTGATTTTAATTGCAAATTTAATTGCAATTAAAATCAATTCAATTGAAATCAATTGCAATTAAATTCAATTGCAATTAAAATCAATCGCAATTAAATCATTGCGACGCGTCGCAATTGATTTAATTGCAATTGATTTCAATTGAATTGATTTTTTAATCTGATTGAATTATTGATTGAAATTTAATTGATTAACGCCCAACACTGGTCTGGATTAAATCTAACAAAAAATAAATATATGCATGGAAGTTGGTCTATAACAATATTATTTTCACCTGCGGATTCCAAAGCAAAGTCCACTAGTCCAGTTTTATCAGCGTCGTAAATTTCCAACATGCCAGCAACAACCTTCTTGATTTCTTCAATATCGAAATTTGTTCCCACATGTCTCACTTCAACTTCCTTCACGTACTCCTTGATCCTCTCTACAATTAACTCCATTTGTCTCCTTTCAAACACTGCGAGATACTCTTGAACTATCCTACGGATTCTATCTTCGTCCATCTCGGGTTTCCACGCACTCATCAACCGTTCGTGAATCTCCTGACTCATTGTTTGCATTTCATCTTTGGTAACGTAATGCTTATCAAAGTAATCTTTCAACTTCAAGGCTATAGCATCTGAATTGTCGTTCATATTGAATATTTGTATAAGGTTGTTCTGCAAATATTTGAGAGAATACTGTTCAATCTGAGCTTCTAAGTTGTCCAATTTTGATAGTTTTTCACCGAAAAATTTGAGTCGTGAATCGACGTTGAATGCCCAATTTTCTAATGCAGCCATGCGTTTAGACAAATCGGGATCATGTACTATCTCCGGAGACTTGTATGTATCTATTATCACTTCTTTTTGAGGTAGTATTTGTTCTGCATAGTGGTAACCTGAAAACATATGACGCGTTACAAAAAATTGTAATTGAAGTTTCTCTGTCCTTCCCACACAATGTCTTTTGATTAATTAATTACATGTAAAATAAATACATATTTATAAAAATGATAGGGAAGGACAGAGCGATAGAATGAAATTTTACCGAAAAGTGAACTCACCTAAAAGTGTAGCGTTCCATACGTCCACTTTGAATAGGTGATAAACAATCCTCTATCCTCCCCAATCATAACGAAATATATTTTCACAGGGAAGAATTATGTGGGAAACAAGAGAAAGACGCTTTGAATAGAAAATTGTAATTGAATCAAAATAACTGTGTTAGTACACACAAAAATGTTGATTACGTCCTTTAACTTACATGCTAACCCCGTCCCTACATTGTAAATAGTTCCTTATAATCTAATAATAGCTGTGATAAACTTCGAGTGATGTGATCGCTTCTCAAGGAAAATAGTAGAACATATTGCATTTAATGTACTTTACTCATTTATTATCATTAATTTAAAACAAACAAGAAGTTTCGTCAAAATGGATTCAGCCATTAATTTAACATTTTTTCCAAACTCTAAAAATACTTTTGTAATGTCACTGGTTTCATCGACAAACAGTTTTGAGAATAGATCACTTAATTCGAATTCATACAATGATTAAGGCGAAATTACTCACTCATACTTTCTAATGAAATGCCACTTAACTCCTTATTAGTATGTTTTTCATTGTTTTTCTATTTAAAAACAAAATTAGTCACTTTATGTGATGAAATCATTAATTTAAAAAGCAAACTATGATAAGACTTGTGATAGAAAATAATAAATTTAACATTTCTTCGAAACCAGTCTTAGATCATTCAGAACTATACAAACATTAAGTACAAACAAACATTGTACATTACATAACAGCACATAAAAAAACAGGGATGAAATTGAGAGCGTACTTTTAGGCAATAGGATGAACATTACAGCTACACAACATTACTATTCGTTTGAATTCACATCGCTTTATAATTTAACTGCGTTTACCTGAAAGAGGAATGATTTCACTCATTAATGTGAACAATTTACCCTGAGGACCTTTATCTAAAAACGTAAAAAAAACTTTTGAGAGATGCACCCGATAGGAAAAAGTTGTACCTGTCTTAATATGGAGGCAATCATTCTCGTTCTAGTGTAACGCTAACAACCCATATATTAAAGCTATATAATTAGTTCTGAATGGTCTTAGATTACACTTTATAATAATTTTATTGCAAAATAATATAATCAGTTCGAATAAACTTTGGAATACAATTATTGTAATTTTTGAAACAAATTATGACTAGTTGTTAGTCTTTTCGTGAAAATTTAGTGACAAAGATTTAATTTTACATTTTTTATTGATATAAATTGAATTATTGCACATTGAAACAATCACTTAAAATGTATGGCCACATTTATAGGTACATGTTGTAGACATTCATATAGGGTGTTTCAAAAGCCCGGGACAACAACACTAAATAATTATCGAAATGTGACGCGACAGAATTGGAAATTCGCTCAAAAGCTCATTTTTGTGTTGCTTAGTGTAATTGGCACCTTAATTACGTTCTTCTGAAACAGCCTATTTAATTAAAGTAATAATGATTTAAAGTTATATTCAATGGGAATAAAATCTAAACTTAAGACCGGTGGAATGAAACATGATAAACTTTTAATTAAATAGCAATTATTAACTAACGCATATAATTTTAATCACTATTACTTGAAATAAATTATAATATACACTTGTACCAAACAATTAAAATATTATTATTGTAAACGTCCATTTTTAAAATAGATAGATTTAAAATAAATAAAATAGTTTGTAGCTACAACAAAGTTTAAATAGCTGTAATGTATGTTAAATATTGGCGTTTTCTGCAAAAATACCTAATTTAAATGTTTTGAATATTTATTGTCATAGTAAGAAAGGAAGCAAATGTGTACATTTGTATTTGGTACATAAATGTACACAATACAATTATTAATACCAAGTTTAAATGTATTCCGTTCTCCCCATAAATTATTTTCGCGTATATTATTATTATTTATTTATATTATTTATATAAAAATAAGGCTTGTAAATTGGAGTCAGCGAAAATAAAAATCACTGAAATAAAATTGTCATAAATAATGAATATTAATCGTTATCACAGAAAACATCTGCTGTCTGTCGTCATAAATAGAATTAGATATGGATTACGTTCGCCACAAGGTATCTAACCTTAAGTCTAGTAAGAACAATTTACAAGTATTAATAAAAAAAAAATTAAGATGAAGTAGGTTTGATACTTTTGAAGAAGTTACAATTTAACACAAGTTTTATGGCTTATGTTTGACTATCCCCATTTTCCAATGTATTTTTTTGTGAATTTCTAATTAGACTACAATAACTCCAAGTTAAATGCCAATAAGATAAATCCCAAAACAACCACAAAAATTAAATTATGATAATTTAACGTGACGTCTCGAACATCAATAAGTAATCTTAATAACTACAAACAAAACCATGAAATCAATCCATTAAGTTTAAGTATGTACATAATAAAATAATAAAGATATATTGCGTATATTGAATAGTGGATGTAACACAACATAATATGTAATTATTACGTTTAATTAACCCGTCACGCGCCGAAGTACAATATGTGTATTTTCCATTTAATTATATTTTTTATATTATAAAAATGTATAATTTTTCCTTTTAATTTACCAAAATATTTACAGTCACACGGACGACGTCAGAAGGACACGTGACAGGTTAATTTGTAGTTAAAATATCTCAACTCAATTAACTTCTTCTTACAGTTCCCGTTAACTACGGACTAAATGATAAGCCGACTAGGAGAAACCCTCGACTTTCATTCCCTTGGTCCTATAAATAATTTTGCATATACGTACCGAAGCTTGACAGATGCATGGTATTGTTACTGAGGGATCTTAAGTTTTTGAGTCCTAGTTTCCTAATTTACGTGAATTAAAAAAAAAAACAAATAGCCGAATATTTCAGTGTAGTGTTCACCCGCAGTTACTGTTACACCAGAATGAAGGATCCGTCAATAACGGAAACATTACCAACTCACGTAACAGGTTTAATACCCTTTTATGATGCATCTGTAGAAATAACCGATATTTTAGTCATCCAAGTATACTGCGCCAAAAATGTCCTATTTCTTCAACGCAACTTTCGGCTACCACTTTCATGTAATCTGACGCATCGGCCAATCTATTTTGAACTACGTCTTTGTACTCTCTGTACGTTTTTGCAACTTCAGGCAAATTATCAGTTATATCTGGAAGGGTTATATTGATTTCTGGTAACGTGAGATTTATTTTGGGTATAATTTCTGGTAGAGAAATGTTCGGTAGTGAAGGTAGGGTGATGGTGGGGAATTCCAACGACGATATATTGGACAAATCTAGATGGAAATCGGTAAAGTTGGGCAAAGCGAACCGGTCCCAGTTTTCGTATGTGTAGCGCGCTGAAAATTTTTGATTAGTTACCTAGATTATTCAAAATACACTCTATTAAATAGAACAAAGTCAGATTAACGAACTAGCCTGTAATAAACAGCACAGTGCAAAAAATAATAATTAATAAAATATCTAATTTTAACATTTTTTTCCTTCAAAGATATCTTTTATGTAACACTAACTATTCCTTGATCTGGCTTGGTATTAAGTCACGTCGGTAAATGCATTAAAACAAAAAAGGTATAACATAATTAATTGTAAATAGAAAATGTTTGAATTGAGAATTGTTAACATTTTATTATAATAATGTACCAAAAAGCTTCCTTTATTTTGAGCCTATCCTCCGTCCAACCATTTATTCAACTTTTGACAGCTCGAATTCTAATCAATTAATGATGTTCTAAAGCGTTTTCGATCCGATTTTTTATAACAATCGATTTTATTTATGAAGAAACGACGGGACTCGTGATGTTGCGTTTGACATTTTGTGTACTCAAAAATTAGTAACTAATGTTAATAGATTCAAGTGATGATTCCTGTTCATATGGAAAAGTATCCGACGATTCATATACATAAACAATAAAAATTTATTATAATTATCTATAATTTATTTCGTTTCATTATAATTTATTTGACAGGTACCAGAATTTACCAACTTGAATAATCTTCGTTACATATCTGTTGGCTTGGTAAATACCGGAGCGAAAGAACACGCCACTTCACTAAAATTAAAAAACAAAAGAGTCCAGGAAGTACAAATTTTTTGTCAATGGTTGTGTCAATAATTACGGAACGTCTGAGGCATAAGTAAAAAAAAAGGTTGGACGGAGTTTAGTTTTCAAAAAACTTTATATAAAAACTAAAAGCCATACTTAAATACGAGAAAAAAGTATTTAATTCTTTATACAAAATGTACGCAACCATTCAGGCATTACGTACCCTTTCTTCATGAATGTTATAATAGCTTTACAGTATTCACAATTAAGTACATTACACCTTATATATTTTTTACATGAAAGTACTTACATCCATATCCAAGAGGAAACATAAGCAGCAGTAGTAACCATGGCCACCAGTGACGTTTGTGCACTTCTTGACTTTGCACCGTGTACTTCTCATTCACACTCACATGGTTTGGGGTTATCTGAAAAAAAAAAAAAAAATGCAGTTAAGGGAAATCAACTCGGAATTGTTTTAATGTGTCTAAAGTCGTGTTTTCTATTTAAAAGCATGAAAGTGATATCATCAATATTATGTATAGCATTTCACTTTCGTAAATATAAAAATAAAAGACAATTGACCATAATTAATTACAAGGAACAAATATATACTAAAAAAGGTTAATGTAAGTAAGGAAAAAACATTCTTTTATAATATCAAGTAACGGGACGAACAAGTCGTGCACCAGATGGTAAGCTACACGCCTATCTATAACAGTTGCAATGTCACTCAGAGCTTAAATTGCAAAGATCTGAGGGGTACTGTCACTGCGCCCGACACCCTGAGACATAAGTTGACAAGTTCCATGTGCCTGTAATTTCACCAGCCCTTCAAAACTGGAACACAGTAATGCCAACATTACTGCTTGGCGGCAGATAAGGTGACAGTACTTCACTGGACGAACTCTTCCACAACGAGCTCTACTGCTACTAAATACAAATTGTCTATTTTTAATTAGTCACTACACGAGTGAAAGGTACAAATTAAAGGTACAAAATTTGTACAAAAACTTTCTCCCTAGTCCCCATAACATACGTGCGCACGCATATTAGAATGCAGAGTTCGTATTTGAACTCTGCATTCTTATATGCTAACTTAGCTATTTATATTATTTTGATGAGAACTCTGTATTGTATAAAAAAAACACTACTTACAGTTTCAGTAATAGTGGTGACAGTGGTTGTAACAACTTTCTTTATAAAGGTATAAATCCAGTAGAACGGCGCCAAAGTCGACGACACCGCTCGAGACACCAGACCGGCTATAATTACAAAAAGTAATGTATAATATATCCGTATGTGAAAAGAAATTCGCGAAACGTACAACTGAAATGGAAATCAGTAAGTATCGCTGAAGACATAAAAAAAACCCATCAACATCTTACTCTTCAGATGGCTAAAAATCGTTGCAAAATAGTTGTTACACTTGGAGACATAATAAATCTTATTTGAATATACAATTACCCCTTAATCCATGAAGATATTATTATTATTATATTAGTAATTTTGATAGTAACTGGGAACCAAACAGCAAACATGTCGCATCGCCGTAATACAAAATATACCTAAAATTTTGTACTACTTCGCGTTGATGTTCTCGTGAAGCTATACACCTGACAAAGCTTAGTGTTTCTATTGACACGGCGTATTTCCAAAATTCTGCAATGAAGCTTTGAAGCACTTATTCATGATGTATTTATTCGCATCATACCTTGTGTCGACTGACGATCGGTGTAAGGATACCGATGCGAAGGTCCCACGACTTTCTGATATACATTGGACGTGGCAGTTGTTATGGAGGTGATTATGGTGATTAGGAGCTGCGTTATCCACCACTGTTGGTCTACTGGGCGGTAGCCGCCATTGCCATGCAGGTAACTCTCGTCGTCCGAACTGTCCACTGACTGTAATCAATATATCGTGTGCTTAATGGTAAAACCACATAAGTGTGCATTTTCCACAAAAAATCTTCAAATTATGTACCAGTTGTAAGAAATTCACCATCTTTCTGCACATAAAACTCTTATTAAGTTTGTAGCATTTCTTTATTATTGAGTTTCACGTGCAAAAAGATATTGATTTTCTTACCATAGCCTATATAAATTAAAGACTTGTGGAAAATGTCACTTATGTGACCTTTAAACAGACGAATTTAGAACAGTTGATTGGTTAATATTACACTTAACTGGTTGATGACTTTACCATCTCAGGCAACCGTGACCATGAGACCCATAAAGGGCCCGTAACGTTAGTTTGTTCGAAAATACATTGACAAAAACAAACAAAAAATAGTTTAGTTTCCAGTTGTTAGAGTTGCATTTTCAAGTTATGGCTACTAGAATTCCTAATCGTTTATAAAGTAAGCGCACTCGATTTAAAGTTCAAGTTTAAAGTTAGTTTAGTTTCTATACAAATTCGGCCACGAGCACATGTTAATTTTGTATTATGGAAATCGCGTCGTGCTCAATAACTGAGACTCTTGACGGTGATCCTCTCAGGATAAACGAAATAAGAACCAATAATGCGGAAGCTTGTAATTCGAAACTACAGGGAGTTCCTTCAAACTTACAGTGAACCGCTTCCTCGTAGACTTAGAGACATATGCATTGGCGGAGATGAGGCGATCAAGTTCATCGACGCTGGTGTTAGGCCCTTGGACGCGGAACTGCGATAGAGACCGGCGCGACATATTGGGTACCGCCACTTGACCTGGAGCCAGCTCCACCCGATCTCGCGATAGCGGTGAGTATGTGTAGTCCGTTTTTGGGTATTTGCTATAAAGGAAACAGGTTCGTTTTCATATCAATTACAATTAACAGCAAGGGAATAAAGTATAGATATAGAACCGATTATTATAAGTAATGAAAACTAGAAAGACTATACTAACAATGATTGTCTTAACGAGCTCTACATACGACGCGACGCGGTTTCTATGCTAATAAGAACAAAAAAATACATATTTCGCACCACAAAACAAATAATTTGCAATACAATACATTTACTGTAAGTTCAGTTTCAGTACATTTGTTGTTTTAGAAGTAAATAGCACGTCGCACGTACTGTGTGGAGTTCGACAAAATCCAACTAATTTAAATTATTACTTACTTTTACATTTTTTTCTAATTGAAAATAAGGGTAATTCAAGCTTTCTGAACGAGAATGTCATTTAATGATTTAGCAAATTTAAATAAACGTACGAGTTGTATCTATCTGTTTATATTTATATGGCAAAAATCTAAACATGTATTACAAAATAGGAAAATCCGAACCATAGGTTTAGTTTTCCTAAGCTTATATGATACACAGAATACAAAATTAAATTGAAAAATAATATTTTACTATACAGCAATACTCTCAAAGTAAATTTACATTCTCTTATACTAATCAATTTCCTTGTTGACGTTAGCTTGGAGCATTAATTATAATATAAAACCTACTACACTACATTGGCTACTTAGATGTAAAGAATAACTAACAAAGGTAAATATGGAGTACCTATCCCCCAAAGTTCCGTCTTTCAGACATGAATGAAGCTATGAACGGGATACATTTCTTCACAACGTAAAAACAAAACACCAAACATTATAACACAACGGATATCACAACACTAAATGAATAAGATGTCTAAAAAAGTACTAATTGAGGCGCATAAATGCAAATATCACCAATTTCAATGTAAATTAAGTGTTTATTTGAAAATTAAAGTGCAGTATTGGCTCGTTGAAGCGGTTGGCATTTGCGCGTGCGCACAAATATAGAAGTTTATTTATTGTCACTGTTCTAGTGCCCGCCGGTCGACCGCCTGGTCGCCGGCGACACGTCACCGTTAGCAAGGGTGTAAATGTGAAACTACAGCATGAATTAGTGGTTTATATAGGTCTAGATATACACTACAAAAATAAGAACTTGTTTCTACTCATGCTCAAAGTACTATAAAAGAAGTCTTTATGTTTGTGAACTTTACATGTTCTAATTACTACTTACTAGACTGTTTCAATTTGCGTTCGAGTTCTTAGGTTTTTGCAATTACTAAACATTGGAAATTAAATATTTTTTTCAGATATTAATCGCGTATATTTGTTTTTCAAATAAACCACCGAAAATCAGTTAGCCGTAACCATAGGACTTGTGAAGATCCCGAAACGTTGGTTTGTTTGAAAAAAAAAAAGCAATATGAGATTTGGGTTCGAGAAATTACTTTCATTTCTATTAACTCTATTATGTTTTTATACATTTCAAATTACATTCATTAACCATACCATAACTTTAAACCTGCTTCTAGTATGCTACTTTGTGGCACTACTCGTCAAGTCAAGGTACATTTACAGGAAAATCAAAAGCCAAACATAAACAAGAAGTCACCCTACAATAAGTGGCAACATGTTATGTTGTAATAAACAGACTTATTACTATGAACTTTGTGTTGTTATCAAATAAAATCCATTTTTGTTCAATTACATATTAATATTATACGAAAACTAGACACGGATTGCTAGTTTAATCCACCAATTGCAATACCGTTTCAACTTGTGTAAATAAAGACAACCAACTTCAAAAGATTTATTTAATAAAAAAGAGCTTTTTAAAAAGTGTTGTACGAACCTGACAGTCAAAACATGTTCTATAGTTTCTTCCGTGCAAGTAGTCATAATTTTCGCCATTTTTTTATGAAGACAAAATAAATAAAAAAAGAACAGAACCAATTTTACAATTACAATTAAAATGTCACATAAAGCAGCTAGCTGGCGGATATTTCAGAAGGTAATTGAATTATTTATAGGATACCCTCCATAAGGAAAAACTTGCTTTATGTTACGTGAGTAATGATGGTACTTTTTAGTTCCGTTGACAGGCGTCAGGTGGAATTTGAGCGGTAATTTCAAATGGGTATAATAATACAGAAATGGGTTGAAACGTGATGAAAATTTTGTTCCACTGTCACAATTGGCTATCTAATGTCCGTGTCAGATTTTTCATTAGGCTTCTTTTCTATTTTCCTAGTAATCAGTGAAATAAACGGCGGATGACAATGGTCTCTGGTTATATGTATATTATAACTCATAAGTGATCGGAATTGAGGGAATTTAGCTAAACTAAAGAATAATGTGGACTTTCCCTTTCACAAATCTCGGGAATTCTCGGAACAGGTTATATTTCAATATGTATGTATTTATTGAAATTTGAGTACATTGACGACAAATTATTATTCCCTATTAAGTTTTTGCTACAAATTATTGTCTCAAAAAATAATATTGTACTTGTATTTCTATAGGCACTTACTTACGTATTTAAATACTTTAGCCATTTAAAAAATAAACATGAGACAACCCATATTCTGTATTGGACGAACTGGACGTCAATATTTTAAAACAGTCCTGAAAAACTAAAACATGCTCCCTTGAAAAATTTGGAAGTGACGTTTTCGACCTTTCTACAAAACACCGACGACATTATGCCTTATGAGCAGTGATAGGAATTGAGGGAGTTAATTTATCTAAAGTGTGAACGTTTTCTCAGTATGGACATAAATAATATTTTAAAACTTAAACTTAATTAAAACCAAAACTGAATTTTAACACAGGACGTAAATATTTTAAAGCAGTCATTAAAACCTGAAACATGCTGCCACAAAAAGTTTTTCGAAATGGCGCTTTCGGCCTTTCTACAAACTGAGTACATGGAACAATTGGGAATAAACGAATACCGACGGTATAATCTCACGAGCGTACACTCACTTCCAGTACTCGCCGGCCATCTTGTAAAGTCGGGAAGGCAGATGATCTGGCGAGGGGTCCTTGTCGAGCAGTATACTCGCGTCGGCCAACGCCTGCTCCGCGAACGAGCTGTCCGTTGAACACGCGCTGTACGTCGGACTGCCGAACCGTCCCGACCTGCCCAAATGTAACATTACTAGCTAATTCACTTGGAGTGAGTATTGTTTTAACAGTAACTTACATTTACTGTATAGTGCATCATAGGTATATATTTATGATTGATATATGTAAATGTCATATGAAAGTGCTCATGGTACTGTAAAACTTTGACCATAAAAAAAATTATTTGATAAATAAATAAAAAATTAAAAAGTTGTAAATTTTGACGGCAGTTGAAAGTTGAAGTTTTTTAAACCTGTTTTGGAATAAATACGTTATTCCAAAACAGGTTTCAAAAAGTCAATTGCCGTCAAAATTGACAACTTTTTAATTTTTTTTTATTTATCAAATTATTTTTTTTATGGTTATAGTTGTACAGTGCCATGGACAGTTATTTTCCAAAATTGTCATTTTTTGTTACAGATTGATACAAAAGACAGTATAATTTATGTATTTTTATTGACGTAGTAGTATAGTCGATTTCTTAAATTAAATTGTTTTACATTACAAGTCAATAGATACATAAAAATACAATTATAGTAAATCAAATATGCATACCTGAAAAAACAACTAGAAATCATAGTAAAAATAGACACAATTTAAACTGGCAGTTAATGATTATCAGTTAATAAATTATATTTATAATCAATGCAGATAATTCTGCGAAGCATTCAGTAAATACAGTGTACCATTTACTGATTTATTACATATACACTACATTCGCTCACTAAAACAGACACAGTTTTTGAATTCCATATTCTTCAAATCAGTATTTGTTTTGTAAGATTGTCGTGAGATAAAACATGCTGAATCACAAGAATGTAAATACAGTCAATGCCTAACTTATATTTCACATCTGATTCTTTTCAGAAATAAGATTGTTTTATGTGTGCAATAATTTATTAAATAAATTTAAATGTGGGACTAGGGCGTCAGCTTATGTATGCAATTACATGTTAATTATTCCAATATTTTTTATTTCTTATGATTTGATAGATATTATTGCTAGAGGAGTTGCAACATTTATATCTATTTAGGTATAACAGTGTAAAGTAAAACTATGTTTAATGTTTTTTAACTAATTTTGTAACTAATAAATAAATTTAAAAATAATTTTCATTTTACTACCATAAAATTCATTTATTTTTTTGTGTAATTTCACACTAAAAACAAAGATCGAACGTAAAAAAAAATTCCTTCGATCTGACAGAACCTGAATTTTTCTTTGTGTTTGATCTTTGTATTTATAATAATAAAAATAAAAAAATATTACGAGAGCGACATTACTATTAAAATACACGGTAAAGCTCCTTAAATTTAGATTAAAAAAAATATTAAGAAATATGTTTGTTTCTTACCGATTGTGGGTCACGTTGGAATATTGCGAGTACCCACTGATGGGACTAAGCGTGACGTCAGCCAGCGTGCTGTAGCCTCGCGAGCTCGTCGATACGCGCTCATACTGACTGTTGAGCTCGTTCTATTCAAAAATAAATTATAACATTATAACTTAGCTAATATCAATACCACGTACACGTGGTATTAATGAAATATACATAACATTATTATTTAGTATTATATCTTAAGTTATATGTATTTCATTAATTCGTGATAAAAGGCCAAATAATATTTAAAAAGTAGGCTAAAACAACAGCTTAATAACGCTACAAGAGTTAAAGATACAATGAATATTTAACCTGTAAGATAACAATATGGTACAAACGTAGGCCTTAAAATATAGTGAAATACATACCTATTTAAAATAAAAATGACAATTTATAAATCATCAACAAGTCTCTTATAGTATATATATAGTATAATCTTGACAGATAACCGTCAAAAACTCATTACTTAATGAGATTAGGAAGCCAAGCCGACCGGCAGTATGACATCATCTTTAACGGTTCCAAAAAAAGCGCGCGAATTGATACAGTTTCTTGCGGACTTGGAAGCGGAAACTATTGAGTTTCAATGACTCCATGAGTCGGTCAGATTGTTTTTAAGCTGGTCTTACAGTAGAAGTATTCTTTGTGGGGACTTGTAATCAGGGATAGAAAATTGCGCAAAACGCATAGACAAGGACTTTAATTAAAATGTACCTAAAAGGTTTTTAAATAGGTTATAGAAAAAAAGAAAACAGTAAATTCTATATGATTATGCAAACTCATTTTTGAATTAAGAATCGTTCTGTTTGAGTAATTGTATCAAGGCGTGCTATCAGTTGCGCAACGTGCGTGAGTCAGGTTTGGCGAATCAAGAACTTTGACATGGGCAAAAGCGGCTAGGAAACGACATTTATAAACAAAATTTATAATTTAATTTAATTTATTCCTCTTCAAGATCTTTCAATATTCTTCTCACCCTTTGCTTCCCGTATTGCAATCCTTGTCGGAGATTATCCCTTCCTCCAATTATTGGTCACACAAGAAACCCCCCCTTCTTATCAACAGTTTTAACAAAATTTCCAATCTCCCATTCCCTATTTACCAATATTATATGAACCCGTTGTTTGAAACTGATTTTAAATGTTTAACGTTTCGCCCAACAGTCTATCTTAGTTTTGGCATCATGAAAGATACCCCTGGAGCAAACCAAGTCTTCAACGATATAGTTGAGAGAGAATGGCATGACTGGACTACTGTTTTTACCGACGCTTCAAAATTACACGAACATGGCGACTTGGGAGCCGCGGTTTGGTTCCCCAAGTTCAATGTCGTACTCAGTTTTAAATCCCCCTATCTGAATTCGGTCTTTTCGGGAGAGGCAATTGCAATACTCGAAGCCATTTTATATATTGAGTCCCATAAAATTAATAAATGTTTGGTTTTCTCAGACTCACTAAGTTGCCTCCAAGACATTATTAAGCTACCGTTTCATTCCAAAGACAATTTCTCCATCACCCTCCAAATTAAGGAAGCTCTGTACCGATGTCATTGTGCGGGAATTGAGGTAACTCTGGCCTGGATTCCCGGTCACAGTGGGATTAGTGGTAACGAAGCAGTAGACGCCTTTGCAAAGGATGCGACAAGAATTGGCGTATGCAAATACTGTAAGTGCTTTCCCAGAGATCTGCTCGCCATGACCAAACCCCAAATGCTAGCCTCCTGGTCGGTCCTTTGGCAGGAATCACGACAAACTGTTGGTAGACACTATGGTAACCTCCAACCAAATCTACCCACTAAACCCTGGTTTTTTAAACGTCGCGATTTGCCTAAAAACATCACTTCCACTATTATTCGTTTGCGCTTAGGCCATGTTTGCACACCTGTATTTTTGCGTAAAATCAGAGTTCGAGATCACTCTCTGTGCGAGTGCGGCCTAGAAGACGGTACCTTGGAACACATTTTTTTCAATTGTCCTAATATTGCTGTTCCACTTTATAACTTACTTTCTCCAAAATTCCGCCCCATTAACATAAACAACCTCTTAACTTTAGTGTTCTCCCCCCATATTGTTACTCTATGTAAATTTATCCACTTAAATAACATATATTTATAAATATTGTTTTGCTGTTCTGTTTTACATTCTCAACTGAGTACTCCCGTAGTCCAACTTACCAACACCGGTTAATGTCCTATTAGAGCTTAGCGAAAATTTTTTTTTGTTTCGTTTTTTTTCTTTCAACTGTGACATTGGCAAAATCATCAGTTCTCATATTGATGGAGCCATAAAAATAAAAAGTGAAGTGAAACGAATTTCTGCAGGTGATATTTAAACGTGGCCGAGTTTTAGTTGAGTTAAACAATAGCAAACCTTAGCACTGGCAGATTATACACACACAACATCTCAAAATTGGTAAGTTATTGAATAACCAAGTCAAAGATTTTGTAATAATAAAATCAGACCGAGCAAACTGTCCAAAGGCAATAACTATGATAAAGTACTACGTATAATTTCCACATTTAAACTTTATGATAAAGATACCGGTATTGTATCGTAGATTATAAGTATACTGCCCTCGTAACGAAGGAAAGCACTACTGTGCGTACTTTATACAGCAGTTGTGCCTTTTTTCGTTCTGAGGGCAGTATATATCTAATAGCATATTTTATGGCCTGAGGCGATTAAGGCGTGGCTATTACGACGGGCACGGAAGTGAACACAATCAATCTTATGCAGTGACCATACCACAATCGAATATTTACGACGTTAACCATTTGTAATTAAAATATTCGTACACTTTCAATCAGGACAACTATAGTATACGATATTTAGCACAATCAGCTCATGTGTAAATTGTTTCGTCGAAATATACATAAGCATGATTTGCAACAAATGACATTTTATTTACTAAAAAGTATTCATATTTTATTTTTCCTACATTATTGTCTCATTGAAGATCCGAATACCATGATTCAGTCTACAAATCGTATCGTAATCGTATGCCATTTCAGAATTCTATGTGATATATCTCGATAAAGAGCGGTGTACGAAAAATAAATTAATTCTCAATTACTTATTGCATTTATAATATTATTACACAAAGATGTTACACAATTATTAGGCAGTAGGTACATATTGACCCTTATAAGGCATTGAAACTAAGCGAAGGTAAGGCACCGGCTAATATTCGTGCAGATTTTATAAAAGCTATGACATTGCAAAAGTTTGACTATAACTTTGTCCCGATAACAGTCCTTTTGTATAATGCACTGATTGACTGACCTTGTTTGTCCGAGAGTACATCTTCAACGTGCGTATTGTGAACAATCATATCGATTTGCTAAAAAAATACAGCGATTTCTCTCATTGCCTAGCAACCAACGTACCTTACACGGCTAACTCCGGTTTATCTATAAAAAGCACTCAATTGGGTCAAGATATTCACCTCCTTAACTACATTGGTAAGTCAAATACAGATATGTGAACCACAGACCACTAGTTTCTGTACAGTACTGAAGCTAAGCAGATGGCTTTTAATAATACCGAGTATGGGATGTTACGAAAATAAACTAACGTGGGGGAAGTTCGGATTCTGGTTATATTTGGATGTTATTGGTTTTCCTGTGAGATCGACATATGGATTGCTAGTTCTGTAGACAAACGTAGGAGAATTTTAGTTGTTACGCTTATTTATTTTGTTCAAAGAATAATGAAAAGGAAAATATTATACTATTAACTCAAAAATGGACAATAGACACTAAACCATGGGTTCACAAACATTTTGGCTCATCGCCCACTTAGGCGAGATAAATAATTTCAACACCCACCACCACAAAAAATATATTAACTTGAAACAAACAAATCATGAGGAAAAAGATTATATATTTGTAGTTTATATTGATAATTCAGGTTTATTTTTTTCAAATGCGGTAGCACCCCCTAGGAGCATCAATGCCTCCCAATTGCTTCCGAGGCCCCTAGCGCCCACCTACGACTCTTCAGCGCTCACTTGGTAGGGACCACTTCGAGAAACTATGCACTAAACAATATAATTAATATCGATATTATGCTCAATGAAACCAAAATATGCGGTATAAATTTAGTATAAGATGCTTGACTTGCGATGATAGGAAACAAACGTTAAACTTAAATTATGACACCTTAAAATATGAAACAGAATAGATCCATTATCATTAGACATACACATGAGAACAGACGAGGACAAAACAAACAATCTGACATCCGACCGCACACGGTCGGAAATCCAATTAACAGGCGGGCGTCTATTCAATTGGCTGATTGATATTTATGGCATCTGTGTAATGTAAATAACTATTAAGACAGATTATGATAACGATCCTTTCATTGTACTCGAATTAGACCGCCATGGCACGAAGCCACTATAGTACAGGGAAAAGAAGAGCAAAAATTACTATATTTCTATAGAACATATCTGTAGCTGTGAGAGGTAAAGGACCTTACGTCTATATTTTGGAATTTAGATGTTTTTACAAACATTGCTTTAAAATGCTAAAAGTAAAAGTCCCATTGTCGTTTGCTTTTTGTTTAACACATTTTATTTGACCTTAAAATTGATTTCAAATGTCTAATTAGGCATTCGAGCTTCATTCTCTTTAAAACGCTCTGTGGTAAAAGTTACTATATACTTATTTAGCACTTGAGGTTCTTTACCTGCAGATATATGTAAAATATAAATGTTCCTAAAATACTAGGTTTTTTTTTGTCCGAAGTACCTTCATAAAGAGTTTCAATTGATATATATGTATGTAGGTTTCATTCTATTCCATGTCGCGTCAGCATACGCCTTATCAGAGGTGCGGTACAATATGTGAATGTAATTCGTTTTAGACGTGAATGGGACAACCCGTCGTAGCTATATTTATATGAGCTGTCGAGACAGGTGAATGTTGATGAACTGGCGTGAAAAATATAATTACGTAAAAACTGGCAGAGTAAGCAGCTTACTCTTGAACATTCTTCTACATGTTTTATTTACGTCATTTGGTATGTACCTAACAATTTGTAGTGAGTACATTTCACATATTGTTAAGTTTCTTTCTTAATGATTAATTTAGTATCTATATATGGATTTCTACACTATCGCATTGGTTATGATTACTAATGGTATGTGTAAAGTTTTAAGGAAATGATTAAATTTTCCTTTCAACGGCGATATTTGAAAGTATTTGTTAACGGCGTGTATCTTTTAAGCCTTTTGTTACAAACTGGCATTAAAGAATATACAATACTCAGAAAATGAGATCTCGATATGATACTTCTACATCTGCCTAATTTAAAGAAAATTTCAAATAAAGATTTTTCTGTCGGCTAAATATAATACACTTATATCAATATTACACGTAGATCAGATACATATACCGTTAAACCTCTGAAATATTGACGTATAAAAACCACATGTCAGTTTATACGTAGAAGCTTTTGCTCAGTTACATTGTAACCTTCGCTTTGTTTACCTATTACTAAGGTCAAGCAAACTATAAACTGCCTTAGTTCACTATGGTATGGCCATGGTTTCAATTATAAGATTCATAACACCATAGCTTTTGAACGCATTGTTTTAAATTGTAGTTTATTCCGTTGCACGTTGCAAAGAGAATATAATTTGCACTGAAAAGCTTGACACACGCAAGTATTACAATTTTCGCACGGAATGAGTTTGTAGAACCGGTTTTGACGATTCTTTTTTGTTAGAGGGAGGGTATCCCATTAAAATTTGAAGAAAATGTTTCATCTCTAAGGACGGCAAACTAGGGGATGAATCCGGCTTCGTGCACTTTCCGGTAATCTATTTCAATAAAACATGGCAAATAGATGATGATGACAGATGTGGGTAATGACGACAACGGCAGATGAGGACGTGGATGCGAGTTTTTCATCGTCAAAATCTGCAAATGCGTTTGTATGAAAAAAATTCAGAATAAATGTGGATCATTGTGAATTCGGTGATCATTTAATTATCATTAATTTAAGTAAAAGATAATAAGCTTTACATAATTTTATTATAAAAGAGATGAAAGATTGAAGGCATAGAAATATTATACGACATTTATTAAAACATGTCGTCGGCCGTACTTTATGATAAAGCTGGGCTATCTTCAATGAAAAAGTTCGTAAGTCAATGTAAATTCAATATTATTTGCATAAAAGTGACGCAGGTCAACAAATTAGCGCTCACCATGCGCTTTGAGTACGACCATCTCCCGACGATCTTGTGGTGACCTGCAAAACATCCGTAGCCGCAAAACTCTGCATCGATTGAATCGGATGTCGGATGCGGAAGTAGATATCTAAAAATATGCTGTTGATGCGCGGTTGCGGATACAGATGCAGATGTCTGCAGCAACTATATATGTACCAAAGTCAGTTTCAAAATTATCTGAACGTCCAAAACTACCGAAAATATGTAGACATTTATTAAATGTCAACCTTTTGGTAATGGTTATAAGGTACGTTTCAATTGAGATGTTAAACTGAGTTTTTTCAATCATAATATGAATTATATTCAAACGAAGGGACTGATAATTTTGGCGTCCATCGCACTAGGAGAAAACCTTCAGGTAGGATTAGTAGGTACTTTAATAAGACGATTAGATTGTTTGTTGGTAGATAATAAAAACATATCCTTAACAAATATTGCTGTCGCTTATTTTTAAATATCTACTTCATAATTACGTCATTGGTGATAATTTTACACATAGCGTAAACTTGCTGACGAACATAGCGTCATTTTAGAAGTACCTCTATTACTATTATGTCACTCTTTAGTGCCTTTCTTGATTTATTACAGATGACTAATACGACAACGCAATGGTTGTGAAATCGTAGTGCTAATCCGTGCAAGCAAATTGCATTTGAAACCCTTGTAAATGTATTGAAAAGAATTTTTTTACAACTACAAGACAGATACTCATCACATTTACTCACTCACACAGGTACTCATCAAATTTGCAACTTCATAATGTAGAGTTTAGTTTGAAGATTAGTGTCAAATAACATGTCAACTGTGAACTGGCAATCGGTACTATCTCAATTTTGAGAACCAGAACCAGATGCTATATAAATAATTTTTCCGTCATTGTGCAAAGTTGTCAAAATTGAGATAGTACCGATAGCCAGTTCACAGTCGATATCTAGTTTTCGTAGAGTTATGTGAAGTACTCTATATTTGTAAGTATACAAGTACAACCTATAAAAATATATAGTATAATAAAATTGTTTTCAACAGCCATTGTTCATAATCAATGTTCGTAACATTGCAATCGTAATTAATAAGCTTACTTGGTATATCTCTTTTCTGCCCCCCTTCAGTCTATCCAAGCTCTCTTCAGAAGAGTAATCTGAGGTCTTAACCAGCTTCTCTGAGATCCTAGCCGACTGTCTGGTCCGATGAGCGGGTGGGGACTCATGTTCATCTACTTCCACTATAGGATCCACCGTCAGCTTGCTGCCTTGTTGATCGAGTTGCCTGAAAAGGTAACATCTAAAGTTTTTGGGTCTTACAAAAAAACTCAATTTGAATGTTAAACAATGTGAAATTAGCTATAGTGTGTGTCTGAATTTGTTATTGAAATAAATTGTATTGGTACTTTTAAATCTATTGTTATGCTACAGTTTTTACAAAAGAAGACAAAACTGTATGATGTTCTTTACTTTAAATAGCCTGTAATTTGTATTGTTAAAGTGGAAAGAACAATAAATAAATTATTATTATTAAAGAACAATAAATAAATAATTTATTATTATTATTATTTAAAAAGTGTAAAAATTATACACAAAAAATTATTTGAAATAATGTAAATCAAAGTTACAATACAGTTTTGGTTTTAAATGTCGTAATATCAAAATGCACATTATATGTATATAGACCTTTATAAATAAGAATAATTGGTGATTTATGAAAACATTCAATGATTTCAAATGTAAGAAAAGTCATACAATGTTAAATACTGTATTGAGACTATTCTAAAATTATCAACAAGTTTCAACTATGATATAATTTTGTTATAATATGTAAAATTTTTATTCATTATTTTTTATAATTTCTCAAATATTTAATAAATACATGTAACAGATAATAGAAGTATAACATATCCAAAAAAACATACAGTGTAATAGAAAATATCAATAATTGCATTTACTACATAAGTACTGGTTTAAGAGAGATAATAAACCTGAAATAAAACACTTTAAGCATACTAACAAGATAAGAATCTTATATCCTAGTTTGGTAGTTCCTTGAACTCGACTGTTTGCTCAACACATACCAGTGACATCTAAAAAATGTGATGTCATCACTTGAAGCCTTTACATGGTCACAATATATACTGGCCTTCATTGCTCTATGCAATGAAGGCCAGTACAACTAGTACAAAATTGTGATTTATTTAGTGTAAGTTTAAAAGCTGAATAAATACATAATTATGTATAGTTAAAATATATATTGTGTTGATTGTGCAATAGCTATTAGTAGCAGGAATGTATGTGGCAATATTAATGTGTGAAACACACAGACAGCGGGTGCGAGACGGGCGCGTGTCGGGTCGGGAACGCGGCGGGTCTAATTCCGAGTATTTATAAGGACGACAACACACCAAGCGCAGGCGCGAGACGGGTGCACGGGTCCGGGGCGGTCCCGACCCGACATGCGCCCGACTAGAACCTGCGCTCTATGATGCCTGAGTGAAAAGCTATTATAATAATTACAGGTAATTTACTGTCTTTGTAGTTTTGATCAACAACTTCATTGACTTTTGGTCGCACAAATGTTTTGACTTAATTAATTTACAAATTAAGTAAATTAATAAAAATAAAAATAGATGAGTAAATAATTAAATAGAATAGAAAGAGCTGTATTATTGTATTCTGCAATATGTATTACTTTGATACTAAGTAGGAATGTCTGATATTTACTAACATCAGTGTTATACTGTACCATCACTGGCTCAAAGTCTAAGCTACCTTAACTTACAACAACATCATTGACATAGTAGATAAATACATATTGTATAGTATACGATAGTAGATAGTACCCACTATCTAATGGACAAAAATTGAGATACAAGATAAGAAACAAACTGTATGGGGAAGTTATAGTTTATTTACAAGTACGTACTTATCTCTAAGTAGGTACATTTAAGTATACATGTACATTTTTATGGGAACTTCTCAGACATGCAGCAATCATTGAATGTGATAAACATTCCTTATATGCAAGCAAATAAAAATATTAGGCCTAAATATAATACTCAGGTTTTTCAGGAATGTTTGTAAACACAATGTAAAATAAATAAAAGTATAAGACACAGCTGCACAAATATCAATTGACTGCACAGCTGCAATTTTTCACACATAATGTCAAGTTGCAGCTGTTGTACGAAACACTTGTTTATTTACTGCGATTTCACTAAACTTAAAACAACTTGCCTGTATACCTCTATTGTCTTTAGTTTGCTTGGCGAATTTACATCACAAAAAAACAATACATTGTCGTTTATCAACAATGGGAATTCTTATTGTTATCAGTTACCACATATAACAAGAAAGTAATACTTACTTGATAGGAGTGCTCCTTTTTACCGGAGTTTTTCTTCCAGATTTATGTGTGTGCTCTTCGGTCTCTCCACAACTCTCCCTGTCGCAGCTCGAGCGCAAGAAGGGTGTTTTCGAGCGCGACCTTGACCGCAATCCGCCGACTGTCGAGTTCTCCATGATAGCTCTATGATTACAACCGATTTTAAAGTTTCACCGCAATATGTCCATCTTAAGTACTCCACAGGCCGTGACCTATTTCCATAAACCGGTCCAGATGCAAATCAGTTCACAGCCTTCACCACATAAAATATTGCACAAGAAAATCTATTTTTGTGGCAGTTGTGATGCCGCCAAAAAAGTAACCGAATGTCCTCTGTACTTATCGCGCTAATTGTTTATGTTATAACACTTTCTGCACTATGAAAACTATATAAACTTTGTTTGATTTAAAATAAGTATCGACCGTATAACATTAGACATGAAACACAAGCAAAATAGTGGAAATCATCAAATTTCGTAACTTCTCAAACCGTCCACTCAGCTAAACATAAACTGATGACGTCATCGCGAGACTAAACGAAAGACGTTATGAGCTGGGTTACCATTTGTACAAATAACGATTAACGTCCAGTAAATATTATTTTCCATCGAGTATATAACCAGTTATTTTCTTATAAATCGAAACGTACAACCAATTTTTGTCTCTACCGTTATGACTTATGACGCCTTAAAGGAAGATATTCATCGTAAATGTTGAAACTTGAAATTAAGAAAAACTTGTGTAGGTATGTCATGGTGTCATTGTGAGTTTCCTTTTTCCATTCTCTTTTGTAAAATTTTTTTAAATATTTTTTCCGAGAAATCGACGTGACTCGATGAAATTCAGCGACTAATTGCTTACAACTTTATTTGTAAGTCAATGCTTACAACACTATTATTTTAAAAAATTGCTTGACGGCGTAACTGTTTTCAGGACTTTTCGGGGTAACTCAAAATTGCACATTATTTTGGAATTCGTGCGAAAACAATACTTCAAATATGTTTTGTCATATTATATAATGTTTCAATAAAATTTACGTATTTTTTATAACTCAATTATGCTAATAATTGTTTGATTGTTGTTTCGTTGATCGCATTCAAAGTTACATACTGTCGCCTTCTTTACCTGTCAAATTTGGCCACTTATTTGGTGACGACTATATGGGAATACACGTCCGATTTCGTGTCTGATGGTCGGATTCGACTATCGGATCGGATTCACTCAATACACGTCATATATATATATTCTTTTTTCTTTTTTATATATAATACATTCTTTGGTCAGACTTTTGCAATTAGTTTAGAATTGCAGTGTTGCCAATTTATGGGGAATTCCCCAAATGCAGGGAATTGGGAATTTTGAATTACAACTCAACAACTCGTTTAGGGATTTTGTTTGGATTACGCTATGTGGGGAAAATGCCCTCGCATTCTAGAATTTTATCATATTTTTGTTACATTGATGATCACTGATAAAACTCTATTTGTTTGTTTATAAACGATATTGTTATTTTTTTCAACAACGCACATGCGCTTCTTATATAGCAACGTTTATATAAAATTATTAGCAAACCGCTTATATGTATAAAATTATCCAGAAGGATTAGAATCACTTTATCTTGTATTGTAAAATGACTACTAACAGTCACCAACAAGAGCCTGGCTCTTAAACAGGATACAATTAATATGGTACGAGCGCCTTCCGGTAGTCGGATCAGACTATCGGATAGAGAAATCGGCCGCGTATTCCCGCACTTATAATACAAGTATAGTCCTAGACTTGTATTAGTAGTTTGTGTCCTAGACCTAGATCAGTATAGATAGTGTTCTGTGGTCATGGCCTCCTTGTGAGTATAGTAGTATTCCTATTCCAAAAAAATCACGGTGATACATCACCGTGATTTTGTTACGACTGTTACTTCCGTGAACCTGTCACGCCTATAACTTACATCACGATATACGGTTTTAGCCAGCGGCTTCTTTCTAATACTTACAGCCGTTTTTTATAGAATGATTTAAGTTTTTACTCCCTTTTTTAATAAGTTTCAATTCCATTCAAAAAGTATATTAATGCGAATCTTTGGATTGTTAAAAATAGCAATAAAGTGTAATGTAATTATATTTCTAGTAGAATACTTACACAAAGTAGATTGTACATAAATATAAAATACCAACTCTTCCTATAATAAAACATACCTATACAGAAATATTTTACTTTGTTAATATTTAAAAATAGGTTTATAGTAACTGCAGCAGATTTTTTTCATCCGCCCTTTCTAGTAGTAATAAGCACCTACGACTCTTGTGAGTGAGCAAAGAAAGTCATCCTATCTCACTCACTTCCATCCCCGAAATGGCTCGATTTGAAGAGAACTACAACGAGTGGCGCGCTCAGCCACCACGGAACGGGGATCGCGCGTTGTATCAAATACGTATGTCGTGATGTGAGTGACGGGGATAGCTATTGGAACGGAGGAACACTTAAGTGACTTTGGAACATCGTTCCTTCGGAACGAGTCACGGTGATACTGTTTGACGGCGGATCATCGTGACGTTATTTATCACCCACCTCTGGAGTATAGTGTTCTTTGGACATGGCGCGAAAGTTATTTTGCTGAATTCTGTGCTTTCTATTATTATTTTACACAATTAAAATTTATAATAGTATTTAGTTTTGTCAGGGAAAGATGGATATAAACAAGATTTGTACGAAAATTAAAGAATTAGGACACATTAACAGTAAACGTGACGAATTACGTGAATATTGTAAACTAAAATTTGATCAGGTACTGTAACAATTTGCAAACTGAAATAAAATACGGATCTTGTTGAAAACTCTACAAGCAAATTGGTTTTTTCTGTTGCAGCTAGTTAGATTTCTTCCACGGCGTTTATTAAACAATGATGGGAGCGACTTATTGGGTTGTATACTCAGTGGTTTACCAGACAACCCCACTTCGAAGAGTAAAGTAAAGGTAAACAAAATAAAAGTATTAACAAAATGTAATTTATATTAGACATAACAGTTTGACAACAGCCAGCAATGATCATTCATTGGACCTGTAATGAACTCAGAAAAAATAGTGTGTAAGAAGTTTATAAGATTTATAAGTTAAATTTGCAGTGTATCTTTGCATTACTGTCAGGAGATATGCAGTGGGTTGAGATTTCAATCAACCCATCCATGTTTTAACCGGTTTTGAGCCCATGTCTGCCCAAATCATGGGAAGAAACGGCAAATATGCAATTTGGTATAGTTATTACAAATTTCGATGAAAAAGAGACAATTCCACACAATATCCACCTTGCAATCCTGTGGATTCTCACTACCGAGGGTGCACATTATTATTATGTCCTTAATGGTGGTACGCTTGGTCTAGAAGGATGCACATTACTATTCTATTTTTATGAAGATCGATTCAAATGGATACAATGTAAAAATGTTATATAGAATCTATTCAATATTTAACTGCCTCCGTGGACAAACGGTTACCCTGGCGGACTGCCTCCCAGGTCCTGGGTGCATTACCCGGGTTAGTAGAAATATTTGTATGGCCTTTTTTTTATTTGTATGAAATTTATTTCTCTCGTGAGTTTGGAAGTTATTTGTGGTTGTCTATGTGTGTGTCTATGGCACCCGTGACACAGGGTTTCCCTAGTTCATGTTGAGTGTGTGTGTTGTTATTATTATTATTATTATCGTATTTATTTTAAGCTCTCGCCTCTCCCAAGATAATTATTATTATTATTATTAATAATAGACAGGCAAATTGAATCGTCTAGATGGGGAAGCAATTTGTAATATTCAATTTAAACAAAACTTGATTTACAACAAATATTCAGTTTTAAATATATTTTGTCCTCAATTTCAGGCATTAATGGGTTTTAACCCGATTTCAACCCGGTGTTAACAAAGCGCCGACTTAAAACCCGTGCGCTTGCCCATCTCTGATTACTGTAGTAGATTCAGCAGCACTAAAGTAAATTACATATGTAATTGATATTGTTTATTTGTAACAAATATTTGTGTATAACAAGTTGCTATTTAATCATTTATAGATAATAGACATAGTCCTTGAAACAATGCGGAAAGAGTCCACTTCCCTCACCCATTGTGGTGATGTGATTAGCAGACTATGCTTGGAGCTGCCACGACAGTCCATGCCAGACTTAGTATGTTGGAGCAATGACAGTGTGCAGTCTATTGTAGATGATAAAGATGTTAATATGATGTAAGTATATTTTCTCTAAATTCATTTACTGTTATCAACACCTTATTATTGCTAGATGTAATGTAGCTATAGAGGTGTTAATGTGACTTTCTTTTTTTATACTGAACTGCACTGAAAATGTTTTTGCTGTATCTACATTGCATTATAGTCACTTTGTGGGAGTAGAGGTAGTACAAAGTAGCATTTATGATCTGTGCTACTAATCATGAGATCATTACTTGACCCTTCTCTCACCCATTATTCTCATAAGGACAGATTTCACTGCACATCAACATCTATAGTGGAAAAAAATGGCACGAAAATGATTCTCACAATTATTTCAGCTGGCGAGATGTTCTCCCAGAATGTCTAACTGCTCTGTCGGGCCACTCAACTATTAAGCACTGTGGCTCAGACATGACAATGTTAGAGTATAAGCAACAGTGTGTCCACACACTTTGCCAGTGCCGTTGGAAAGAGAAACAGTTGGTGCAATTAGCTGCTATGTTTAAGTGAGTTATTTAATATGTTAAATGCTTTTTGACAATATTTGTGAAAGCTTGCTTGTACATATAAATAATGATAATAAGACACCTATTTCATTGGCCAACTCAAAAAGTGGAAATAAATATTTAACATTATGAGTACAGCTATGTAGAAATTAATATTAAGTTTTCATCACAAACACAACAGTTAAAAAGTAAGCATACTTTATTAATTAGATGTTTCCAACATCCTCGCCTACATATTAACTTTTTGGCAGATTTACAGGTTAAAACTCAAATAGATGTAAAAGTAGGTTACTAATGTCCATTCACACTAAACTTATCAATGCTTAAATTGACAAGACAATCTTAACACAATATATTAAGATTACTTTTGTATTGGTTTAAGACATACTTAAGTTTAGGACCAGTGGACACACAGACCACATAAATACTAGTTGTACCATTTATTATTCCAGAGATATGCAGCTGTCCCGCAATGACCATAGACAGGTGGTCAATAAGCTGTGCTCATACATTGCTGATATACCACCTGTAGAGTTACCACCACTGGTTCATCAACTGCTTAAGTAGGTGGTTTGTTTTGACTTTTAAAATATTTGTTTTATTAAATAATAATTATTTTTATGTGATTTTGTTTGATCTTGCTAAAGTTGTGCAATGAAAGCTATTTAATAGTAGAGTCATGAAGTAGGTCAATGAGTAGAGTACATAGATATATGAAATAAGAAATTAGTTCTCTGAAGTGGATGTTCACAAATCCATACTTACATTAGACTGTATTATTTGAAACAAAGAGAAAAAGTCATACAAATCTGTCAATATTTGGATTTTCAAACCTCATGTTGAATTTTGACTTGAAGTCTTGAAGAAAAACTGTCTCTGTGGCCGAACGGTTACCAACCTGGACTGCCACGCGGAGTTCCCGGGTTCGATTCTCGATCGTATATGCCTCACATTTATTTCTATCGTGAGTTCGGGTTGTCTATGTGTGTGACCATGGCACCCGCGGGGCTATGAGTGTGTGCGCGTTATTATTATTATTAAATTTCTACAGACTATGCAAAGTGTACCATGTAGAGATTATGCTGGCCCATCTGAGTCATTACTTCAGCATTCGCCTGTACAGCAAGCTGGAGCCGCCGCAGGACTCTGACGCTACTACCATGGATATAGATGATATTGGTAAAATAAAACTTCAGTATAGCTCATATTGTTAAGAAATTATATAGAAACTCAATAGAGTACTTATTCAATTACTCAATAATTACGTAAATGTGAACTCACCGTAAGTTTCAAATATACATATTTGTGGATCAGTTTATTGTATTCAGCAGCGGGTGAAGTCAGGCTGTATATGATGATGATATTGTGCCATATATTTAAGTTTACTTGGTTCGTAGTGAGATATACAAGTATACTTGGGTACAATTGCTTTGGAAACATGACTGGTGTATGGGTTCTCCTTGCACAACCATTCTGCGTAAGGTACCTTTGTAGTTCTACTGCAAACCAGCATAGCAGTGCGGTATTCCGGATTGCAAGGTCAATAGACACAGGACTTAAGATCTTAGATCTCGCGGCCGGTAACGCATTTCCAGTTGTTCTTCACATATTAAGTCTAAGCGGTGGCAACCAGTTTGTTGCTGAGGTATATTTTATTGAAGTTTTTAAATGGCCTTGTCGTATACGGATCTAGGAAGTGTCAATTTTACATACAATTCCATTAACACTTACAGTCCAGCACAGCCCGGCGGAGCTAAGTAGCTGTCTCTCAACTTGTATCTATCACATTTCGCAAGGCGCGGCGGACCCGGAGCTTATAAGAAAGCATCTTAAGATGTGGCCCAAAACACAGTTACTCCGAGCGCCTTTCATGGTCGACTTGGCATTGGCTGTTTCCGACAAAGGCGCAGATTTTAGATCTGTCTGTTTAGATGTGAGTTCACACAGAAAAATTACTGATACAGTTGTATTTAGTATAATTCAGACTTTTTCTTCTCTTCTAATGTTCTTTGCTATAATTTAATGTCGAATTATTGTAGTATTACGTCGAATTTCATAAATCGACAAAGTTACTGAAATGCAAAAAAAATGGATTGTATATATTTTGCAAAATTTTAGTAAAATTTTGCAGGCTGATTTCACATCACATTTGTTATGAAGGAAATGTAATGTAATTCACACACTGGCTTTTACCTATTCTTAAAGTAATGCATCTAAATTAACACCCTTTTATGAAGTTTGAAATAAATAAAAAGTTTTGTCACCTCCTGAATAATCACTATTTATAAGATACGAGTTTGAGAAAGTAAAGCATCAAAATGTCCCTTAACTTTAATGCTCCGTTAAATAATAGGCTGGTTCTAAAATTACTTTCATAACATATTAAGTTTAATTTTTCTACCTGCAAACTCACTGTTAGGGTTTGTATGTCTATCATAGAGATTGACATATATCTAACATATATGTAAAGATAGATAAATAAAATGTTTATTGATAATTATGCCATTACCACTTGTAGATTAAGCGTTTTGGTAAAGTGTATCTTATTCAAAAGCTTTTAGAACTGATAATACAACAACAGCCAGTCAAATGGACATCTTATAGTCATTTTTGGAGATTCGTTTCAATAATCCTTTATCATATGTTTACTGAAATCGATAATCGCTCACGATCGAGTGAAATATTTGACCATTTTGTAGGGCATGTTGTATAAATCTTCGCGCGGTTCCAAGAAGAACTACCATTTTCTACAGAAATATTTTACCGGTCGCTAGCGGTTAAGGATACTTTACATTTATGGTAGAGGCATAGGATGTGAGTACAAATAAAGTTAAGGATTACGAGTTGAGAATGTCTTGACTTCGCTATTTGATTTTTATTTACTATATTTGTATATGTATAATATACATTTAGGTAATAAAAGCGGCGATCGAACAGCGTATAATAGACGTGAAAAGGAGCAAGGAGTCAGCGTGGGCACGCTCTGTTTTGCCGCCCGATGTAGATGTCACTAGTGTTCTCAAAGTGCTCACCACTGAAAGGTATTTGTTACAAATACAGTTATTTTTTCGCAATTTAATAATATTAAATTTAATAAACATAATAATTTGATCTGTTCCTAAAACTCGAAAATTCCTTGCACTATGTGAACTGGCCTACTCAGAATACCCAGACTACAAACCAGAATAGTATTTTTTAAATACTGATAATGGAACTCATTCATAAGGCGAACGATTATGGAGTCGTAATTCTTGACTACAGACATGTTCCTTGAAAACTAACTTGGGCCTTGTCAAGGCGAGAGTGAGTAGGCATTATTTAGGTATGCATGCTCCATCATCGACCTCATCGTTTCTTTTGGAGGTCAAATGCGCACTTATTCTATCATAAAAAAACTACTTCCTACTTCTTACCCTATGTGTGAAATTGTTTTAGAGACTTAGAAAATGTATTTTTTTTATAGTGCCAACCATCGCCAACTAACAGTAATAGGATTAATTAACCTGGCGTTCTGTCTCCTCGGTGTGTCGAGGTTGAAACCCAGCGCAACCGCATGTTGGTCGCACGGCAAGCTCATCTTAGTACGACTAGCTAAGTCGCAGCCTGAGGCCGCCTCACACATACTCAGTCTGTTGGCCGATAGGCTGGCCACTGACTGTTCACAGCGACAGTACGCCGGTTGGTAATATTTTATATGAACAGGGAATTTCAAAAGCCAAGAAGCATGTGTGTATATATTATACTGTAATTTTGTTCTACTGCTTTTAAAAATTCGAAAATGTTGTTGTTCACCTGTTGTGACTATTTGATTTTTCCTAAGCAACGATGGCTTTCAAGAAAAGCTGCCTATCTCAAAAACACGTAATTAAGCAGGAGATAGCTAAAAAGGCCTGAAGCGTATTTGGCGCTCAATGCAGATGAGTCGTGGAACCACTGAGTAATGGAAATATTATTTGCTATAAAATGTAGTATTAGTATTAACTGTACCAGCATTACTAAATAAGATTTTTTTTATGGGAGTAACTGGATCAATAAACTGGACTAAAGAATTAACCATCATTTTCATTTTTTTAGAATGTCTCCACGTCCTGTGCGCACTAAGTCCAGTGTCCATTGAGCGTTGCACCCAACTCAGCACCATATTAGAGAACTGCCAACCGACTCCAAATGACTACAAGGCGGCAGCAGCTGTGTTAAATGCTGTACATCCATTAATCAATTTCAGCACTAGAACGAGAGATACTCTTGTTATGGTGTGCCGTAAAGGATTATATTCAAGGTATTTTGTATTGCTATGTAGACAGTACGAAATGGCTGACTTAGTTAAAAAACAAATACATTAGTAAAACTCCTCCAAAATTTTGTTACGAATATTAAGGACACATTCTATTTAATTTAGAAAACATAATAAAAAAGAAGCATGATGAATATGATGGTTTTACTACCATGTTTTTCATATGTTTTTTGTTCTAAACTTCCACTACTTTTTTGTTATTATACAAATATCGAACACAAAGAAAAATTCCTTCGATCTGACTGGTCCCGTACCTGGCCCTGTACTCTCGTTCACCGTCTGACGTCCGTTCAAAACAATTACTGTCAAATATGTAATACTCGACCAAATTAAAAGATGCATGATGGGAATGAAACTTTATACCTCATTTACATTCAGCCGTAGTGAGCAGGGAAGTGGGCAGGACGAGTGTGTAAACGCGATACTTCTCATGCCACTGCCATTGCCACTCGCGCTGCCCGGCGCTCCCCAAAATGGCGGTTTTTTGTGCGGAAGTCAAAGGACCGGCAGCGCGAGCGGCAGTGCGTGTTTACATTCTGCTCCGACGCTCAGTACTCGCCAAGCGCCTGGAGGAGAAAGATGTTCGTTTAGATACTTTAGATCATCGAAAATGCCGTCCGAATGGAGCAATGAGATTATTTTAATGAGATTAGAATTAGTATATGCATTAAAAAATTAGTTAGGTAGGTTGATAATTAGGTACTTACAAAGTTCTATTTCGATGGATAGATATCATCCACCATCGTCTACGACGAACATTCTTTTTTTGTATTCGATATCTTTTTAAATATCGAACATAATTATGTATCGCAAAAAGAGACAGCGCGGCCGCTGTAATTATTTCGACGTCTGCCATTGCCGAAACTTGGAAGCGAAGTGAGTGGTAGGGCAGTATGTAAACACACACTCCTCTCGATCCTGCTGCAGCAGTATTTAGGGAATTATTGCCGGCAGCGCGAGGGGCAGCGGCAGGGGCTGAATGTAAAAGGGACATTATACTTGACATTGTCTTTGTCTTGTTGCCATGCTGGGGCCACCGCTATTTAACCAACTGAGCCAAGTTGACTGAGGGTCATTGCTCTTAACCATCTGAAGCTCAGTTAAGCTAGCTTAACTCAGTTTTGTTAAGGCGGTGGCCCCGGCATGCGGCATGGCAACAGACACTGGTTGTGGTTGGAGCCCAGTCAGATCCAAGGAATTTTTATTTGTGTTCGATCTTCGTATCAATAATAATTAAAACAAAAACAGTTTTACTCACACTTATGGACTCCACTTATCCCATTACTAAATTGTTTATATTTGCAAGACCAAACACATGAATAATTTTACAATTTTGTTAATAATTTTCACTATAATGACGTAATTTTTTGGAGTATATGATCATAATTTTATACCATACGCATAGTTGAAAAATAAAGACGAAGTGGGTATAGAAAATGAAATTAAGATTATGCTTTGTACAGGGACTCAATGCACCGATGTCTGGCACTATCAGGCTTCTTGACCGTACTACGTCACGTGAAGATATCACGAACATTTAGTAGTAGCCAGTCGTGCAGCGAGCAATACAGCGCGCACTCCTATCTCACGCAGCTCACCGTGGATCTACATTGTACGCAACAAGGAAACCAGTCAGTACACCTTTTTTTTTTTTTTTATACATGACAGGCAAATGACTCCACTCCACCTGCAAATCACAGCAGATTTCCATACCGAGCAAGGTAAAACTGCTCTGAGGTGAGAGTGCTGTGCTCATCAGAGAAGGCATGGGAAGGAACGGCGACAATTTTGTTGTTAACGCGCAAACCTGTGTTTTCTTGGCGTTGAACTCAACAAGATTTCTAGATCCCCATGCAGAGATGAGGTTCAATATCCTATTGAGGTCACCGACAAGATTAGGTCGCTCTCTGTTAGTATCGGCGCGCCCAGCTGCGGGGAATCCGTGATATCCCCCATGAACAGTGCTATCATCTGCATAACAATGAATATTCCCAAGTGGAAGCATATCATTGATATGCAGAAGGAAAAGCGTGGGAGATAGGACGGATCCCTGCGGTACGCCGGCGTTCACATTCACGAACCTCGAAATGCTGCCGTCAGAAACGACGCGAATTCTCCGCTCACGAAGGAAATCGGCAATCCAGCTGCATAACTGGGCTGGCAAACCGTACGCCGGGAGCTTGGAGAGAAGAGCTTTGTGCCAGACCCGATCGAACGCTTTGGCTATATCGAGGCTAACAGCCAACGACTCGCCAACGACTCGCCACGTTTGTCTATAGCCTCACCCCAAATATGCGATAAGTACGCTAGAAGGTCACCCGTTGATCGTTTCGGACGAAACCCATACTGCCGATCATTAATTATGGAGTGATCTTCTAGGTATTGGGTCAGTTGTTTGTTAAGGATCCGCTCTAAAACCTTGCATATTATGGAAGTAATGGCTATGGGACGGTAATTATGCGGGTCTGATCGGTCGCCTTTTTTGGGAACTGGTTACACATTAGCCTCTCTCCAAGAGTCCGGCACACGACCTGAAGAGAGTGACAGACGATACAGTCGCGTTAGCACGGGGGTCAACTCAGCTGCGCAGTTCCTAAGTACAATCGCTGGGATACCATCAGGACCACTAGCTTTCCGGACGTCGAGAGACTGCAGCTGCGTACGCACATCGCATTGTCTGATACGAATATCAGACATCGTGTAGGCACAGTGAGGTAGAGTTGGTGGCTGTGCGTTACAGTCGTCGAGACAGGAGTTAGCCGCAAACAGATTTGCCAAGAGGTCGGCTTTATCTTGCGGCTTGTGGGCTAGATTGCCGTCAGAATATCTCAGCGGGGGCAGCGAGGGCTGGCAGAAGTTCGACGCAACGGCTCTGGCCAGACGCCAGTAACTACGACTACCAGTGGGATGCGTCAGGAGTTCTTGGCCAACTCATGCGACGCGCTGAGCATCCGCTCTGATGTACGCTCTTTTGCAAGACCTGGTGGCATTATTGTAGGCTGTTTTAAGTGAGTTCGTATTGGGATCGTCTGAAGCTCGACCCTTGATCCAAGCGCGGTATGCAGTCTGTTTGTTCTCAACAGCCACAGCACACTCGCGGTTGAACCAGCGGTTGCGCCTCCCTTTACTGACGAGATCCGAATGCGGGATGTAGTATTCCATCCCGATTAAGATCTCATCAGCAACGGCAGTCGCGCTAGCTGTTGGATCCACCTCACTAAAACAGCGCTGCCGCCAAGGAACGGATGCAAAATAGTCCCGCATACCTTCCCAATCTGCCGACGCATAATGCCAAATGCGGCGTTTAGCCATAGTAGGTGGTGGTGGCAGTAACGTTGCCACTTTAGTGGATGATATCCACTAAGCAGTGATCCGAAGTGCCCAGAGGGGCTTGGACCTCCACCCGATATCCAGCCGGGCGAGACGTCAGCAGAAGGTCCAATAAAGAGGGCGCGTCACCAACCCTATCTGGAATCCGGGTGGGCTGGTTTACCAGTTGGGTTAAATCGTGTGTGAGAGCGAATGTGTGGGCAGTTCTTCCAGCATGGTCAGTTTTAGAGGAACTTAACCACTACTCGTGGTGAGCATTGAAGTCCCCTAAAAACACCAATTCCGCTGTAGGAAACTGCGCCTGCGCGTCATCTGCCGCCCGAGTAAGGTGGTCTATGAGACGAGTTGTCTCCATGTCGCCGTGGTGGGATCTGTAGAGGCAAATGTAGACACGGCAATGACTGCCCAGGTCAACATGTACCCCAAGGCTGGAGAACGAGGGGTCCTCCAAATGACGCAGACGGCGACAGCAAACATCTGCCCGGACAAACAAGCAGACTTTCGCTTTGAAGGACTCTTCAAGCATATAGCCAGGGTAATTCAAGTAGCTGCTGTCAGCCGGGCAGAGTATTTGCGTCTCCGTAAGGAACAGCATTTCTGGTTGAGCCGTCTCAAGATGTTGGTGGACGGGGTGGATGTTACTGTGGAGTCCTCGAATATTCGTGAACTCCACCTTAAAGAGCGCTTTAGTGGTGGGGGTGTGCACCGCTGTACGACCGAAATTTGACACCTGTTCGATATCACCTTTTATGTGGAGGTTTGGTTTCAGGCTGGTATTAAGAGAATTAACAATAAAATTTTGTGTTTCTTACGTAATTTTACTAGATTCGCTATTAAAGCCTGACGATATTTGGACTCGCACTGCGTTGCGGAATTTTAAGGAAATAAATTCTTCTACTGACAACACAAACTTTAGTGTCAAAAGTCAAAACGAGCGCCACTATTTCCGGGTCTAAAATTTCCTTGACAATCTATAAACCGATAGCTTGATGAAAAAACTTAATGCAGTTATGATCGCCTATAAAAAAAGAGACTATGCAACTGTATGCCTATTTGCAATTTGTTTCTTGACCTCTAAATGTTTTATTGTTTAGCTGTATTCTTCTATGCGTTGTGTTATTTGCAGAGTAATGTCACGCGTTCGGAATGAAGCTATGTGCATGGAAGTAGTGTCCATATTACGGCGTTGTCTTCTACAAGATGCCACTGTGAAACAATTATTATATACAAGTGAGTTTTCATTACAAATTTCCCATACAAAAGAACAAACCAGATAAATTCTAATGTACCACGCGTATTATAGTTCAATCTTCAATATAGGTTAATTTGTTTTTTGAACGGTCTAGCGGGCGGGCGTGCGTGCGTGCGAGCGTGCGTGCGTGCGTGCGTGCGTGCGTGCGTGAGTGCGTGCGTGCGTGCGCGCGTGCGTGCGAGCGTACGTGCGTGTGTGCGTGCGTGCGTGAGTGCGTGCGTGCTCGCGTGCGAATATAATATATATACAGGCTGTATATTTGAAAGTGAGACATACTTATAGAGTGCATTATATTCCTGATTCTGAACCCAAAGAAATTTAGTATTATAATTAATTTAAAAAGAAAGAACCGAATGAACTTAAACTTTAATAAAAAAAAAAATTATCGACTACTACTTCAGAACAACATTAGTTATCGAAATCTATGCACATCACTATTATTGCTCCGACGCAGCGGCGGGTGGCGGCACGGCGGCGGAAAACAAAGCACAGGTTGGGGGTGGGGGCGCAGGCGTAGGCGCATACGCGAAATTGTTTTTTGCAACTTCAGACAGTGCACGCGTAACCTTGATCTAACGAAGGCACGTAAATTATTTGTACTTGCGCTCGCCCGATCGCCGCAAAATGGATATTTATTATTATTATTATTATTATTATTATTATTGTGCAATAAGTGGTGATAGTGTGAGGCAAGCTATTGAAATGTTCCCAAATCGGAGTTTACGCGGAGGAGGTGAACAGTGTCGAAGTGTTGCGTGAGAAATATCTCAGCATTTTGTACTGTGAGACAAAATGTGTTTGTGTTGTACAATTTGAAACAACATTTACTATGCCGTGCTAGACTGTGCATTGTGGAAAACGGTGGACATTTTGAACATTTGCTCCGTACCACGTAAGTGTAAATAAACTGTAAATAACAAAAAAATCAATCATTGCAAATAATTTCATTTCACATCTTTAACTACGCCAAAAACCTCAATTCTAATTAAATATATATAATAACTAGTTACTAAATCATAAACTTATCTTTTTTAGTACGTAAAACATTTCGATGATAGTTCAAGTAAAAAATAATTAACATAAGTTAAAACGCAAAATGTGAAATCATTGTTATTGTTGCTATCTCACTCGGTGCTCGCTTGGTAGTATTCCCATTGCACTCGAAATCAAGCGTAAAGGGAATCGGTTTATTCCTATATACACTTCCAAACACATTTGTTGATTTACTTTTGTTCTATCCCATATCCTAATTTTATTTTAATCTATGTTAAGTTGTAACATGATTTACTATGACACGTATGAATATGTCTCACTTTCAAACATACAGCCTGTGTAATGTATAGATATTATAAAAATATAATATAATAGGAAATGAAACTATTTTTCCGTATTTAAATTCGTTTCGGGCCCTTTATAGGTCCCATGGTCACGGTTGACATGGACACGGTCAACCGTGACCATGGGGCCTGTAAAGGGCCCGAAATGTCGGTTTGTTTGAAAAAACAAATATACGCGATTTAAACCCGGAAAAATAGTTTCATTTACTATGTGTAACAATCGCGAAAACCTAAGAACTCGATAAATATAATATAATGTATAAAAATGTTTATATGTAATGTTTATTAAAATCAATTACCATGATAATTATAACCAAAATTTAATCCTCATTTGTGGTGGTGTTACTACTGTTACAGGTGTTACCCACACTTGTAATGTCATCAAAATTTTCTGTGTCTTCATTTCCTTCATTCAAATCCTACCGAATAATTTTATATAAGCGGCTTGCTAATAATTCTATGTAAATATTGCTATATAAGGGTTATATGCAATGTTAAAAAATATATTGACATCGCTCTTAGATAAATAAATAAGTATTGTTTTTATCATTAATCATCAAAGTAGCGATGCAGCAGCAATCGATAGATATTAAATAAAGGTAAAATGTTAGAATCCCCGCATTTTCCCCACATAGCGTCAATCCCACAAAGTGCCCAATCGAGTTGAAATTCCCCGCAATTTGGGGAATTCGCCACAAATTAACAACACTGTGAGTGTTGCCCATTTATTTTGAGCAAATTTATCTATGAAGAATAATATTACAATAATGAATAATATTAATACATCAAAAGAGGAAGTATAGTGTATAAAAAATACAATTGTCATATTGTCATATTTATAGTTCAGAAAGAAACGGTTTCTTTTCATGCTTTTTTCATTGTCTTTCACCTCAGACAAAAAAAAAACGGTTTTTAACAACACTATGTCTGTACCGAACAACATGCGTCTTATACATGTTGATTTATGATTCTTGTACTATAAAATTGAATGCATGATGGATATACAAGTAAAATGAATATTAATTTGTAAATTTTACTATGCCATTCTACTTCATTTCTTCCCATTTATTTCCAGAATTATTTAGTTGCGCGAAAGAGAAACCGGTATTACACGAAGCGATCCTTGAGCTGTTATATGAACATCTCAGCAAGTACCTGCCTGATACCGAGGACGACGCAACAGGGGCTCCGTTGCTGTTGGACAAGTGCGTGCAGATCATGCCTGTAACCGCTATTTTAATTGTACGTATACAAAATTAAAAGTAATATCGTTTTCTCTACTATTTGCGATTAAATTCTCTCTCATTCATATTATATTTACCAAATTTGAAATGTCTCAGAAAAATTTTGAATAGAATGATAATGCAAATAACATTTTTTAATGCAGTTGCTCAAAACGCTGTATTTTTCGTACTACAAATCGTGCCGAAAGTTGGATTTTTACTTTCCGTTTTTTTTAAATTTACTGTTGTTTCAAGTCTTCAACATAGAACTAAAGACGTTGTATATTTATTTCATATTTATGTGCTTTAAGATGTAAGTTATATTCGTTATTAAAATTTATATTTACTTACAAACATCTTATATTTGTTTAAATTGCATAGGTGTTTTATAAAACAACCCGTTACATTTAAAAATACCAAAATATTTTCCATAAAGATTGAGTATTAACAATGACCGCAGGTGAGTATTACGCGAGACCGCTGCGCGCCGCGCCACTAAAATAGTACATTTAATGTGGCTGAATACTGGCAACTGTTGCCATTGTACTCTGAATTTTTATCAGGCAAAGAAATAAAATGAGTTTTTTTTTAAATACTGTTTTATTTGACTTTCAATGTAGTTTTTTCGCAAATGTATTTAAAAACGTCGTTTGATCATTGACTTCAATGCGTTTGATACACGTGGGGATTTGTCATTTTCTTTGTCTGAAAAAAAAATTCAGAGTACAATGTATTCAGCCACATAAATGTACTATTTTAGTGGCGCGGCGCGCTGCGGTCTCGCATAATACTCACCTCTGGTCATTGTTAATACTCAATCAGCCATCTTTATGGAAAATATTTTGGTATTTTTAAATGTAACCCGTTGTTTTATAAAACACCTATGATGTTTGTAAGTAAATATAAGTTTTAATGACGAATGACTTACGTCATAAAGCACTTAACTATTAAATAAATGTACCTCTTTAGTTCTATTTAAAAAATGGAAAAGTAAAAAGCACTAGTGCGAAAAATCCAACTTTCGGCACTATTTGTAGTACGAAAAATACCACGTTTTGAGCAACTGTATTAAAAATAACAATTTTTTATGCATTTAAACCTTGCTTAGTGTAGAAATAAAAAAAAAACATTACCGCCTTAGGGTGTATGATAAAAATACCACAATACGTATGTCAACTTGTGCAATCTGGGGATTCAAAACTTCATTTTCAGGAGCCTATATCTCGCCTCTTGTACTCAGTAGCTGAGTTCCTCCAATCGGAAGAGGAAGACGACGATATTTTATCCAGTCAGACCACTGAGTCCGGCACAGTCTACCTCAGAAATAAACTAAGTAATATCATGCAACAGATTTCCGATAGCCGATGTGACTATTTTGGAATTAATATGGTAAGTTTCACAGAAAGTTAGTGACAAGTCCTTTGGAAGATTATATTCTTTATTATGGTTGTAAGAAAAGAAAGTCAAATTAAAAAGAGGGATTGTGTGTAGAAAGGAAGTGAACAACATCATAAGAAGAAAACACAACGCGCTGAAGGTGATGGCAGGAAGATGATGACGCTGAATTCCTGGTTACTTCAACAAGTTTATAGTATAATTTCGTATTGTACAATACGATAAATTCATACAAGTAACATTTAAAATCTCAGCATCTGTTAGACGGCTGCTTTTCTGTTACGGCCGTGCCGCCTGATAAGCCTGACAATAGTAGCGTGTGTTATACCGCTAACATTATACCGCCACATTTCTTCCAGATGACGAATTTTTATATCCACGAAGCTGTTAAAACTCGTTCTAAACGTGCTGATCGTGAATGATTATGGTTACGTATATTTACTTGCATACATTATTATTTACGTTGTAAATATTACCATACAGGATGATCCCGGCTTAATAGACCTAAGTCCCGAGTCGAAATCAAAAGCATTGAAAATCCAACAAGCCTTGCAATGCTACGAGGCTCTTATCGCGCACCAGATAATGCAGTGGAACATCAACAGCAACAACGCTGCCAGTGCTGTGTATAGACTTTATAAAAATTGGAACCAACTGCTTGAGCAGACCAAGGTAAGTTGCTTTAAAACGTTCCTTGTGAGTATAGTGTTCTGTGCTCACACCTGTGCTCACGAACCTTCTAATATTATTTTAAGTTCGTAACAGCTATGTGGAAGTAACATAAATATTTTTTCTTGTTAGGTATTATTAGATTAACGACTTCTCATGATTTCTTAATTTATTTGTGAAAATTCTTAAATGTTTTGTAATTTTTATTTTAGACACCACCAAAATTGGGTAAAAAGAGTAGTAAATCGACTCTCAACGAAACCAGAGAGACAGCAAAATCTCAAAAGACACAAAAATCACAAAATACACAAAAATCACAAAACGATAAAGGCAAAGGCCCTACCAAATTGTCTAATTTGATTAAAGACAGGGCTGGGCCTTTTAGGTCATTGCCTTGTTTGTGGGATCTGAAATTGAGTTTGAGACTGGTAGAATTATTGTACAAGTGAGTATTGGTTTATTTCACGATACTGTCTGTCTGTATAAAATTGCTATTAATTTTGGATTGCTATTCGTATAAACGCAACAAATTTTATGAAGTTAAAATGACCCATATGTTATGTGGGATAGAATAAAATGACGAGGGTGAATCTTTAAGGACTAATCCTTAAATACATTTTTACGTCTACAAATGACAAAGAGTTCGTATCTAAATACTAGTACTCATTTTTTATGGTACTCAAGTTGGCAAACAGTCTAAAGCGTCCACCTGATGGAAATTGATAACCGCTATATCTATAGATATTTCCTATTACCATGGACCAACCACTAAAGACTGCTAATCTCCATACTGCAGATCGTAATTCTGAAAAAGGTCAAAATTCCGTATTATATCTTGATGGCGCTGATCATAAGTAGTTTACGTTATTTAAATGGCCGTGGATGTCAATTAATTCCGCCCATGAAATATAAATAGTCAGTTTTTTTCTTGTAATATTATATAAACATTGACCATAACCTAAAATTATTTTCTGAACTTTGATAGATATGCGTGTTAATAGATGGCATTGTGCGTAAACGAATTTATAACTTAACGCTTGCTAATATGGGTAGATGGCGTAAACAAAAGAATAGCCTACAATATCCATAAAAATGTGTGCACTAAGCGTCATCTAGTTGATTTGTTTGTTATCACTAGAAATTAGAATAGATTTGATAAATTGCAGCTCGTCAATGTAAAACAAAACGAAAATAGCTATTTGGTATTTCGTAGCGACATCTGACGTACCAAGATCAAGACAAATGTAACCATGTTCGAACAAAAACAGTACTCATATTTATCCAGATTTCCAAATCACTTTACTGGCGCTTCTAGTAAAACTACATGTTTCATATAAGATGTCCATAAAATTATTTAATTTAATACCTGACTATGTAAAACAAATGCCTCAAAGGGAATTTAAAAAATTATATGTATAAAATACTGTTATTGTTTTTACAGTTTAGATGAATTTCTCATTTATTAATTTATTTACATTATTGTGACCAGAATACATTAAATATTGTAAACTATATATCATAATTGACATAAATAATGACAAAAATTTACATAAATTAATAAATAATAAAGATAGATGATAAAATAATATTGTAAGTGTTTATTAGAACGACTGCTATGATATAATATTGCAAAATTTTGCATGTCAGAAATGGCGCAATACGCTTGTACTTATGAGACCAAGTATTATGCACTTTTACTATCACCAATACCGTGTTTGATTGCAAGTAAACCATTTTCATGTCTTTTCATTTCATTACCAATTCGCGCTAAATACCTGACAACGCTGTCTTGTTTTGAGATTAGCAGTCCTCTAGACTGACGGTTACCATTCCGGATTGCCCTGCAGAGGTAGGTCTCGGGTTCGATTCCTGAACCGGGAGAAATTTTTGTATGGCCTACATTTATTGCTCTCGTGAGTTTGGGTGTAATTTGTGGTTGTTTATATATGTGGCCATGTCACACGCCATATAAGGTTTCCTAGTGCGGGGCTATCTGTATATACGTGTTGATTTATTGATCCATGCTGTTTATTACTAAAGAAGTATTCCTAACATCGCGGATGTGTCTGCGATGAGATGTAAGATCTCAAGTCTCCAGTGCACAGTATAGCGCTGAGTCTCTTTATCTTTCAATTCGAAACTCAGCAGTGCTGCTTCGCGGTTGAGGTAGGTAGGCCTATGGTACCCAGACAGGAACCGCACAGACAGTGAACCTTATCCAGTTTTCATTAATAAATTTGCTATTTGTTATGTAAACTATAGTGAGAATGTATCCTGGTGTACAACGGAGCAACGCAATCAACTGAGATCACGTCGCGATTTCCACCAGTGGGCGTTGCGGTGCATTATGAACGCGTTTACAGAAAATGTTGATAATAAAACAATTCGGCAAGTTTCCAGTATTGCTGCCGTGCTTTACGCACGGTGTATTTGCAGGTAAGATATATTTATAATTTTTTATGAAAATTGACGAACTAATTACTGTTCCTAAAGATGATTATTGAAATGCCATTAACGTATTTTCACATATTTAATTTGTAAATTAGAACATTTGATATTATATGATTATATCAAATGTTCTATTCTATCATTTGATATTATTTGATATGGTGTATACATATATGTATATGTGTAAGGAATATTGTTACGTAACCTAATAATTATTAGGTGCATGAATTCACTATTACCATTACAAAATAGTGAATTAATGCAGCAATAAAATTACTAAAGTAACAGTTTGGCCACTCTAACTTCATCGAAATCGAATGCCGAGTTACTCAGTATCACAAACTAATGCGATTAAACAGTTAGATTATCTTACTGAATTGTGAATGCAAATCAACTGGCATTCGGTTGTTTTATAGTATGAGAAGACAAGTATGGTAATTCCATACAAACGCATTGCGTAGCGTCGGTCTTCACACGCGCCATTGATTATAAGAATTGAAGCGGTTGCTCGGGGTTTTATAAATTAATAGTCAGAGTGCCTCATATTTAGAATTCTTCAGCATTGCGTTTCCATTTCTAATTGTATTCCATAATCAAGGTACTAATCCGCGATGCTGGTATAAAAATATCAACACGTAAGTACCTACAGCACTCAAAGGTTATTTCAATATAGCACGAGAATACTGTGAACATGTTTTGTTTTCAAATTTCGTCCACAACTTGTAGGTACAACTAAAATAATAATGTAACAACCCTACGCTCCGAGCAAAGTGTACACATTTACACGCCGAAAAGACTGGAGTCGCCTAACTTGCTCTTTTTATACTATGGTCATTGATTTCATGTTTGTAGCGCTAATTCGCAACGATTCCAATTAGAGAAAGATAAAGTAGGCAAACAAAAGAGACTATATCAGAGTTTTCTTGTATTTATTCGGTCAACGATAACATCGCATCGTAAGGAACCTGAAGCATCACAAAAATATTCGAGTGTAACCTGCATTGGACCAGTGTAGCTTGGCTAAGTATGCAATTGAAACATAATTCAAACGTTTATGGTTATTTTAACATATTTTGTGTTTCAGATTTCAAGACATGTGTGACTTCGACGATCAGACTGCTTTGGGCTGCATCGAAGTTTTCAAAGAATGCCTGACATTACTATTTTCGCCATCGTTTTCCTTGAAGTTAGAGAGCTTTTTACCTGTCGTTAGTAAGTATACTGAATGAATTGTAAATTGTGAAATCAATGACCTGTGCCAAGTTTTAGCAGCAGTAGAGCTCCTTGTAAAAGAGTTCGTCCAGAGAAGTACTTTCACCTTACCTATTTCTGCCCCCAAGCAGTAACCTATTTCTTCCCCCAAGCAGTAATGTGACTATTACTGCGTTTCGTTTTTGAAGGATAACGGTGCTGGTGAAATTGCAGGCACATGGGACTTTTCGACTTATGTCTCAGGGTGGCGGGCGCCGTGGTAGTGCCCCTCAGATCTTTGCGATTTAAATCTCTGAGCGGCACTGTAATTGGACAGGCGTATTTACCACCAAGCACACGACTAGTTAGTCCCGTCACTTGATATCATAAAAAAAAGCCATGTGCTAATTAGCCGCCTAATCAAGTTATTCTCATTTGTTTACTAATGTTTTGTCTCCCAACAAATGAGGAGAAAATCCAGATTTATCAGTCATCGACATTATTTACTTATTTTATTTATTTATAATTCAGACAACTTCGTAGGTCCACAATTGTGTTAGTAACTCTTAGCTTACGTTGGTAATTAATAATTATTAACAATGATTTCGTCCTTTGAATGAGTTTCCACATCAAAGGACAACAATCAAATTTCTTAGATATCATTTTCAAGATGCTGTTACTGCTGCCCCACACTCTGTCTATAAGCGAGTTCGTTTTTTTGCGTAATACTGCGTTGAAATTGTCTGTGCGTGCCCCATCGAACATGCTCGAGGCACTACAGAATCGCGGCAGCCGCAACAGCACCCTGAAGCCGTTGTTATATTGGATTATGATATTATTAAGTAAAACAGTACCACAAATATTTTTACATGCAGTTACTGTGTATGGAAATAGGGGTGAGACGATCTAGTCTTGCGCTTACTGCCACCTCTACGATAGTTACCCTTATTCGCCTTAGGACAGATTCGCTTTACGACAGATTATAACTACACAATAACTAATATAGTTCAAGAAATGATTCCGTTCATGTTTTATCGACAGCAGACATGTCGGATGCAACACCCGCAGCATGCGTAGCGGCGATTCTTGAACAAATATGTTCAGCGTTAACCCAAGTCGAGGCTGAGAGTGACGTGGAAGAAAGGGACACAGTTGTGAAGAAACTGATCTCCGCACTTGTGAATACTGCCAGCGTTTTGCTAGAAGCTCCTGTTCATTCTGCAGAAACCATGAATGTAAGTAGCTTATAACTCCTCGTCTCACTACCAAACTTATATTAATTTGTTATAGCCCTTTTGACTCAAATTTCGCGCTGTAATAAACAAATTAGACGTCGTGCTTGTCAATACAGCTAGTTTATCTTAGATGCGCTCGATAATTCCAATCTGATTAATGTAGTAATTCACTTGAAGAGAGACTTGTTTATTTATCTACGTTTTTAGGTCCAACTTTGATCCACACTTGCTGTCCAGCCGTTAACAGCTACAATTTTAGACAATGTACACAGGCACATTTAAAATCAGTTTCTTGTCTTGTCACCAAAGTTCTGAAAAGATAATTGCAACATTCAAATTTAGTTCTTAGGTTTTCACGATTATTACACGTAGGAATTGAAACTAAGTTGGATAAACCCCAGGGCTTTGCAAAAGAAGACCGTTTTCTACCCAGGATGCTGCGAGATGCATAGACTTTAAAAAAACTCCTATTTTCAACAAGAAAGATGGTTGCTCCGTACCATCAATTTGGGATACAGTATTTCATCTGATGAAAAATCTCGAGCAGACATAAGACTGCTGTACTAATTAATATGTTTTAATTATTTTATTTCCCATTATTAATTAATTATAAATTTTATTATTATAATTGTAAAAATAAATAAATTTATAAAACATAATTATGTAGCGTAAATTGGAATGTTGTTTGGAAAATTTAAAAATAAGGCATTTACATTTTTATTGAATGTAATATGTTCCACCACCGTGATATTCAATTATTTTTTATGAAATTACTCCACTAGTTATAATTATTAATACAAAGATCGAACCCTTAGAAACAATTCCTTCGATCCGGCCGGATTCGTAACGACGTCTCCTAGCAAACCGTGCTAGACGTATGACACTAAGCCACGGAACGAACCGGCGGATTTTACGAATTTTTGTATGTGCTTGTTGTCGGACCTTTGTATTTGATTTTCAACGATTTTTTAACCGTAGCGGCATCTATGAGAAATCTATTAAAGTATTTCGTCACTCAGGTAACCTTTCCAGCTAATTGAATGTCAGATTGTTTCACCACCATGATATTCAATTCTTTTTTGCGAAATTACTCCACTAGTTTATGATTATTAATACAAAGATCGAAGAAGACTTAGTAATTATAGTGAAAAAATATAATAAAAATAGGGTGGATTGCATTAATATTAGACATAACTAGTTGACGACTTTACCATGTCAGTCAGCCGTTATCATGGGGTCTGTAAAGGGCCCGAAACGTTGGTCTGTTTGAAAGAACAAATATACCCGATTTAGATCCGAAAAAATGGTTTTATTTCCTACATTCAAATGATTAATATCCAAAAATAAATCGATAAACTTCTTTGTACCAGGTAATAGTGAAACTGGAAGACTACGTCCGCACCAGCAAGCAAGACTGTCTGTTGCTGATTCACTCGTTGTTGACTTCCGCCGGTCGAGAACAGCATGAGGCTCAACTTATTGAAGATTTGTTGCTGAAGCTAGGCTCAGCGCTCGGCAAGATTGATGTGAGCACACTCAAAAGCAAACAGCTTTTACTTTAGACACCATTTTTACTTTCTCAATTTGTGAAAGAAAAACAACTGTATCACACAGAATATTCAGCCTAATCGATCAACATATTTAATGTTTTCACGGTTTTAGCCTTTTCAGTCGCTTCCCATAGTAAAAGTGTTTGAATTTAGTATTACGTACGTTTGTTACAGGAAGAAGACACGACAGCAGGAAGAGATGATCCAAATACTTTCCCAGCCATAGACGCGCGATCAGGGCACACAGTGCTGAATTACATTTGTGCACATCTTAATAATAGACACAAGTGTACAGAGCATTTATTATATCGCGCTAGGGACCTAACAGCAGCGATGAACAACGCTGTACTTGGAAATGAACAGCGAATAGATAGAGGTAAGCATGTGCAGCTGATGTACAAAGATCACTTAAAAAAGGGAATAAAATCATAATCGCCATCCAGTGTAAGTGGGCTTGCTACTGTACAAATATCACTTAAAAAGGAGAATAAATCCATAACCGCCGTTCTGGGTAAGTGGGTTTGTCTTGCTTTCTTAGTGTGATACGTAACAGAAAACTACCCAATAACGAACGTTCATTTTAAAATAATTGCAATGAACTGCTCAAGTGCTAAGAAGGCCTCGTTGCTGCTGGATAGCTAAGATAAGGCCCGAGATCATCATCTACGCTTACATATTTATGAGATTTTTAATGGGGAGGACTGTATTTAAAACATATTTACTTTATTGAATATTATGATATGTTTACTGTCAACTGCCTCTGTGGCCGAACAACAACTTCTTGAATCTGATTGGATTCGAATCTGTTGTCACAGCGTCGACAGCGTCTGTTGCCACAGCGGAGGCACAGTCCACCCAGATCGACCACGAATTGCAGGTCAATTGGTAAGAGCGGTGGCACCAGACGCTGGTTCGAGTCCAGTCAGATCGAAAGAATTTTTCTTTGTTGTTCGATCTTTGTATCCATTATAATGATAATTATTTCAAATTATATTTAGAGGAATCAATTAAAAACTCACATATAAATGTATTTCTTACAGAACTGAAAGAACTATACAAGTCGATAGTCATCGAGTTGTGTCAAGTGACAATATGGACGACGAGAGCTGCGAAGCTGCGGTGCACCGTGGGCGCTGGCAGCGATCGCGTCTTGACAGCTTGTGTGCGACTCTACGCGCTACTCTCCGCCTTTACCAGGCAGCTGGATCCCGCCACGGCACGGCTCATATTGTAAGGCTTCTACAGTGTTAAATCCTCAACATTGACATTAGAACTTTAGGTCAGATCCACCAGTAGCCACGTCTATATTTGGGCCACCACAAGTACTGTCCTATCATGTTCTGTGGGGACACGTAAACTGTGTGTTGCAGTAAGGCCGCATCTCACAAACTGTTTGATCATTCGCCTCGCAATTTATACCAGTGTATAAAATGTGTACGCCTGAAAATATATTATGTAATGTATACAGGGTTATTTTTAAAATACACAACAACCTTATGTCACCATATTACTAACATCATAAATGACAACTTTTGTTCCGTGACTGTACAAAACATAATACATTTACCAAAAATAAACTTTTTAGTTTTTGTTGTAGTCGGTCACTTTTTAGATCTGTATTTGATAGAATAAATTCACGTGCAAGCGTCCTCCGTGACGACTCCCATCCCGGTCCTGCAGAAAGTTGTTACCGTTGAGTGCGATCTATTTAAATCTATTTATTTTAGTATGAAAGTAATATCTGACGAATTATTAAAAGTCGTAGAACAAAGGTTGTTGTTTATGATGTTAGTAATATAGTCCTGGGAGGTTGTTAGTATTCTAAAAATAACCCTGAACATGCTACTGAAAATATGCGTGATATTTGATTGAAAATTGAAAATTTAAACCTTAAAAATGTAAGTACGTCCAGCGATAATTATTATTTTGTAGTTTTGATATTTAAATGTGAGGATTGCAATAGACGATTAAATAGATTACTCGATAAGTAATCTGCATTCGCTCTTAATAGAAATTTTGTTTAGTATATCGTCTGTTTAAAGGTAAAACCACATAAGTGACATTTCTACAAAAAGTATATATAGCAATGGTACGAAAATCACTATCTTTCTGCAGGTGAAACTCATTTTTTGCTATTTATACTTGCCTAAAAGTAAGGCCACTCCGCCATTGGTATTTATTAATCTGAATTCGGACATTGTTAACTTTTTCTTCGAAAGTTATTGAAAATATTAGAAATGTCAATATATTGATTAACTTCACAAATGACACATAATTTATCTCATGAACGTCATAAACGTTATCAGCCAGTGCATTAGAGAAAGAGATAAAAAGATACAATTGCATATGTTTATTAACCATTGAGAGTATACTAGCTCGATAATAAATTCTTAAACGATAAGTTATCCCAACATTACGGTGGTGTCGTCAACAAATGCTTATTGTTAACGACACCCCAGGGGTGTCGTTTTGGGGGTGTCGTTAACAATGAATGAACTCAATAAGTGGTTTTATCTGCAGAAAGATGGTGATTTTCTTACAACAGGTACATAATTTGGAGATTTTTTGTGGATTTGTTTAATGTCACTTATGTGGTTTTACCTTTAAGCAGACGATATGACCTGTTGCATTGTGTTAATTTGTATGTATTGTCTTTATTTTTTATTCTCAGTTTCGAACGCCTACTAAAACTATGTGGCAAGAAACTATCAGCAGTGACTGACAACTTAATTACGTATCTAGAAGCATCGCAGCAACAGCAGAGCGCTAATAAAGTTCTGCGAGAGACTAAGCTAATCCCAAGACTTGTTTTGGAGGCGGAATTGTTTAGCAAACACGTTATACTCCTGGCTACCAAGGGCAAGGTAAAGATAACAATTTAGATAAAATATTTTTTTTAAAGGGCCGATACGCTAGCGCAAACACAGGCATAGAAGAATTAAGACTCGCAAGGCATTTACAATATGAAATATACTATAGCCATAGGAAATAAAACTATTTTTCCGGATTTCAATCGCGTATATTTGTTTTTTCAAACAAACCGACGTTTCGGGCCCTTTACCATAGGTAGGTCCCATGGTCACGGTTGACTGAGGTGGTACAGTCTTCAACCAGTTATGTCTAATATTAATGCAAACCACCCTATTTTTCCACTATAGTTACAATAGTTATTAATTAAATACCTTATTTTTAATTTTACAAAGAAAACATTCCAATTTACGCTATTATTTTATTGAATGAATTTTTATTAAGTTTAATTTATTATTAATTATTAATAGAAATTAGAATAAACTAAAACATATTAATTAGTACTGCAGTCTTATGTCTGTTTGGGATTTTTCATTAGAGGAAATACTGGATCCCAAACTGGTGGTACGGAGAAACCATCTTCCCTGTTGAAATTAGGATGTTTTTTAATTTCAATGGCCTCTCGCAGCATCCTGGGCAGATAACGGACTTCTTTTGCAAGGACCTGGGGTTTGTCAAACTTCATTGAATGTGTAGGTTTATCCATGACATGCTCGCAAACAGCAGACTTGTTTACGCGACGGTGTTTGACATCAGCTATATGTTCTTTGACGCGGGTACAAATACCTCGCTTTGTTTGTCCAATATAAGAGAGACCGCACTCACAGTCAAGCTTGTAAACTCCTGCATCCTGTAAGGGGATGTTACATTTCACGTGTCTCAGGAACTGAGAAATCTTCCTCAGGGGCTTGAAATAGGTCTTGATAGATGCACGCCTGAATCCTCTTCCGATCTTGTCTGTGCACGCCTGAGGACTCTTCCGATCTTGTCTGTAACACCTCTCACGTAAGGTAACATGGCAGGTCTTCGCTCGACTGTTGGTGGTTTCACACGGGGCCTGCGGCATTGGCGTGGAATCTTCAACTTATTCGCATGTAGGACTTGCTTTATATGCTGAAGTTCCCCTGTCAAATGATTACTGTCGCAGACACCATGTGCTCTCTGAAACAAAGATTTGCCCACCTTAGCTAACTGGCTAGGATGGTGATGGGAATTACCATTGAGATACCTATCTGTATGGGTCTTCTTTCGAAATACATTATGGCCCAAGGCGTTATTAGGATTTCTTTTAATTAAAACATTTAAGAAAGCTAAAGTACCACAATTCTCTTGTTCCATAGTAAATTGGATCTTAGTACTAAAATAATTAAGATGGTCCAAGAAAGAAGGTGTGCTATCTTTAGGTAATATTGTGAAAGTATCATTAACGTACCGTTTGAAAATCTTCGGCCTAGCTGGGGGGCCATGAGTAAAACTCGCTCCTCGAAGTCTTCCATGAAAATATCGGCAACAACGGGAGATACCGGGGAGCCCATCGCTATACCGTCAATTTGTAGGTAGGATTCATTATTCCACAATAGATAGCCTGATGTTAGGCAGTGTTCTAATAATTCTGCATATTCAATGGACATATGTTCCCTCAGCTTTCTACGTACAATTTCAATGCAGTCTTTTACTGGTAGGTCTGGTAGGTAAACAGCGACTGAACATCAAAACTGACCATGGTGTCATCATCAGTTAACCGTAGATCTTTGATTACACTGATGAAATGGTATGAATCCTTTACATGTGTAGAAGTGTTCCCTTTCAATGGTGAGAGTACCTTTGCCATGTGTTGACCCAGTTTGTAGGTTGGTGTGTCAATCTGGCTAACTATGGGACGGAGTGGGGTGTCAACCTTATGTATTTTTGGTAACCCATACAGTTTTGGTGGTTTTACGCAGCAGTGTACAAACTCACTTTCATCAAGTTTCAGCGTATCGGAGTGCTTAGATATTAAGTTAGTTGTTGTTTTTAATATCTTGGTGGTAGGGTCTTTCTTCACCTTTTTATACGTGCTTCCATCCGATAGTAAGTCAGTTATTTTGCTGTTATAATCTGACGTATTCATGACCACAGTTGCGTTATCTTTATCTGCACGGAGGATGACTAATTCAGGATCTTCGCGGAAGTCATCCTATTATTATTAGACATAACTGGTTTCAGACTGTACAACCTCAGTCAACCGTGACCACGGGACCTGTAAAGGGCCCGAAACGTCGGTTTGTTTGAAAAAACAAATATACGCGATTTAAATCCGGAAAAATAGTTTCATTTCCTTTAGGTACTATTTTTTGGGAATATTGCTTTCTTGAAAGTGCATCACGTTCTTCTAAATCCAATGTGGCGCGGCGGGAGAGTAACGCTCTGCGGCCGGACCACAAAAGTAGTCAAATACATATTTCGTAAACTATTGAGGTACTATTTATTTTGTTACGTCTAGAAAAGTAGACTTTAGGTACTAATTTTTGGAAATATTGCTTTCTAGAAAGTGTATCACGTTCTTCTAAATCCAAGTAATGCTCTGCGGCCGGACCACAAAAGTAGTTAAATATTTCGTAAAGTATTGAGGTACTATTTATTTTGTTGTATGTCTGGGAAAGTAGACTTTAGGTACTAATTATTTTGTACTACTGCATCAGAGTACTTAGAGGTGGTTCGGCCACAGAGGATCACACATTTTGCTTTATGGTGGATATTTTGTTCAATAAGTGTTACTCAAACTTTTTTAAATTCAATATTTAAAAAAAAAAAACGGCTGTTTGACAGAGGTTACTCTATTGCTGACCAGTGCGTGTTCCAGAATACTAAGCTAGGAAAAATGGATTTCTCTATTTTACTCAGGTGGGTCGGTCTGTTACATATTTGTATTTGGTAGTTGACTCAGGTGGGTCGGTCTGTCCCATATTTGTAGTATTGTGGTCTGAAGCCTTTCAAGGAACATGAGTCTCGGTACCGGTCTGAGCTCCGAGTTTCTTCGAAATTCTAATTGATGTCCGTGCTGCATGCCCGAATACAATTATATTTCTATCGTGGCAGCTACACTACGGGGATAGTTAAATAAAAAAAAAACCTTGAAACAATTATAATCGATTACATAATGACTTTGTCCTCAGTTCAACTACCAACAATATCTATCCCTGGGCACTGCACGCGATTTCCGCATCAAAGCACCAGTGTTGCAAGAGGCTTTACAGGCAAGACAACGGGAGGAGAGAGACAATGGTCGGTCATATCTGGAATTAGTTGAATACTTAGTGATTATTTATTTAAGGTTGCTGCAAGTATCAAACTATGTATGTATCCAACAGCAAAGGTCGGATCCTCACAAAATCGACGAATGTCGAGCCTAGTTTGGTCTACGGTCCAAACCATTCCCTAGAGGAAACCATACGCATCAGTGGAACGTATATGAGTTGATAGAGTAACAGGATTAGTCACAAATATTTCTAGCTATTGTGGTAGTGGATATAATTCGAATGAATAAGACATACAGGCCCGTGCTGAGGACCAAACTCGTTACGTGCATTCACATCACAAACTACTTACTATACACTGCGTTAAGTGTCTCCTCTAAAGAGAGGAATTTAGTTTGCAGAAACATTATTTAAAAGTAATATGTTTTAATTATAATGCTGTCTTATCAATGCATTACTCGAAAGAACATTTTAACTAAATGGAACACTTAATGGAACTTTATGCAATTAAGGGTATGATGCAAGCCCGTGGGAATCAAAACTCCTTGAAATGCAATGAAGTGAGCCTCGTTATCAATATTCGCAAAGATTTTTTATTTTTTGTAATCAATATTCGCAAAGATTTTTTATTTTTTGTAATTAATGTTACCACAAAGTTATTTTGTTCTAGACGAGCAAGTTGATATACACGATGCGGAGACGACCATCCTATCTCCACTACCGAGCGACAACGAGAACGAAGGAAGCGATGAAGATACTACACAAAGGAAACGAAGAAGAGTCTCCTAATCTTTGTATATGTCATTTCATTGTGTAACCTTTAACACAATTTTACACACAAATAAAATAAACTACAAGTACAACATAAATAGGTATTAGTCTTTCTTATATATTATTTGAGAATAAAATTTTTGTTCCCATAGAAAACTCTCAGTGCTCGATATTTACCTTAAAACAACTAAGGTGAAATATGATCATGCAAATATGATCTTGTTATGTTATTATTAGGATGATTCTCTATATTTTCACAATAGTAATATTTGACTTCTCATATAATAAATTCAGGAAATATTCTGCTAACGTAGTTTTCAGAGATACCACTCAAATGCTAATAAATAACAGTGGTTCCAGGTACAAATAGGGCATTACGATCCTTTTGTCGTAGAGCGAGCGAAATTATGGAAAACTATATGCGGCGCTAGCTGGAACAGAGTCGCCAATTTGTGGGGAATTTGGAATGTACAATATACGTGTATATTTTACCTCGCCGTTTCTCGCAGTTCCAATTTTAATTAAATGAAAATATCTATACAAATTAAATTTTGTTTTAATTATGAAACTGACCAAAACACACGACAGTTAAAAAAAATTTGAAAAACACGATTATTAGTAGTTGGCAAAATCGTGCTTGACACATAAACACTTGTCATTTGTGTATTTATACCTTGTCATTTGTGTATGTATTTATTTGTGTTGGTTCAAGTGCTCCTTTATAAGTCATATTTTTGTTGGAGGAGTTATATATCAACTGCGTAGGTAAATTAAGTCGATTCGAAAAGACGGCGAGAGCCGGCTTGTGTATAAATGAAATTACAAATTTTTCAAAAACTTATTGGTGAAATAATAATTTCAATGAGAACTTCGATGTAGGTAACTTCCGTTTATTCCCATTAGTTCCATGTAATTTTAAACTATTTTTACATCTGACTTCTGAGTTCTCTTTCAACTAATTTCGTCATTTGACAATATAAATCTTTATTATACGTTAATGGTTTTACGCTGAGATTAAAAAACCTACAGTTTTGTAATCCGAGGTTTTAGAAACAGCAAACAAGTTACTTTATTCTATTACAATTTATTTTATTGCATATCATGATGTTTTTCTACCACGATATTATTGTTATTAAATTGATACGAAACTTTTTACTTTTGAAACAAACTAGGGATGTTTTTTATGTAATATATAATATAATAATAGTAATCCTGATCATTTTTAAATTATTTTTATTTAAATCTCTCTCGATCACACCACTTCAAACCACTCGTCATTTTCGTTAATACGCCATTTACGTTAACTGGTCAATTTTGAAACTCATTTTCCCTAACTCGTCATTTTCTTTAACTGATCGCTTTCCTCGACTAGTAATTTTATGTCATCCAACATGTACAATATGTTTAAGAATTTTAGTTTCATTTTATAATTAAAGCAAAAATTTACACAAATGAGCAATCAGTAGGTACCGCTTCACACCGACGATGTATTATGAAATCACTGTATGAAAACTTTTTGACCTGTACTTCTAACTACTACTACTTTTTTATTTATTTAAAACACAATATTTCGAATTGGTACTCACATAAGTTTTTTTTAATTACCCGAAAACAAAATATTTTCCCCGACTGTACATTATGTATACAAAATATTTTTCAAGAAATCCCTAAGTCCGTTTTTTAAGTTTCGAAATATTGAAACAATAATACTGTACGGGTCACGTACAAGATTTAGACGCTGAGTTTGCGCTCTACTTTACGTGAATCGACTGATTCACATTTTATTATAGTTTAGTTGATTTAATAACTCTCGTCGCAATCGGTCACATAAGCATCCATATAATAACTTGTATTTAAACAAAAATAAAACTTTACGATTGTACGTCAACTCTATAACTTAACTAACTACAAACTACAACTAACTTAACTACCTACAATCAAGACGTCAAAGCCCATACAAATACGAAATCTTCCAAAGACTAACCGTGGTCAAAGAGTATCGCTTTGGGGGCTTTTTGTATAAAACGTTTGTTATTATGAATTGATGAATGTTGCTTGAAGATATGACCATAAATAAGATAGGACTTACGAAATCTTTAGGACTTAGGGCTTTTTAAACGGGACTTTAACCACTTTTTTTGTGGACTAGGGATTTTACTTCTAATTCTTCTGGATTTGGTATAAAATTCTCTGAAGCGATTGATTAGCCATGATTATTGGTGAAAATTTTATGAGTAAAACAATAAATTCAAAGATACAAAAGAAAGCCTTTAATCTTATGTTCAGATTAACTAAGTTTATTTGAATGCATTTGTAGGTTTTATTATTAATGTGCATATTGTGATGACGATTGTTATTATTATTGGTAGCCATCGGGCGAGAACTCTCCTTGTCATGAATTCGATTCGGGGGCAGTGTACGGACATGGCACTATGATCAGAATATATGGTTTTTATACCGTGTTTTTGGTGGAAGAGGATGCAGTTGTAGCAGCTGACTTCTTCTATATTTATCTTACAGGACAACTCATATTGATGGGTGAGAGCGGAGCAGTGAGAGGAGATGATGATGGTCGCACCTGTTTTTGGTGTGACCGAACTGGAGGAATTTATAGCACTGTAAGAGGGGGACAGTTTTCACACAATGAACCCTTTGATGGTCAATGTTGAGTTTGCCAAAATGGATGATTTTCTTCCAAAGCGTAGTAGTCGTCATAAAAACAGCATTATATAGGTTCTTGTTCTTGTTTCCGCGTTTGAATTTAAAGATGAAGTCCGCTTCCCAAGTGGATAAGTCTTTGACAGGGTCATTTTGATTTCGAATTAATTAAACTCAAATCAGAAGGAGGAGTCTCAGCAGAAACTCCTTTTAGGATAATCATAGGCTTGAGTTATTTGGAAGCTTCGGCAGATATGGTCGATTTGGGATGATTTACCATACGAAGTAGAGCATCACAAAAATATCAGATTTAGTCTAATAAAAAATAAGCTTATTCCAGGGTGGGCAAGCACCATATCTTTCGACGTTAGTTTTGATTATGGTGACCCTCCTTACCTACCCTTATTACCTTATATATACGAGGACACTATAACCTGAGCGCGTACAGGAACCTTATAAGTTCAGGTTCTGACCCCAAATCAGCCAGTGTATAGGGTTCTTACAGACCTCTTGTCACTTGACTTCATCCGGTTCTTCGAGAGGCTAGTGACTCGGATGAGCTATTTTCCAGATAGGTACCGGAGCTGCAGGCACGCTCACTTCTCGTTGCGCATTGCACAACTAGCAGTTGCCACCGCTAAGCCGTTGACTCTCAGTCCACTACCAAATCTCATTGGTGGCGGAGCTGTAAGGCACGCTCACTTCCCGACGCTGAAAAACGACGTCTCTCCAGTTCCCAATAACCTAAGCGGCTGGAGGGACCGGAGGATATCTAGGTTATCCTCTACTAGTTCTCCGGGCTAGTGCCGGCGATGCCAGTCGCAGTGTCTTGCGACAATATCTGTCTTGGACATAGCTTCCAATTTAAAGGGCAACTAAAGTGTCCCGCGCATCTCCTCGCATACAGGCCCTCAACTAGACCGCTACTAAGACGTGCTAGCTGCTCACGAGACAGACGCCCCGGACATATGCAAAACCGGGGCAGACAAACATGTCAGTCTCTGCAGCTAACCACAAACCCCAGCGAGTCTATACCCAAGTCCGGGTCCGCTAGAGGCAAAAGCGTATCACTGGCGAAGGGCTTGGCCCGGACGCCCGCTGTACCCTGCTCTACTTGAAAGCGGCGCAACGACTATATCTAATGTTTTGCGTATAGAACCGACAAATTAATGACACTTTATCCCGACTAGTCAAATTTCACAAACTCAACCATGGTCATGGAATTGAGGTATGCGATATATATTCATGAACAAAAAGCAAAAAAAATAAAATTTTGCCTACCTTAACAATAACATTACCAGCACTTTTCTCTTTTTTTGTATAATACACACCTTCGAAGTACGGACTCGTTTTTAAATGTTTTTACTTTATGATACTGATGTTCTTTGAACAATAAGACACGGCCACCTTTTCTCACAATAAAATTCTTCACTACTAATTTTTCCTTCGGTACAATCATACGTTCACAATATATGTATTTATCCTTAGGAAAGGAAAGGCAATGGAGATTTTGCAACTACTGCATGAAGAACCAATTAATATTAAATGTCAATTAATAGACAATAAATAGTAATTGATATATTTGTTCATTAGTCGTATCTCTTTGCAATTGACATGTTATGGAGTTTTGATAACATGGTGACATAGGTGTTCTACGGGGAGAAATAATTGCCCGTGGTCCACCCAGATGGACATGGGTGAGACACGGGAAGAACAAAATGCCTGTGGTCCACCCAGGTACACATAGGTGACCTACAGGAAGAAATAATTTCCCGTGGTCCACCCAGGTGGACGAGTGAGGTGGTCCACGGGCATTGTGTATCTATACCTATAAACAAAGGTATCATTGTCATGTACCGTGTCATTAAGGTTACAGAAAAAGAACAAATTGGCAACGTATTATGGGTTCAAAATAAGAAGAATAGCAAATAAAATTATAACTATTGATGCGCTCTCTTCCGCAAGCAATAGGGAAAAAAAGGCCGTACTGGCAGAATCATAATATGATAATTGACAATTCAATTTCTTATAATTACGCAATTAATTTTGCGTTTTTTGTTTTGTTTGAAAATTCATAATTTTTTATTTTATTTATTTATTTATATCAGGTAACAAAAAGACCCATGTATACATACCTTATAGACTAACATACATAACAATATAAAAACAAAATACACCTATATTATATATATACCTTAAAACTAACATACATATTGTATGTAATAATAAAAAACAAATCTACACGATTTCACTTATCGGCGACGTGTGGCGCAATCTGGTGTCAGGTAACCGGCCGCGGAATCGCCGATATATGACACCCTTCGGCCAAAATTCCTCTTTCATGAAGGTCGAAAGATGTTCGGTCGGTATTCTCACCACAAACGAATTAAAGTTCACGTTGCGGCGAGACTCCAACCGCTCGACCCTCAGGGTGTAATTGGCTTTATGCCTGATATACTCCACTATCTCCTCAGACTTCGTGGAGTAATGCAGCCGCGACAGGTACATCAACGTCGTCGGTACGGCCGGACGCAGCAGGAAGTTCGGTCCTGTCGGTGCTGTGCCACACTGGTTACGGCTGGTGGGCTTCCTCTTCCTCTTCACCACCTTTGTGAAGCCATCCTCGTC